GTTGCAATAATCAGACACAATGGCTGACAAATACATAAACTGTGTTGTACTCCAAAATGTTGGCTTGTGCAACATTAAACTGATCGTGGTATCACACCCAATCGTTTACTAATCCGGAATAAAATGCATTAATATGGTCGTTCCTCCGGCGTTGCAGTTTTGCATGCATGCATAATAATGACGATGATGATGCATTCAATAATTAGCTAATGAGGCCATTAATCTTTTACGATACGGTATTTTACCAACTTTGTATACAATGCTTCATCACTTGCAATTACCTGCCTAATCCTTTGCACAACGTGTTCGGTACCCAGAATTTTTCAAAGGATTGAGTGAGAGATAGTGTCAGGCAATTTTTAAAAATGGCTCTTTTTGCACAATTCTTTTATGGATTTTCCATCCATCAATATTATTATTTTGGAATGGTCAGCAGTCAGCAGCAAAAAAGTAGCGCACGCAGTGAGGAAAGAAGTGCATCATTATTATCCGTTCTTGGTTGGCTGGTGGGTCGACTAATTAACCCATCTCGTCAAGTTTACCTGTTAATGACACCGTTTAAATGGGATGATGATGATGATTATGATGTAATGATGATATTGAGTATCATTTCATGAACAGCTTCTTTCACGCTGTTGTTTAGCTGCACAAGTAATCAGGGGATTAGAAAAAATGAAAGAATATCCACGACGCGTGTGCACTATCGTCGTCCGTCTCCTCTCATTCTCGTCGACAACGTTTCAAAGAATCGCATTACTGAATCGACACTAATTTTATTTTTTTTGTATTCAGTTCAGTCAGTATTCTGCAATTGCGAAATATCATTTTGCCGTTTTGTTCGACACCTCGTCACAAAATTCTATGTGATGTCGCTTACTCACTTATTTGGCAATTCCATCAAGGTGAGCCCCCAACATTGAAACTTGTCATTCAATCAGACGACTATCTGCATGGTTTTATTTATTAAAATATATTTTTCAAATGAATGGTTTCCTTAATTGCATCAAAAATCTGATGACTGTGACATGCATCGCGCGATAGTGACAAATTCAGAGAAGTTTATGTAAGCTATTCAATCTGCACTTTTCTTGATAATTTCATCCTTTACGAAGATGCAGTTGGGGTTGACACGCTGCTGCTAAATATGTACGTCGACTTCTTTCTTTCCTTTCTTTGGCCCACCTCCACCACTGAAAACACCACCACTTTCATTAAAAATAGCATTGTTTTCCAATTAAACTCGCATGATTTGCAAAAAATTGCAATATTATTAATTAACATGATACACTATGTATACCACTGCCCGAAGCCACTGCTGCTTCTGTTTTGTTTCAATTGCATTTGAGCGTGATTCTCTTTTTGAAATCCTGCCTGGCCTAAAATAGTGGTCATCATCATCATTCAAATTTTTTATCTGCATGATATTATTATCGCACTTTGGAGGAGACTTGGATTGGTGGTAAATAGTTGATAATGATGAGACGAAGATGACGACGGAGAGGAGGCGGCTCATTCTGCGAGATGCACCTATTTTCACGTGAGATATGAAAAGTGAGAGTGCTGACTTATTATTATATAACTCTGCGATTTGTCTGATTTGATTATTCTCTTGTCGGAAATGTTAAAAGGAGAAATATGGAATATCATTCAGTGATTAATAATAAAATGGTGATGAAAAGGACGTGCTTTTTTAATCGGTTTGTTTCTCTAGTCCAAATGGGTCACTAGTGTGTAGATATTATTCGCTTCAAAGAGCTTTTGCCGACTCATCTAATCGCAAGTGGATCAATCTCTCGTCATCTCTCTGTTATTGCTAATCAGGTGTCAAATACCAATCGGGACATTGTGAGATGTGTGTTCACATCGTTTCATTCGTGAATTAAATAGAACCTCTGGAACCTCTGCGTCGCTATTTTTGTAAACTATTATGCAAATATGTTGGTCTATGTACGTACGTGCAGGGCTGCTTTTGACTTGGATGTCGTGTAAGTAGTTGGTTGTTGGTAAATATTTGGACGATTTTCTCCAAATATGGGACTATATTATTCTTATTCTTGCATTTCTTAGTTCATCATCGTGATCATCCCCTGTCCATTTTGGTTCTTAGTTTCATTGCATCGCACCAGATATCCATTCAAGTCTCTGAAAGGCTCTGAAAGTCGAAACGTTGTAGAATTTTGTAATAAGATGTACATACCTCGTACGAAAAGAGACACGCTTCAGTCTCGTATTTATTCAGTCAGACCAAGACTACGACATTAGTGTCAATCCCGTCTTATTGATTTGCCAATGATTGATTCAGTTCAGTCTCAACGAGGTGAAACTGCTCCTCTCGACGACGAAGAAAGGACGCTGAGCAAACATATTCAGCTCGTTGTGCACAGTTTCAGGTGGTCACCAACCACCACACACATGTTTATGCAATACGGACAATGTGATGGGTCGGAATGCTAAATGATCTCCAATGCTTATCATTATTATTTTGAACTGAAAATTGCAACCATTATTATTATTTTCTTATTCTTCTTCGTGTTCCTGTGATGCTGCTATTGTGCGCTCTCGTCGCAATTCCTCGTCGAAACATTACATGCATATACAAATTTACGTCGTATGCATGCATACATTCGGCGATGAGTGTGTGTGTATGAAGAATGTAGCAAATGACAAGTTAATTACACTCCTAGTTTGTTGCCTAATTTGTGACCATTGTCTCGTTAATGTAGCCATGTGGTAGCAGGTCTCTTCTCAAAAAGGGATGCATTTTACTCATTGATTGAAACTATAAGACAACAAGATGATGAGCTATCTCCTGCGAAAATATGCATGAGTAAGCAGCCACCTCTTCAGCCACCTACTAAATACTTGGACTTCGTACATGTGTACTATTTTGGTCCCACTTGTAAGTACGTGTAATTCTGCGGTTTGCTCGCTTTGGTTGGTCGGTTGTCAGCAGTGCACAATCCACAAAAGGAATTACTGAGTATTGACTATTCACAAATTTTTGGTGTTTATTGACAGACAATTATTGTTACAGTCCATCTTCAATGCATTTTGAGAGTCGAGATGATGTTGTTACTTTCCTGTGGCTGCACAATGCATTCCAATCTCAAGTTTCCCTTCAATTGTGAAACTTTTCTGTAGTAAATAAGTTTCCATGTGGGATGATTATTGAGTTGAGAAGATTCTCAGAAAAATGGACAAAGCGATTATTATGCAGATGATCTACTAGAGAAAAAAAAGAGTGTATTGATTCTGGGGAAGGTGAGACTTATGCAGATCAGAGACGTCCATTCTAATGATGGGCTCAAGAGAATTAATTGAATTAATTGATGGATGGATTGGATTGCTTTTCGTAATTGAATTACATTGTGGTGTCAAATGTTGGTCAGTTGAGCAAATGTATGAACTGTCGAGTGTGTTAGGTTAAGTTGTATGACCACGACGAGACTGGAGGTCGTTATTCCTTCTCTTGCACCACCACCACGACGGTGATAAGTACACACATGGCGTTTGTTTGGTTTGATGAATTGATCAATAATATTATTCTTGGATCTTTTATTCTTTATTGGCGAGAATTCGGATTGCATGCGCTTTTGTGATGGGCACACCGAGCGAGCACCTCATCATCAGCTCATGTTGATGTTGATGTAATAATTTAAATGGAAACACAGCAAGACGCGCAGTTGGTGCTGCTGCAAGAATAATTATTCTCCTCCTAATGCCAGACTTAAAGTCAGCCAGCCCTTGAATGAGCTTTGTTTTTTCCCCGTGCGTTTATCCATCTCGCAATTATTGACAGTTAAGTGAGTGACGTTTGAATGATTAAAAATCTCCCGTTGCTTACACTGACTGAGGCACTGAGGAGGTGAGGTACTTATTGTGAGCACGTAATATAGGGTGCCGTGAAAAATGGACGTTTGCATCTTGATGGATGGATGGATGGACGGTGATCGTCGTGCACAAATAAAGCACCACGTTTACATTTAATACGTAAGCGAGACAATGTTCGTCTTGCGCAATATGAAAATTTACAAAATATTTTCTAGAATACTCTTTTTTTACGAGCTTGAAAAATCATCGCATCAAAATGACCTGAATTTCTTTTACTTTCGACAAGGTTCTCAGACTTTCGTATTGAGTGGGGGATCTGGAAGTCATCGATATTGCCTGCGATACCGTTTTTTGTGGGTACAATAATGAATATCAATTAATCGTGGGAGTATCTCAAGCAGCATCGTCGTCCCGATTATTATCCTTGCTCGCTGTTCATTGTTGTTTTTCTTTGTTGTTCTTCTCTCTGCCTCGTTAGTTTACATTATTTTGCACTTTCACCATTTCAAAATGGGGAATTGCCAGTTGCAATGATGTGTCCGCGTAAAAAGTACGAGGCCCCTTATTTATTATTGAATACCAGCAGGTTAGATAAGTACTCACCTTATCGGCATGATAGGCATCTCTCTTAATTATTTTTTGACTCCACCATTGCCAATACACATGTAGATACCTGCAAAGTATAGCAACTCTATGCAAAGCTCTCGTTCTGTTCATCAAGTGGTGAGATTTCAACAGAGGGACGACGACGGCCTTTGTCCATCTCACACCAGGGTCACTCACTTTTCTCATAAGACAATGTGAGGAGACGCATCATCATAACTCCTTTTTAGACTCTCTCTGATAATATTTGTGCACTCGTGGCGTATCCGAATGCAAATAAGTCAGTATCTAAAATGAATAACCTGCGGTTTGGTCTTGGGAAGAAAAGGTGTGTTTCGTCGTCGTGATGGGTTATGTCATGCGACCACCACCGCGGCTGCCGTAATGATGCGATGTGAGGTGATGCGAGAGATGAGGTTGTGCAATTGCCGAATTAAAATGCATTGATTTAATGGCTCTTGATGAAAAGTGGATTCTGTAACGAAGGAACGAACCACACTATTCGCACACTAGAAATAACTATTTAATACCAGCCACACTGTACACTTGCTTAGTAATGATGACGACTCATCATCAACGCCACGAAAAAATGTGTCAATGTGTAATTTTTTCTGTTTATTTACATACAAACATTCGCATTTTCTATCCCCATTCTTCCACTTTGTCACGCAATAGAATGAGCAGAATTGGTTTGAAATCTCCCCATTGAATTTATTCTACTCGGTCGCCTTGAATTATGGTTTTGTCGCATTTCTTGAAGAAAAAAACATTCTTCCCCATTTTGTGGGCCATCAATTGAAAAGATAATATTTATTTAGTGTAACAGGGTCATGAATGCCATGATTTGATGCACTCGCTCTGTGAGAGTTTGTTACTTTGTGCAGTAAACTATTTATTTTGAAAATGTGTTGCAGCGATTGAATGGCCATTGTTGTCAGAATTTGGGCGACGTTACGAGCGTCCGGAAGGGAAATCTTACTGGTTGCAGAAAACGTCACCTGGTCCAGCTTGTTTGGATTTGTTGGGTTCCATCCGACCAAAGATATACCTCTTGGCCAAGAAAATTACGGAAGCAGTGAACACTGAAGCCCAATTGTTTGACGGTTTGGGATTACAGAATCAGGTATTTCGACGGCCATAAAAATAAACGACGGTGATGGTGGTATTTTTACATTGTTGTCTGTTTAACCACCATTAAACCGCTTGATGATTTTGTTGATTAAATTCTTTAGCTCACGATGCAAATCATTATTAACTTTTTGGACCTAAAACGTGGCGAGATTTGGTTGGAAATGTTGCAACGTGTCAAAGACGACAAGTTTGATTTGGTTCCGTCGGATGCTGAGGTGATCAACTGTTTGAGCACGATCTCCAAAAATAAGACGTCCGCCGTCTTGGACACACAACGTTATCTTATCCAGCGATCGAAAGAAAATGTAAACACCGATCGTAATGTTGGGTACTTGAAAAAATAGAATCTTCAATTGCATTGTGATTCTTGTTTTACAGGACGAAATACAAGAACTTGAATTTTACAAAGTGATTCAAAAATGTCACTTGCAAGACCATCTAAAAGCACTTCGAGAAGCGGATCTTATGGCAAGAACGACAAGCTACGAGTATTTGGTGGAGAGACGCTTGTGGCAAAAGACAGAGCTTCAAAAGGCACTCACAAAAGCTCCAACATTCGCCAGAATGCACAGAACGACGGATGGACCGCTCAACATCACAGTAATAAATGTGCTCCGTGATTAATGATTTTAAAGGTAATTTGATCAGCATCATGAATGACAAAGGTTTGGCCAACTCGAACCAAAGTCGTGGATTCTGAAATAAATCAACTGGAGGGTGGCGACTCTGGAGACAAAGATACTCCGACAAAGCAAGATCAAGCCGTCGTGGTGGTGGCTTCTTCGACTCGAACTTCCTTCGACATCAGTGAATCTGTGGCGTCGTCAGTCATGTCGATGGGCACGTTTAATGTGGGCGACCCTGCCGACCACTTCCCCCTCCTACCATCCGCCGCCACATTGACGGACATGGATGCCACCCCGCCGAGTGTTGAGGGAGGGTTTTACATCGTTTCGGCTGAGGCTTTAAGGAAAGCCTTGCAAGTCTTGCTGGCCAAGGATAAGAAGAAAAACTGGTTGAAACGCGTAAACGACGAGAATTACTGGAGGGTGAGAGCAAAGTGGAAACAGGACTGGTACCCCGAGGAAAATCTCACCAGGACAGCTTACAAAATCTAAGAATGGCAGGTCCTCTTGGTCAATAACACAATTAAACAACAGACGGCCCTGCCACTGACCGATGGAATAACAATAATTTATTTGTATAATAGTGCTGATGCTGACCAATTTTTCAATAAAAACGTTTTTGTGCCTGGTATTGAAAATCTTGCATAAATTTAAACGAAACTATATCCAGTCATATTCAGCTCTTCAAGTGCACAGACCCATATCTATTTCCTTAAGGCATCCAGGTGTCTCCGAAAGATATACGATTGTGAGTGCGCCGTGCTGAGCAGTCAGCAGACAACGCGAGCTACCACGCGCATTCAGACTTGAGCTGGCACGGTCACTTCCTCGCAGGCAAGTGAGCCATCACCATCTTCACGGAACCCTCACAATTTCCCATAACTCAACCAGTTTATCTTCATATGTGGACACGCTTATTCACTCCAATCAGCTACAAATAAAATGGTAAGTTTTGTATAAATTTAATATTTTGGTTAATAAAAGTTGGACGAGAGTGACAGTTAGTTACACATGTTTTTTAACTGTGGGAAGGCGGAAATGAGTAGTTCAAGTGGTGCAGCCAGGGTTCAGAAAGTCGTGTCCAGACTGGAGAACAAGTCCTACGTCGTGACGGGAGGGATCAGAGTGACGTTGCGAGAACAACTCAACGAGGTCGAGCTGGGTGATGGCACCCGAAAATTCATCATCCTCAAGAGTCAAGAGGTGGAAAGCTGCTGCGGAGAAGACTCGTCCACTCAAAGTGTCCCAGAACAGGACAAAATTTTTACCCTTATCGACACAGTCAATAACGTTGACTCCAGTTCTTCAGAGAACAAAGATAATGTGTAAGTAGCAATAATGCGTAAGTTTTGGCGACATTTTCCAAATTAGTAAATAAAATATTTGTAATTCTCCTTGAAATTCAGGTCACAGCAAATAAGTTATTTCACGGTCACGAAAAATCCGCGAAAAAGGAAACAAACCTTCCCCACGACCGCTTCACAGCCAAAGGCAATGAAAATCTTCTCCTGTTCCAGCTGCGCCAAGAAATTCAACAACAAGCAGGGATTTGAACGTCATGAACACATTCACGATGGCGAGTTGTACTGCCCCGAACCAGGCTGTGACGTCAGCTTCAAGAACATCACTTCCGTCACCAAGCATCGCATTGAAATTCACAACTATACGAACCCACTTCTCGAGGCGAGAAGGAAGGCAAAGAAGACGACCCAAGAAAAAGAAGACTCTGCTCAAGCACATGATCCGGAGGACTTGGTGGCAACAGAAGCAAAATCCGTGTCGCCTTCCCCCTCCGCCACATCGCCATTCGAAGAAACGGGCGACTACACGAGCAGCGACGACGACGATAACGACGACGATGAGAGCGACGACGATTACCATCCATGATTACCATCCTGAAGCCAATTTCGATTTTACTTGTACAATTAATTAAGTTTGAACGGCCACGTTTATAATAATAATTCCAGATTTTTTAAAAAATATAATAACTCCTATTGCAGCTTGTCGTTTAAAACTGACAATAAAAATGAACTATATAATTAAAAATGTTGTGAAACGGTCTAGGAGGACTATTTTGTAAACTTTACAGTTTTATTTTGCTTCGCCAAGCTTTCGGCAAATAAATATTGCCTTCTTCAGGGTCAACGTAGATAATATAAATATTTTACAATTAATCACTCTCACAATTTCTATAACTTGATAAATTACATTAATCCTCTTGGTAATTTACGGATTTTTTATAAATGGTAAAATCGTTGGTGTCCATATGGAATTAATTTTCATTCCATTATTGGTGTTCATTGTATTTGTCGATTTCTTGATGTACAATGCCTCTTTAATTTTTCGATGAAAGTATAAAACTATATAATTGTTTTTTTGCCGAAATGACAGATTTATTAACATAAACATTGATAAACTATAAAATACACCTTATAAAATAATTTTTGGTTTGTCATCAAATTATCATCATCACAAAATACCGTCTTATTTACTTCAGAGCATCACCTTTCAAAGAGGAAATGTTGCATCAATACTTGGATCTCGACCAGCCGGACGCGACCGGGAGGAGCTATCTTTATTGTAAGTAACGTACGACTGTTTTCGTTTCCTATGATACGGATTATCCCAAGTAATCGTGCTCGGTCAATGAATATCTCGTCGCCAGACAGTTGAATCACTGCTACCAAGTTTGTAAGCAGTTCCATGATCGGGAGTCATTAATTTCTCGGCACGATGCAAACGCCTGCTCCTCCTCCTCCAGAACTAATCAACCAAGTGGAGACGTCTGATAAATGGCTACTTTTAACACAGTGTCTTTGCATAGCAAGTTCAATAACGATTATCCGCACCTACATATTTACCCATGTCCATCTGATTAAGTGTTATTATTTCCCATACAGCTGGTCGGCATGTCGAGCATCATCCTCATTTCCGCCTCCATGGACTATGACCAGAGTTGGAACGACTGGGTGGACGAGCGCTTCAACCTTAATCACAAAAACGCGCAGTTCAAGCGTCGCATGACGGACTACGCCGATGTCGAAAGCCAGCAGGACTGGATCAACATGTTGAGCAGGGATCTGTTTCTGGACGAAATGTATCTCCTCATCACGCTGGCTGCGTTAATCATCACCGTGTTCCACACACTCTCCAGAGTAAATAACAACCTGATTGTGAGGCCCCCACTTTCCACTGACCAGTTCCACCCACACCGACCCCAATCTAAACTTGCTCTCTTATTATTTCATTATTAGGGTGGCGTCGTGTACACGTTGTGCTCTGGTTTACTGCTCGTGGCCAACACGTTTCTCATCATATCCGTCATAAACCAAGACTCTGCTGAAGACGGTGTAGAAAAGATTCTTGATAACGTACTGGACAAGAGAAACTCGTCCGGGTCTCCACAAGCATTCGCAGCCGCCGCCGAGGTGGGCACATCGATGAAGAAGGACTTGAGCTGTCGTTCGGAGAACCACAACCAAGCAATTTTGCGACACTGTCAATTACTCGCTGTCAAAATTTTGGGAATTGTGAGCTCATCAGAACATAAAATAATTCGTGAACAATTTCGAACCCCATTACATGTTTAAGTATGAATTTTAATAATCTTTAAAAACACAGGTTACAGCTTTTATTCAAGCAGGGATCTCTTCACTCCTCGCGATTTATTACATTTGCTGCAAACCGATAATCATTCCTGAATCGCCTGCAGAACGCCAAGCAAGATTATCTCAGTTTACTGGCCAAAACCAACCGATTCGGTATTCCTGGGACCCCAACCCGAACCTTTTGTTAGCCACGAAGCAGCAGAAATTGAGTTTGGCAGCCTCCGCACAACGGGAATCTATTCGATCTGGAGATATATCTCTGCTAAAGGACGAATATCGACGTACTCTACGCCAAGATGGGCCCAACTTTGGCGCCTATCAACCACACGTGCGCGGACCTTATGACGGCATCTAGCTCTTGCGCAGAAGAGATTAGGATTATTTAGTGTAGCATTAGGCAAAATAAATCAAACTAATTATTAAAGCACATTACTTAATTTTGCGACAACACTTTATTTAATTAAGTCGTGTAATTTATCAATGTGATCAACAACCCCATCGGAAAGACGGACCAATTCGTCTCTCCCAACTACGTTGTGATCTCCGACGACAGAGATGCACATATTTTCCCCATAACTCACGATTGCCAGAGCCAGGCCGGTCTGCCCGCGTTGAAGGCCAGCACCGAACGTGACTCCCGTCAGCCTCGTGCCACCAATGGACACGTAACTCGGGCCAGTGGGGAAGTTCGAAATGGCTGTGGGACAGGTCACACAGGACATTATTGGACGCAAGACGCTCGTAAAGTGGAGTCCGAGCATTTGAACTGTAAGCCCATGCAGGACTGCCATTGTGGACGTCTTTATTCGCTGGTATGCTTTCTCGCAGTATTGGAGACGTCGCAACGCGTCCTTTTCGCCAACCGGAAGCAGCACGTGAGACCCCGCCCTTCGTACAAAATAATGTCAGAGTTCAAATGATTTAAGGCATCCAAATAATAATTGGGAGCTGTACATTTCATTCCTGAGCTGGCTGGAGTGCGAGAGAACGGGGAGGACGGAGAAGCAAATGGCGTAATCTGGTAATGAATAATCCTCATCATCGCCACTTCGAGTACCAATCTTGTCAGTTATCATTTTATCGCGCAGGACACCCGCGTACGCTGCAAAAATTACGGACGTGAATGAAATTCCAAAGTGGTTCTTGATTCGTTTGACTCTGTCCAGAGGAAAAAATTTGCCCGTGCTCACCAACGATTTCTCGTCATGCAAACGAACGGGTCTCATTGGCCAGCTCTTATCTGTGGAGTGGACAGAGAAATTACATTCATGCAGAATTCTGACACTAGAGAATTATCTTGATATTTAGTTACTCATTTTGTAGCTCAGAAGCTGAGTTCCAACAAAGTCGTAAGCCAGGCGGAAGGGGAAAACGATTTTAGAGGTGAGGCTTCGTCGTGGTGGCGGGAGGGAGGCTGGGCGTGGCATCTTCTCACCCAGTATCTGACTTCCACACAAAGCCGCGACGACATTGAGGAAGGCGAAACCGTCGCCCAACGAGTGATGGAATCTTAAAAACATGTAGCTCCGACCATTTTTACCTCTGTCATCGTGGTCAGCGAGGACGAGTTCCCACAAAGGCTTCCTTCTCTCCCAGCTCTTGTTCAGAAAAATCACTTTCAGCTCATCCAAGTCGATTGGAGATGGCGTTTGAGAATCAGAATAATAAGAGTTATGGAGTATAATGTGGCGATTGAGGTCAAAGTTTGTGTCTTCCTTGAAAAAGAGGAATCCCATCCAGGGTTCAATGTACTGACGTAATTCTGGAAATCTGAACCACAAAGTTAATATGTAAAGCTTATTTTAATAGTTTCTTTGAGGTTATCAATTACTTTAAACGCGGGAGTCCACAATTTGGCGTCGTTCTGCCACCTGCTACCGTTGCACAGATGACATTATTGTAAAATAGTTTCTGTAACTGTCCCAACTTCAGAATTCCATCCAGTTCAAATCCCACGACCACATTGCATTTGGTTTTGCCATGCATGTCGTCAATTGCAAATATGGTGCTTCCGCTGGTGAGCATATCGCCCAAATCCGGTCGACAGTTCGGAGCTATTTTCCTCACGAAACACCGAAACAAGTAGACCGGACTATTTAGTGCCAACAGGAAAATTCCGACAACGAGTGCGAGGAAGGCGAGGAAAATTTTCAAAATTTTGAATTGAATCGACGACGCCATTTCATTTGTAGATCTCCTTCCATGGAACTGCCCGCATTGCATAGTGCGAATGAGTTCATAAAACATTATTAAAGTACACGTACGTAACAGCAACACAATTGCGGAAAACTGTTACGGGAAAAATATTTATCCCTGTGAAACTGTGTTCTTAAATGTCTCGTTATTCCTAATGAATTCTATAATTTCATTAAAGCTGAAGTCAACAATGAAATACAAAGTTTAATATTATTAATACAAACATTAAGAAATTTCCACACGTTTCATTCCACCATAACACTAAAACAGGACTATAAATATGTAATGACTTACTGCTAATGTTGAGAATATTCCAATTGTGTACGCACTTAAAAGCTACATTTCATGTCGATTTCATATCGCTCGACTTCTGTAAGAAGCAAACAAAGGAGAGCGGAACACTAAGCTACTTTCATGAGGAGGAGAGGGCGGAGAAAGCGCAAGAATGACGACCACGCTGTCCAGCCAGAGCGGAGTTATGTCGAGGGTGAAAGGGTTGCTGGATGATTCATCCCTTTCATAATGCATGCGTTTCATTCTGCGTGCCTGAGAGGGAGACGTATCGATCCCTTCTTCGGAGGTATGTATGTAACTCGTATGTGCTATTTAGGTGGGCAGACTTTGGGCAGGAAGGAGACGGGAGAGAGGGTCCCTGGCACGAGCAACCCTTAGCCCTTCGTAGCTGTCTCTCCAGAATAAATGAAATACTTGCACAATGACCAGTCTTGACCTCTCTCCAAAGTTCTGTTTTCTTGTCTTCGTACTTTGTAATCCAACCGGTAAGACACACGCAAACAGCTTCATTGAAAACTGTGATAAGTAAATTGTACACATAATTTCAATTCATCTGCCAGATGTGTGGGGAGCTGTGGGGGAAGTGAAGGAAATCTTGGGTGGTGGTGACCCAGTTGTGGAAGGCGACTTTCTATGGTTGGTCGGCCTTTTGGACGTATCGCTTGGGGACGAGGTGACGTGCTTTTAATTAATTGCCAATTTTCAAAAACGTCGTAATTAATGAAGAGCGAATGAATGAGGTCAAATAATTATGTATATATTATGAATGTGTGTAATATGGATGTGTGCAGGTGAGGAAGCTCGTGTGCGGAGGTTCCATTCTCAGCCCGTCTCATGTTCTCACTGCCGGTCGATGTGTGACTCGTTGGGTGACAGAGAACAATACTCATGAAGTTGTCCCACCACGATCCCTGCGCATTGTCGCAGGGGACATTAACCGAATGGAAGACGAGCCCTTGGAACAATTCCGACCTGTTCGTCATGTCATTCTCCACCCAGGGTTTAGATTGTGAGTGACGTATTAATTACTCGTGTAAAGGACCAGCCTAGTTTCCGAGGGGTTAACTAAATTTTTTACAGCGATGCCGGCTACAAGAGTCAAGTGCTTGAAGCAGGGAAAAGAAAGGGGTTCGTTAATGACTTGGCCATTTTGGAGGTTGAGCCGCCCTTCAACATCAGCGCGGACGGTGGGGGCGTAAGTCCTATCGCTTTGGGAGGAAGCACGTTTTATTCTACATTGACGAGCAGCAATGCGGGTTCGTATTACTCTTGTCACTTGTAGTTATGTACCATAAAATTGTTGTATTGCATATAAAACAGTAGAGCCATATTTTAATGTGCTGCACCGCGCTTGTATTTTGCAGTTGGTGAGCTTAGTGTGGCAGGTTGGGGAATTACTGACAAGAGACAGAATACGATCCCCACTGGAATATCGTTAAAGAAGGTGACGCTCCCATTCACTCCGGTGAAAGTCGTTCAGGAGAAAAAAGACAGTACGTTTAAATTAATGGAGGATTTTTTTTCTCCCCTATCAAATCGCTTAAATCGTAACGTTGTTGTGTTTCAGAATCTCAGAAGGCCTCCAATTTCGGGCTTTCCTTCGACCCATCCGCCGCCGCGGTGCAGTTCAGTTCCGGTCTTGGAAGCGATCGGGGGTTGATGGGGCGTTGCATGGGGGATCCTGGCAGTGGGGTTGTCGCTCATGGACCCCAAGGACCTCTCCTCGTGGGGATCGTCTCCTTCGGGATCTGGTGTGACCGCTACCTCCCGACTGGACAGGTCTTCCTCCTCAGCCCCCTACAGCTGGACTGGGTCGAAGGGGTGGTCAACCCCAAGTTCTGGGCATTTCTTAGTCTTGGAGTCATCTTCCTGCTCCTCCTACTCAGCGCTGGAGGACTCGTGCTGGTCAGGAGGAGACGGGGTGGGATCCGCTCTTGGAGAGTGTAGCCAATTAAGTATCAATTAATACACATATCAAACCTTGATGTCATCTAAAATCGACCTTTTTTAACTTTTAGTAATAAAGGCGTATCGTCAAAATGTCAAGTCTTATCTTATGTACATAACTTCATTTATTACAAATCCAAGATGGGTTACTTCACATAACTAGGAGAGTTCATAACGCTATGAAAATGAATTGGGTGAAATGTTTTTAGGCATTTTTTAATTTTGTGTTTTTTTAATTCAATTTTTGCTGACTGAATCTTTCCAGCGTTGGCATTTTTTTGGCAAGCATGATGATCGCGTTAAAACAGTTTTTTCACGTTGACAAGTCTCCTGTTCTTTATACATCAAAATATGTCCTCGTTGTATTTCCTGAGCTTGAGTGCTTACTTATTCGCAAAAATCGGTTTGTACGAACAATGAAATGCCCACATGATCCAATAACTTGAAAAATATCCACAGACGTATTCACCGGCAAATACAGCGCACTATTTGTCCAGTTCAATTCTTGTAGATCAAGCGTCCATAACCTAGCGTCGGATTGATCCCAGGAGTACTCACCTGTACAGACCAAATATTACTCAAAAATCCTGTAATTTCGTAATTTTGTAAAATGACGATAAATAGAATTTAATTGCCTCCTAGTTGATTGGCTTCCTTCTGAAATCGTTCTTTAATCTGGCTCATTACATCGTCATTCAAGACATGGCCGATGCTCTGGTGAAAGTTGACGGAGTTCACAAATGCCTGATTGTCGTACGCATACCCCGTGCCAATGGTGTACTGGAAGTCGCATCGCCTGGGATAAATTCCCTCGTTTTTGGGACAACTTCTCACGGGGACAATTCTGTCGGTGGGGGTGCAGGTCGTGACGGGGTCAGGGACGGCGCAGCAGCGCATCCGCACGTTGTTCAATCCAGTGTTGTCGTACTGTCCAACTACCCCTAATTATCGAGACTATAATTTATTTCAAGAGTCAATCTTCTCCCTGAGGAGGACATAACAACTGAATATTTGCATATTAAGATTGGATTGATTCTGAGACAAAATTCTCACACGACCTTCTTTGTAAGTGGCCATCTGCGTCTGCAGTCCGCACAGAGCTTCACGCGGTCTACAACTTTGTACCGCAGTCCAGTCACCCCTGTGTCCAGACTGTGGTCCAGGAATGGAATCGTATGGTTTGAAAGCTGGAGGACCACACGAGCAGACCAATTCTACATTGTCCGTGGCTACGTTGTCCCTTCCGGGCCCTTGGTCCTTCTGAATGTTGGCACGAAACCCAATTGCGGCCGCTCCCTCTACACAGCTATAGAATGAATGAAACCCGTCATTTGGGGCTGCGGGGGCTATGCTTTCCAAAACCTGGCAAAGAACAGTCATCATCTAAACGTGTATCAATCAATATCCAGCTTGATTTGCATAACACACCTTTGTGACCACTCCGCTTAAAGATCGGCACTGAGCTCCGATTGATATGAGACCTGCGTGGTCTGCCCTCGATCCAACCTGAATCAGTCGACGCCAAGCATTTATACCAGAAATGTAGCTACCACTTGGACAAGATTCCCAGTTTTGCCAATCGCCCCAGTTGGTTAGCGGAGGTGTGGACAAGATTGTGTCATTCTGAAGAAGGGACGTGTTAAAATTGTGCCTCTGACAGAGCTCGACGGCCGGCATTCTCGTTCTGATGTAAGGACCACTGTCGGGTTCTTGCCAACATGTCGCTTCTTTGGCTGGTCTGCACTCTTGACTCACGGTGTCAAATTGTTGCCCATCGTGGCAACTTTTTTTGGTTCGACGTCCACGTTCCGAGCACAAGAAGAACGTGGAACAGTCGCCTACACATAAAAAACGAGCGATTGTTGCAATCTTTACGACTTACGAGTAGAAATGTATACAAATGACTAAATGGGAGACAGCCTGACCTTCGTGGTTGGGATACAGACCGCACTGATGAGCGCCACCACAGTCGAGTGTGAACGAAAATGCGTCTGATAGCGGGGGAGATTTTGAAGTGGTGGTGGTGGTGGTCGGCGAAGGAGTAGCAGTTGTCGGATTTTGTGCGACTATTGGTTTCTTGTTTGGCTTTAGACCACCACTTGGACCGGGGGTGGGACGAAACGGCAGTGGTGCATTGCTGCCAACGGTGTTACCACACGGTTCGGTAGCCGGAAGATCACATCGCGTCGTTTTCGAATTGAATCTAGCTCCTTCCGGCCAACATTTTGCGACGTGTGGGGTGCCAGAAACACAGTAAATGAACCTTGTACAGTCTCGAACATCAGCAAAACGACTAATTCGGGGTTTATCTTTGCAGTTGAAATGGCTCACGTCCGCTGAACAGAATTCATTTAATTATGGATTTCTTTATGAAATTCCACTACTATTTTCATAATAGTTTACCATTTAGCACCAAATTCTGGTTTTTCAGTTTACTCGAGCCCTGCAAAAATTTGTAGTCTACACCTTTAAAATTTCTGAACGGTCTCGGTCGGTCACTCTCATACAAAAATTATATTATCGTTACCTGGTCAATTGCTCCTTGAACAGTGACAACAATAAGCACGATTTCGATCAGTAGAGAAAGTTTGAGCATACCTGGTGACCGCATTATTTTACGACATACGACAACAATGCTATGATGACTGAACTGATGGAGTGATTGGAGACGAATAAATCAATTAAAGTCAATCCATCTAAATCAATTAAAGTCATCCACCCCACGTCGCGGTGTATCCGACCTTGTCATCGTATGCATGAGCTCATTCTTCCCCCACAAGTTGACCTGACCCTGAAACACAAGCCTAGAAATTGTGTGGACATAGCCAACTCATGACATTTGAACAAATGCAACCCCATTTCATGCAGATCCAAACCTGTTCATTATCCCGCATTGTTGATGTTGGTTTACTCTAAATTATTTAGCATACATAATTTTTACGCATACTTCTTTTATTAACTTCAAAATTATGGCAGGTAATTTTTAAAGCTGGACTTTAAAATTTTGAATTTCCGCTGCTGAAAGGTCACATCCTCGCAGGACAGAGCCAAAGGATTTGATATTCGAGGGTGCAAAGAAGCCTAGCGATGTTCCACGGGACTCAATTTCTTTGGTAGACCTCCAACATATCGACTTTCCTTCGAAATTCGTCTGTTCAAAAAATGTCCAGCTGGACGTGCCAGTAAAGGTCAATGTCAGGTGGCCCCCGTAATTTGGAAGGTTCAAGAACGCCTCTGCCACTTTCTCAATCACAATTATAGTGTCAGGATTGTTCTTGAAAGTGACTGCTGGGGTGCTGGTGTCCGCTGGTCCAACTCTGCTGAGGCTGACGACATTGTCCCATCCGGAATTCATGTTATAACAATACATGCCATTTCCTGTGCCCGTGTTGAACCACCCCTCGTCATACCCTCCAGGAATATTCTTAGTTTTGAGCACCCAGCTGCAGAATAGCTTACCATTAGTTAATTGATTATCGAGGATGCCGATTTATACGTGTACCTACCTGCCAACGGAACAATGTGACCTTATGCCTCCAATAGCTGCTGAGGCACACTCAAAATCCATATTGGTTTGGTTCATTGTAATCCGTTGACCCGATTGATGACCTGGGTCAGAATACATCGTGATTTCGAAAGGTACTGCCACCACCATGATATAAAAACAAGAGCACATTAGAATCAAACTCGGTGTCGATGACATTTCTGCTACAGAGAGTGTCTTATTATTATTTGTGTCGATAAATTGATCAGAAATGGTATCCAGACTCTTGGAGAGAAGACGAAAGCTTGAATGAAAGCCAATTTATATATAAATTATCGTTTGATTAGTGTCCAACTATGTAGGTAGCGATATGTAGATATTATTAAGCTTATCATCAACTAAAATAATAAAAGTTATAAAACTGATTAGGACATTTATCTGGTTTGAAATTAAAAAATATGTTGAAATTCCGTTGTACAGGATTATGCTTTTTATACGTATATATAATATACATCTCTTCATACTTTATGAATCATACATTATGAAAGATACTGCTTTCTCAATTAAACTAGTTAACACCCGGATTAAATTCATATCTCGGATTTCAAATTAAACCCGTCAATTTGGATAAATTAGTAAGTGAAAATGGCCGAATGCGTTACTTGACTTTAGATAATAAATTTAGGAGAATTTCAATACTTTAATCAAAGAAATTCTGACATCTCATTTTCCGGACTAGTCGCATTTGCAGTTCGTTCCTAACCTAATCCCATATTTCCCATCAACTTTGATATAGCAATTGAGGTTTCCGTGCATTAAATGTTCTTGTCCATATCCACCAAAATAAAAACTCCATTTATTTGATTTTTGACATATTGAGAATCTCAATTTGAGATTCCAAATGCATGCTAGTACAATTATGCTTAGGATTATTTAGTGTCTCATTCTATTTGTAGGCTCTAGGGTGATGATGAGACTCAAATATATCCGGCTCCAACAAATCCAAACCGACTTCACCATCATTCATGATCATCACGAATCTTCAAATCCCCAATTAAATATTTAATAATTTGTTTTTTTAACTAGTGAGCAGAATTACTCTTGATATACAATCCATCTACCTTCCATCTACCTTCCAAATTGTCTCATCTGCAATGGATAATTTGCTAGCTGGTAAGTTATGAATCTTGCGCTGAATTTATGTAATTGTTTATTTTGAAATGTGTATTGTGTACACATTGTGTACTACACAATCTTAGATTGGGTAACTCAATTTGAGTTTCTATAATGTATTAACATAATTATTATAGAAGAGGTGATAAGGAGACGTCTACTGGTGGACGGAGATGGTGTTGGAGATGACCGTCGTATTTTAGCCCTAATAAAGAACTATCTCCATTTTTGTACGAATGCAAAAGGACTGGACCTCGAACAACGGTAATTTACTACCAAGGAATAAATATATCGACGTTATTTTAAAGCAATCATGTCGTCCGATAACTCTAGTACTAATTAAACTAGTCAATAAAACCCATATGTAGCATCAGAGTATGTCTTTTGTGCAGAGCGGTAGGTCATCGACGTCTTTTAAGTCAACTCCACCAGGTAGGCATGTCCCTGGTGAGGACTAACGAAATGACAAAAATAAACGAGGAGACGAAAGAAATGTTTGTCAACCTGGGCACCTCCCTACGTTCCGAGGTGGAGCAGACCAAGCACCACATCGTGCAGTATAAGACGCTCTTGGAGAATGCGACCAAGCACAGAAAGTACGCCATGGAGTACGACGCCCTTGCCAAACTTATCCGGAGCCAACCCGACCGAAAAGCTACGCTGGAGAAAAAGAACAAACTTTTGACCGAACTTGCGTCTCTCAAGGTAAATCCTGATTATTGGAATACTTACAAAAGATTGGTTTTTGGATAATTTAAAACTTTTTAACGTAGACAATGGAGGCACATCTAGCTCAAAAATTGAATTCGCGTAAGCAAAATATGACCATTCTGGCTGGAAGTATAGAAAGGCTAAAGGAGCTGATGAAGAACGAGGACAATTTACCACTACCTCCTCTTCCCACTCTTACACCCAATATCATAAGCATCAACATTAATCCTAAAGAAGAAGTAGAGGATGCGACGATTAGTCCCATGGACATTGACGAGACAATAGCAACAACATCAGAAACAACGATATACTCCAAAGAAATGATCCTAATGGACGAGGTAGGATTTTGCCCAACTATTTTCTTATAACACATATGCAATTGATTTCAATTTCGCAGGACCTCATACTTTCACCGTCCAAGAAAGAGGAAGGGAAAAAGAGTCCAAGAGCAAAATCCGACATGCATGAAGATCTATCCGAATCTGACGGAGAGCAGGGTGCATGATTTTATTGTTATGCTTAATTTCTACATAGTTTTCTTATACACAAGTGTTAATAAATATCATGTATGTATGCCTTTTAATACGTTAGTAACATCATTTGGAAACTGAGAAATCTGAGAATGCCATTATTTTTCAAATCGCTTTACGATTGGGGCCCTTCGTTGCATAATCTAGCGCCTGGGTTCTACAATTTAATACAATTTAATGGTTGAATTACTGATATGATCAACTGTACTGAAAAATTCTCCACCACAATAAGTTCCAACTCTATAAAAACCAACACGATACTTTGTATTACATATATGTACACACGTACTCATAACTCAAGACGGAAGGATAGGTTTGCATAGCCTTAAACGAGACCTCTCGTTGAGGATATTTTCCTGATTTTGCAATCAATTCGAAGAAACCTCAAATCAAGAAATGTAATTTTCCGATACACCGGATGACAAGCGAGGACTGATTATGTTTTCTTCACTCAATTCGGCGCTTTATGACGACAGCAGGTTTTCAGCTCTAGAACAGCGATGCATCTGTATCTGTTTCTACACAATTTTTGCACGAATCCGCAATAGATAAATTGAAATTCAAATACCTTCAGTCTGAATATTATAATAAAATAATAATGCGCATAAGAATGAGAATATGGAGCCACGCAACCTGCCCTGTTTTAGCCATGATCCATGTGAAATATACAAATGGCATCACCCATTTGCGAAACTTGGCATCCATTAAGCACTCGACTCTTTCCCGACAGAGTACATATCGTGTAGTCATCGCTTTTGGAAGTGTTTGAACCTTCTGAACTTATTTCCAGTGAAGTGAATTAAGTGGACCAAATTATAAAAAATAAATTCAGGTAAAATAACAGAACTTCACACAAAGTGAGAGAGGGGCGAGGAATCAAAGTGTATGATCCATAAAATGTCTCATTTGTATTACACCTACTGCAATATAGGAGCGACTGGATGGAGTCAGTCCTACAACAAACAAAAGGGTTCATGCTCTGATATCTACCAGTTATTATTACACCTTGGCCAAAATTGAACCTTATTTTGTCACCGATACGCGAGTGGCCGGCGTCATGTCGCCACCTAAATAAATGCAGGTGACTCGGTTTAACTGAACTGAACATACATGTAGTCAATTAGTACTCGAAATGGAGAATTTGGTCGTGTTGACACAAAGCAGCATTATTACACTGGATTGTACAAATGTGGTGTGGTTATTCATCATGCTGTTCGCGTTTGAACCAACCGATATCACTTTGCAATATCATTTCCACTCTCTCTTTCTTGGCTGCCTTTCCTGGAAATGGTCTCAGCATACGAGATGGTGATTACTAAATATTACTAAATATTAAAGCCGCAGCCACTCGTTCGAATTATTAGAGAGGAAACCTGGTTGGTTGGAACTTTGGAAAATCTCACCAAAAAATGCATCCATTCATTCATGATTACATTACGTTGCATAAATGCTTCTGGTGGAGTGGAGAGAGATGATTAGACGGGATTATGTTCTCCACCAACTGTGAGCGTGGAAGAAATGCATGCACTTTAGCCACCAAAAGAAGTACAACAAACAACAACGGTTCTGCTGTTAGCTGCTATTATCTATCAGTTTTTAGTGGCATGGTAAAAAACAGAGAGTCGAGATTGTTGGGTGAGGGTTGGTTCGACTTTGCTTTTGGTTCTCTAAATCTCGAATGGTTCTCTTTCTCTCTCGTTAGTTTTACACTTACTTCGTTGGTAAAAAAAAGTGTTGGAAATGAAATGATTCTCAATAATAATTGTGTGTGTGAGTTTAAGTGAGGGATGGATGGATGCCTGGTGTGGGCTGCTGCTGCTGGTGGACGGCTGTCCGGCGCCACGATGCTATTCTGTTGTTAGCGTTCTTCCCGTCGTCGTCCCACCAAGCGATCCTTTCCCTCAGAGATTCTTTTAAGGCCTAACCAACGTAAATACATGGGCTTCGTCCACACACCATTGCGTGAAACATTGCATGTGAAACAGTCAACTTGTTATGGACTTAAAAACGCTCTTTCTTTCTCTCCTTCCTCCTCGCGTCAATAGAATAATCTTAGTTTTATTACTTCACTTAGCACCACTTGACCACTTCTCCCGTTTCCCACCAGCCCCATGCACGACTCCTTCTCAAGCACTCACCCTTACATTCTCATGACCAGTTTTATTAAATATTGCTATTCTCTACCCTGTGCGACACTTTTACAACGCTCAATCCGTAATGAGAGTGACCCTGCATTCTCAATCTTCCTTTAGCTGCTCCATGCATACGTATTTCTTTCTCTCTCTCTCTCGGGAAATTTTTTCTGCATTGCACGAGAGCATTCCTCCAAAAAACTGTGCTATTTCGCATGTGTGATATTAAACGTAGTATTGGCAAACGAGATGGTGATCATGGCCCAGATTCGTTTCGCTATATATCGTCGTCGTCGTCGTCGTCGTCCTCTTGTGTCCCCTCCATTCCACTTGGCATATCAATCACGGCGAAAGGACGCCCACGTAATCTTGATCTCTCAAAATCTAAAATGAATGTGTCACATTTCTCGGAATGTTTGCGATGAATTTATTACTCGGAATTTTCACTATAATTATGACCGGTTGGGCTGATTGATGGGAGTACAAATTAAATGGCGTCAGTCCAGTCAGCAGCAGAGCAGCTATTGAATTCCACAAAATGAACCAAGTTCTTGTACATGGCACAATAAATAATAAGTACTACGTGCATATGTTAAAAGTAATCAGAGAGCCAAATAAGAAACCGGTCGGATTTTCATCTCATGAGTCATTTTTATGCATGTATCTGCTTTATATCTGCTCCACACCAGCTCACTGCATGGAATCTGCAGGTTTGGAGGTATTTATTTGTTCGCAATTATCCTCCTTCTCTCAGAATCTGGCGAAATGATGATATGATGGATAGACAGAAAATATGTATGACGTGAAAATGAATGCATTACCGATAGAACTGAACTGATCACCTCAACAATAATTTTAGCAGCATCCCATTCCTGTTTTGTTGGAATTCTGATAAGCCCCATTATCAACATCCTGCCCTTCTCACATTCCACCGCCATTCAACAAACATGAATTGTTTTAGGAATGAATGAAATCGGAGCATTTTCTGCTCTCTCTCATACATACGCAGATCCAGTCAAAAGTAGCAAAGACAAGTATGCACATAACTGAAGAACACCGTCTCAAATGAAGACGTGAGCCTTGGATGGTTGATGGTGGTGGAGATGATAAATAGACCAAAGTACGAGTTAATATTCCTATACAATTGGGAAACTGGTGGAGTGGAGATGATTAGAAAATGCAATTGGAAAAAATTAATGACGAACGATGCAGATTTGAGATAAGACAAAATGATGATTAGTTATGTTAGTGGTTGGCTGGTTAGATTGGACCAAGAGAGGACAAGAACCGACATATAAAACCCACGCTCCTAGCACGTGCAGATGTCCAGCAGCAGTATATGTGTAACTTGTGTAGGTATCACAGATATGTATTATCGTCAATAACTTTATGTCAGTCAATCCACGAAATGATTGGGATTTGGGATTGAGATAAACAGTGTAAGGTAAACACATACACATTAATAATGGATGGAAAACCCCTTAAAAATCTTGCACAAGCACAATTTTTAACACAAACACCGGATGCCCGTTGTATAAGCGTGCATAGGATCAACTTACGTGTTTAACGTGACACTTGTTTTATATTAATCCAGCAAACTCGTGAGATTATTTATTCATTTGCACAAGAAATGTCATCATCAATTATAAACAAACACAGGATCAACATAAACAACAATTCTTTCTGCTCGTTCATAATTAGGGGAAGCTCTTATATAATCTCTCTCGCAGCCTACATTTCTTATGTATGGAATATATAGTATCGTATATATAATATTGTCGAAGACTAAGAAAAACAAAAAAAATGGCTAAATTGCTTCAAGAGTCGTTATTTAAGATACAGAAGAGATCGCGCAGTGAGGAGAGCCCATTTCTACCAAAACTTTGTCCAACCATTGAAGTGGACCGTGGAGATGAATTTCGATCCAGCAAGGAGTAGATGTCACGTCCTGCCTGTGGTACTCAGCCCCCCAACCCTTTACAAAGGACATTCTACATATGCAAAGGAAATAAAGAATCATGTTGTTAGTAACTTTCTGGTCGGAAAAAATTATAAACAAGTAAAAAAACAAGAATGCATCATTACCTAATGGTACACATTTTAGTGAGATCATAGACAGCTTCAAATCCGTGATTAACTGATTGTCCAAGTAGTGAGGCAAACTCGCGATTCTGAAAAATATCAAATCTTGTAAAGGGTGTGTAATATGACTCAATGTCTTCGGAGTAAGCATGGAAAGGGTGGCTTACATTGAAAATTTTGAGAGAGCAGCCAGGAGGAATCTTGCACACGGTTGAGGGATGAAATCCATGGCTGTGATTGCAATTGCGAGATTGGACGAAAATTGCAGAGTCTGACAAGCATTCTGCATAAACTTCTCCACCAACGTAGGTCAATCTCACACCTGAATAACAATGAACGAATCTAAACATAATTATTAGTTTTTACTAAGATTGGTAAGAATTTTTCACCTTTGCCAATGTGTCTGCGAGTATTTTCAATGGTGGAATTCCTGTTGACATTTGAAAGTTGTCCAAGACAGAACCGATCGAGATTGTTGGAAGGATTCTAAAATGAGATTATTCAAGTTATAAATGTAATATAAATTGGCTCGTTCTAAATTGTTATCAATTTCAATGAATAAATTAACGACTCACAGTAAACCCATCAACTACCACGCTTGAATTGTGACAATGGTACACCTCTCCAACTCGGCTGTTTAGCTCGTAGTATGCAATGCTAGCCCAATAGTCTGGTTCCTAAAAATATTTATAAGGCTTAATAAATCACAATGTGTTTAACACCTACAATAATAATGCGTACCTGAAATGGAACAGCGGAGACGCCTGGAGGAATGGTATCCATCGAGTTATCTCCCATTGGTCCATGACCATCCTCGGATGGTGAGTATGCGGGCGGAGGGCTTTCTGTCATGGATGAGTTGGCATAAGGGCTGTGTGGCGGCTGTGAGATGGAACTTCCGGGGCTTGGGATACTCATTGGTGGCGAAGTCGGTCCTCCACTAAAAGTCAATATTAGCCAATTTAACTTTGATTTTCTATCGGTGTACAATATCGATGCAGTCAACTAACCTATGAGAAAATCCATTCTGTGAGTACGCAACGTTATGTGGCATCGGGGGTTCTGGAACAGGGGAATAAGTCAATAGTCCATTTGGCGGTGGAGCAAACTCCGAGTGGCGTGGAACGAGAACGGGTGGAAGAACGGCCGGACTTTCGACACTATTATATATAAAAAAAACAATACAATTTTTGTACGTTACAAAATTGATTTTACAATACATGCTATCATTACTTACCGTTTATAATGGTATGGATTAATACAAACTTCCTTCTGTTTGGCGGAGAATGGGAATTGGCAAATCTCAAGGGGTTTCAGCTCATGATGAGATTGAAGGTCCGGCCATCGCCAGACACGACAGTAAATCACGTGTGGTAATCCTTTCCGATGAGACACCTAATCAAAACAATACAGAATTATCAATATTAACCAAGTAACTTAATGCAGCATTTTTGTCATCATTGCTTTGTTTTAGATTTCTTTTCTCCATTCTCTCACCTGCAGCCGCCCATCCAAACTTCTGGGGATGGTGACGCATTTGGAGGGAGTGCCCGGACATGAGAGTGCTCGCTCCAACTCCTCCACGGCCCCTTTTTTCTTCTTCAACTTTTTGACCAGCGAGTCGACCGCCTTCTCCGCCCACTTTTCTTCCTCATCCCCCTGCTTCCACCCCAGCAACTTCTTCACCGCTGGACTCGTGAAGGAAAACAAACTGTTCAACCCGCTCATCTCGACACGGCCACCAACAAACAATCCCACGACACTATAATAATATTACTATTTCTACTGTTGTAACTTTTACAAACGTTTGGTCTGCCCAACTTAATTAGTAATACTAATTTAGTATGGGCATACAAATCACGTACTATATAAAATCACGGCACACAGGCGAGGAGGAGGACGGTTCAAAGGCCGCTCGCAATTGCTCTCCAATCCAACCAAAAGTAGGACAATGGTGCAAGTGGATAAGACGACGACGAGGAAAACTAATAATTGATTGGATTTTTGGACGGAAACCCTCCTGCGAAACTAAAAATATTGGGTGAGTGAGTGAGTGGAGGAGTGCGAGTGTATAGTGTGGCTGGCTGGCTGGCTGGACAGTGACTGCAGCAGCGCACTTGCTCTCTCTTCAGTTCCTATAAATGTGAGGATCGTCCACACATTTCGATCCCATCGTGGGTGACCCTCCGATGGTCGGTGTGACCTCTGACCTGAGATGGCGAGGTCAGCCGGGGTAGGGTCACCTTTGTGGGTGGACCATTGAGGTAGGCGTCGCTTGGAGAGAGACCCAACAAGTGAGTACTAGTCAGTCGAGATTTCGTTGAGATTCTCAACTTGTGTGACTTGGCTTCTTGGTATAAAATGCAATCTGACTTCTGAGATCCCACCAAGAAACAAACCAAATCAAGAAGACGAAGATGAACGAACAGATCCAAGTCCAAGGCAACTTGGATATTCCACCACCGCCACTTTCCTTTGCTATGTGTGCCATACCTACGCACCATAAAATGATACGATGATGATGGTGGTGGTGGTTGGCCTTTGAGTGACCTCGACATCTACACTCATCCAATTAAAAATGCATGACATTCCCAGAATGAAACAACGCCACAGAGAGTCAGTCACCATATTACGACCACAGAATGCCAACATCATGAGTAACACCAATGATCACCACCACCACCAGCACCCAACCCAATAATACTTTTTATTCTCGAGGCTTTATTTTTTGCTAAAAGTTCAGTTATACGTATTCCCAGTATTTTATGGGTGTGTAAAAGTGCGTATACAAAGAGAGGAGATAATTTTTGTGGGTCAATTATTGTAGAGTGGTTCCGTGGTCACGGGAGAAGTGCAGTTACTTTTCTGAAGAGAAAGACCACGCGGTTGCGTCGGAGTCATCACTGAATTCTGGTAGTCACACATCGCCTCTTCATAGCTTGGGGGAGCTGTGGAAAAATAGTTTAAAAAGACTTACAAATTGAGGGAGACGCCGTACTAATACAGATTTATATATGCAGTTTGAGGGAAATATCATATGAAATTATTCTCACGTCCAGCTGCCGACGAGTCTTCCAAGTCTTCCGGAAGTGAGAAGGGGGAAACGTGTCCACCTCCACCGAAACGATGATTTTCGTAGAGTGGGGCCGAGAAGCAGCGATTCAGAGGGAAGACGACGTTCTGGTAGTAGTTCCACTCCCCTTGGGTGGACGGTGTGGGCGCCATGGTGGAACGCTCTAGGGTGGAAAAGATGGAGCCTACCCGGTTGTTGGTGTCCCCATAGCACCACGACTCCCTCGCTCCCACGCCCCTCTTCGTTCCCAGAGTGATGGGCAACTTGCAGGCTATGGTGCGGTCCTTGAAGGTCAGGGAGGAGGGTTGCACGAGCAACTACACGTGCAATTCATAAGTTAATAAGTATACGTGCTATTAGTAAGTAAATCATAGTATTTATTCTCACGTGGACAAAGTAGTTGACCTCGATGAGGGAGCAGACGCTGCCCACGCCGAGAGTGGTTGTGGGAGGCAGTGGGGGGATTTTTAGACTAGTGGGATCGTCCCAGTTCACTGTTCTCTCCCCACCCTTCACCCCCGGCCCCTTAACCTTAATTTCCTACATTATTATCTTTTTACACAGTCTTAGAATTAATATGATCTCACCTTTTTGAGGATGTGGGTCACGAGATGTGACGCTCCTTGCGCCAGAAAGCGAACCTCTTGAGTCAAAAGTAGTTTTGCCTTGTGCAAACTGGATTTTGAGTCGTTGATGATTTGAGCAGAAAACTGGACAAACTCTCCAGGAATGTATGCTCTCTTACGCAGATTCAAGTGGACGAAGACTGTCCCACCCCACCACCACATCCCCACGCGCTCGCTCTTACGGATCGTCCCCGCCTCTCCGCGCCTCTACCAAAAATTAACCAGTATGCCTTGTGAAGACATTAATTAATTCTCAGACTCATCCCCCAATTGGTCTGGATAAATACCTGGAGGTGATGCACCGAAGCCACGTCCAACTGGCTGCAAACTTGAAATGGCTGAACAACTTCCTTGTGAACACCCCACGCTCTCTTCAATGTGACCGTGACTGTGTAGTCGACGGAACCGTGAGTGCCCTTGTAGGAGGACGGAAGTAGTGCGGGCATGGAGAACGAGAAGGGGAATTCTGCAACGCCACCCCCACTCAACTCTGCCACCTCGTGCTGACCTGAAGAGTCGTTCGAAATAGGGCAGTTAATTACTACTATGAATAAAGTGATGCGCCTCACCGTCGCCCACCAAGTAGTTGGCCGAGTGGAAGTACGTCTCCGTCGCAGAGTGTGTCCTCCACCGACCTTTGTAGCCCCATCGATCTGCCACGGTGAACTTGACGTACGCCTTACCGTCGAACTGAATGTGCAGGCCGAGTGGTTTTGGGAGGAGAGTGACACTGCTCTTTACCAGAATCACTCTCCCTTGAACCGTGTCCCCAGGAGAGTAAGGCCCCACTCGATCCAGCACCACACGCATCTCCATCTTCGCTGAAATTATTTAATCAGTCCCCTGCCCAAAATAATTTAACGGCACAATGTGTAGTTGATGACAGTGTGAACAGATCACACTACACAAGCGAAGGGATATTAAACCTTCCTTCCTGTTGCTCCTTCAGTTAAGTTAGAAGATGAGGACGACAGGCTGTATGTATGCATTGAAAAAATGTGCACGACGTATGTATGTACATATCGTATTCTTGTACTACAGAACCGGATATGTTGGTATGTCTAAAAATAGATACCAAATAAGCCAGTCAGTGCAAGTGGTCGCAGTTTATTACCCCGGGTTTGCCAAACTAAACCAGCATAAAAAAGTTTTAAACCGACAACCGACCAGTATCAATGCTTAAAATGTTTTAATAATGAATTCAACGTGATGTAATATGCAAGTGCTAAAAAATGCTACAGTTGAGATGTTGGTCCAATATTATCAATTAGTAGGCTCTGGATCCGCGGACTCTGTCTTTAAAATATTCAAAGTGGGTTTCCTTGTCCACTTTGGGATACATTGGGTGCCAATCTTTCTTCTCTGGAACCAACGGAATGCAATTGGATTCTCCGTCGGTTGCACAAAGAATCCGATGCTCTGGCGAACCGTTTTCGCCTGTGACTTCAAGAGACGCACGCGATGAAACTGCATTTTAAGACGTTATGTAAACATGGACAAACAGGCATTAAATTTAAATGGACGTGATACCGTGGCTGGGAAATGGCCTCCCGACCACATTTCCAACATGAGTCCTGCGTTGAGGATGATGGAGTTTTCGATGGGTGGGACCGAGATCCAGTCTCCGTTCGTCTTCTTGGCCTCCAATCCTCCCACCGAATCTTGCACGAGGAAGGTGACGGTGCCCCAGTCGTTGTGCTCGCCTAGTCGCAAGGCATCCTCGGGAATCTCAGCCACGTCGTTCGAGTTCAGAGCCTTGTAGTAATTGGTGCGGATATCGTTATGGGACTTGATGTTGAGGTCGTCCAGGGCCTTGTGTCGTTGGAGGAAGAATTCAGGGTCCTCCAGCTTCAAGTAGTGGCCGAAGCAGAGGAACAGTTTCTTGCACAGCGTGACGAGCGAGAGACGGAAATCGTCCACAGATTTTTTCATTCCAGGAACTTCTGAGGGATAGTTGGCCTCGCTCAGCATTTTCGTCCCCCAACTGTCCCACGCCTCCTTGTAATCTGGAGACGATTTGTCGTTCTCGTTTGCACTGTAAGGAAACCATACGTACAATTATATCGCAATACCGTTGGCCACTTCTGATCAACATTAAATTAGATGTATTTAGTTACATTTCATCCTCCGGTGCCGTGTAACCATTGAAATTTTCGATAGCATCAACTTTACGATACTTCATCTTTACATCTTTCGGGAGTTCAAAGAAATTCCGAGATTCTGAAAAGGCGGTGCTAATCTGCAAATACATGGATTTCAATATCCCTTCTGATAGGGATTACTACTTACAGAGCTAAATATTTCGCTTTCATCCCACTTACAATTGAGTGGTGGACGCCATGATTCGTGAGATAGACGAATCCGATACCACTCATTCCGTCGCCCAGTTGTTTCGCAAATTCTTCAAATCCTTCAGCCTTGCTCACTCCATCATACGTCCCAGAAATTTTGGAGCAATCCAAAATGGGAATTTCCGACTTCATGGTTATGGATGGAACCTATCTGTATGTAGATATGTGATTGCTCAAAGCGCATTAACCAAAGACTGATACAATTATCTTTTGACGTTTTTCTGTTAAATGAGTAAATAAGTAAGTACTGAAATACTGCGTGACTCGTCATTTCTATGAACTTATGCACTTGTGTACAAGCGATTACGATTATGTACTATATATGCAAGTGAAGAACTTTGGAACTATCTGAATAAGGCAACTCAAAACTTAGAAATTATCTTTCTCTCGTCCACTAACAACTCCTTCATGGATTACTTATTATTATTGAGCACTGACCAAAATATATTTATCACCCCGTGACCCACGCTAGCAAGTTCATGACCCACACGTGCAAGTTTACTTTGATGCGTAGTACATAAAACTACTCAAATATGTACATAATGCATGTCAAGCCTTTAAGAAGTAAATAATCAACCCCTCTGAACTGCACTATCACATCTATCACTACTACATGCCAATCACCGGATCAATGGACGATTGATGATGCATATATAATATGTATTAGTAAACATGTGCAAACCTTACCTAATGTTACATATCTTTTACTTTATGCAAGCCAACCCTACAAAATTTGCACGAGCCATTTCAATGCAGCGCAAAAATTTTATGATTCCTCCCATAACACGTTTGATCTTGTTTCGAATGAAGCAACTGAGCCATTATGTTTAGAATTTTAGATAGCATGCATGCGCAAATGCTTAAAATTGGTATTGTATCACTTGGTTGATTACTTTTTACTTTGCGTCATCTCAATAAAATGGTATTCAAATAATCAGACCACCTTTTGATGTGGAGGAAGCGAGAAGCATCTGCCTATGTACCTACATGTTTACATGCATTTAATAACAACACTCTGTAAATGTTATCATCAGATTGTGTGCGAAATCACTTCTGCTTCAATGGCCAAGTTCAATGTTACTTGGAGTTGCTGAGGGCATCTGAGCATGGCAATCTCAAGGAAATCTCCTCCAAGGGCCCATTCTTCTATGCTGCATATTTACTAATTGGTCTGTGTTCGGCTGCAACTACCACCGCCGACTGAGACTTATTAAATTGCTATTAGTGGCAACTTTGCTACGAAAATAAGCAGGATGGAGGAGGATGAGTTGGTTGAAAATGGACAGCTTCCTCTCACAAACGAAGATGGATGATCAATGGAAATGAGAATTTAAGATTATCCACTGATAAGTACATCATGTATGGCGATGATAGGTACGGAAATGAATACAAGGCTCACAATCCATATTTTTCTACCCATTTCTTTCCAGGATCAGTCCTTATTTGCACTTGGTTAATTTCAGTTGATAATCTCTCGTATTCATACCTGACGATGAGTTTAAAACTGGATGGAAGGGTTTAATGTGTGGAAATTATAAATATGGGTTTCAAAACAGAGCCAATCGCTGGCATTTGGACGATTCTACACGTGTGCTGGGTTTTAAGCAGTGTCGTGATTGTGATAACGAGTGGAAGCGTGTCTCAATGGTCACCAAACCTCGAACTCTTTGAAATTATCCCCTCCCCGGACAACACTACGGAACAAGTGCGTCCCGTTCCAAGGAGGAAGAACAGTGAGATCGTTGTGGGAGAAGATGTCGGCCCCCACAGCAGACTCGTCATCAAGTGTAACGCCACATTCCCCGTCCAGATAGTTTACATTGGTGCTGGTGTGAGTATTACAAAATCGCCATGCACATGAGTTTCACACGATAATCTCGACCTTATTTCTGAACATGCGTATTCTTTTATTTTTAAGCGACCAGAGTTCACCACGTTCACAAATGTGCAATGGAAAGAAGACCCTCAAATGCCTTTGACATTCGAAGCTGAGGCATCCCTTGGCCTCTTGGGGTTCCAAGGCGCACTACGCTCCGAAGGTGCCCAGGGTTTTGAAATAATTCATCATAGACACAGTAATATTAATTGTTGACTAACATTTGTCCCAGATACTGGAAATTACACCTGTCGAAGTATTCAAAATGCCACGATACACTCCTATTTCTACATTTATGTGCCTGGTAATTATGCTCATCTTGTTCATAAATTAGTTGGTAATAAGAATTCAAATTGAGGAGACTTGACACTATGCCGACGTGATTTTCAGGCCCTTCTCTCTTCACACCGCCGGACGACTACAACTCGGAAATCTATTTTACGCCCAGAGACAAACAAGTCTGGATCCCATGCGCTGTTGCGAGCTCCAAAGCAGTCGTGTCCTTACATAAAACCCTTGCCGTACGTTTTCTAAATTCATACTTCCCCGTGTTAAATTAAAATTTGAAGAAGTGAATAGCATGAAAAATTGAACTTATTTCCAGGGCAAGTTGCAGTGTCCCGAAATTGGGAGGAACGTGGCTTCGTATGATCCTCACAAAGGCTTTCTTCTCAATCTCAAAGACAGCAGTTTAAAAAAACCGGAAGGAATTTATCTCTGCATTGGGAGCCAAAACAATGAAAATTTCAGAATGATGGAGTACAAACTCATCCCGACCAACAACAATCAGTCCGAGAGTGGTTTGTTATTCATTCACTTACATATATACGTAAAGTGCTGTTTTCAGATTTACCATTGCACTAAAAATGCGTGCATAGCATATACATTAACGCTCGCTAAGGTTAATTAATGCTAAGTTTTGTGGGATTTATGTATGCTTTCAGGAAAGCATCCGTGTAGACCTTCACCTTGTGGGCAGAAGGTAAAAATATATTCTGCTTCAATAATACATGGGATTTTGAATAAGATACTTCATGCAGGCTGAATGCAGCGTAATTGATGGTCACCCAGTCTGCTACTGCTTCCGAGGGTTGAGTGGAAATCCATACAGCGAATGCAGTCCCAACAAAGGTACAAATATTTCAAGATAAGAAATCATTTGACGAGAGCAAACTTGTACAAATTTCTTGTCATTAACTGAAAAGACCGGTGTCACTCCAATGCGGAATGTTCTGGAGGGCAGTTTTGTGTGCAGGGGAAATGCACCAACGACCCGTGTCATCCGTCCCCCTGTGGCAGAGGTTAGTTCTTCCGATTCTTATATAACACATTAATCCATGTTGAATCAATGTGTAGCAAATTTTCCAGGAAGCACGTGCGTGTCGCAAGGGGGACGTCCAAGGTGTGCCTGTCAACTTGGGTACGACGGGAAGCCACCCTATTGCCTCCGGAGGTGTCAGTTTCACGGGGATTGTCCTCAAAATGAAATATGTTCAAGGACTCACTGCCAAGACCCTTGTCCACGTAAAATCTCGACCTCCTATAAATGCACCCTACTTCAAAACCCTCAACGCTAATGAAATTTGTGTATAGATCGATGTGGAACAAATGCAGATTGTCACGTGGTTCAGTCTGGCTACAACAGAACCGCTCTTTGTACATGTCCGCCAGGGCGGACTGGCGATCCGGAAGAAAATTGTTACGACATTGGCACAGACCCTGACGAACATAAAACTCACTGTAAAAGAATACCATTACTCTCCTGACTCTTACTCGTAGTCAGGCAGCATTGTTGTTAAATAATACTTAATAATTGGGTAGGTCCTCTTGGATTCATTGGCCCAGGCCCACCAGATTGTAGGAGGAAAGAATGTTCCGAAAACTATGACTGCCCACCCAACCACTACTGCACATCTGACAAGCGATGTGTTGACAGCGGTCCGGATCAATGTGGACGAATTTGTGGGATGAACGCGATATGTCAATTGTCCCGCAGCATCGGCAGCAGCAGCTCGAAACCAGTGTGCCAATGTCCAAGTTGGACAACGGGAGATCCGCTGGTGAGATGTTTCAATCTCACGACCACAACGACGACGAGCACCTCCCACCAACGTCCTCAAGACCCTTGCAACTCCAACCCATGTCCGCACAACACTGTGTGTGAAGCGAAATATTTCTTGAGTAGGAATGGTGCCAAGACGGAGGTGAATTGCGTCTGTGCTCCGGGAACAGTTGGCCGGTCACCCAACTGTTTCCCGTCGTCATCACCAACATTCCCAACGTCAATAGCTGTGCCGGTTTCTCCTCCTCAATCTGATCAGCGCCCAATAAACGCACCGCCACACCAACAACCCAGCAGGCACTGTTTGGACGACCCCGATTGTCCCCGTGGATTCGAGTGTGTTGGTCGTGTTTGTATTCCCGAAGAAGAAAAACCGCAGTGTAGACGACGCTGTGGTCTGAATGCTAAATGCATCGGCACGCAATGTGTTTGCCCCAAGAACACGGTGGGAGATCCACATGTCGCATGTCGAGCAGAACGCACTCCTTGTCAGCCATCCCCTTGTGCAAATTTCGCCGAGTGTCGCGAGATCAATGGTCGGGCAGCTTGTCGATGCATTTTGGGCTACGAGGGCGATGCTTTCACCCGCTGCGCGCCCAGTAGCAGTAGCGATAACGACGGAAGGAGGGACCAGGAAGGCTTCAATGGAGGAGGAGGAGGTCAGACAAGCGGGCGACCACAACAGAGTGGACCCCCATTCACACCTGGCTTTGTTGAAGACGAGTACTATAGTATCCACTCACGATTTCCTGGTTCAAGCAGACCACCAACGACAGCAGTACCACCGTCCTTCAATAATCAAGATCCATTTTCTTGGAGGGACAATCAACCGCTGCAGAGTTCAGTCGGGGGAAAAGCTATGATAAATCGTCGCGACGAGTGTGACATGGGACGACCTGAGGACTGTGGTCCGCCCGACTACAAGTGTCGCAGAGGTCGAGATGGTGTGGCCAGGTGCGTCTGCTCCTCTCACCGGTGCGGGTATACGGCAGACTCTCCGAGACCCGAAGGTCTCCCAGAAGGTGTCATCTATGGGCGATACTGTAAAGAAAATCAAGATTGTCGATATCCCGAAATTTGCTCCAACGTCACCCTCAACTGTTACAATCCGTGCGACTTTGACCACAGTCCGTGTGCTCACGTTGCATTCTCAGAATGTCGCGTGATTGAGGCCCAAGCCCTGTGCACTTGTCGACGTGGTTACGTGGGCAGCCCGGCCAGTGGACTGGACTGTCGGAGAGACTTTGGCTCCTCCACTGAGCAGCAAAACAGTGTGAGTACGAGTGGGAGTGACAACCTCCCTGTCGTCCATTGCGACTACGAGAAGGGGATCGGCTGCGACACGAAGAGCGAGTGTCAGCTGGTGGAGGGGCGAGGTCAGTGCGTGTGTGGGACTGGACACTCGGGTGACTATCCAGACTGTAGACTCCGATGCAAGACAAACAGGGACTGCTTCAATGCGCACGAGTGTTGGCGAGATGAATGTCGCGACCCGTGCGAGAGAGCGCCATGTGGGAGCAACGCTTTCTGCAGGTTTGACTACTTAAAACTATTAAATTCAATTTTCTTGTGACATGCGTAATTAATTTCAGAGTAATTGATCACAAGTCCACGTGCGAGTGCAATCCCAAATTCATCGGGGATCCATGGGACGGTTGTCGCCCAAACCCTGACCAAAAGCAGAAAGGCTTTAACCTAAAGTGCGACGGGGCCAAGTGCAGTTTCTTCTAATATTAAATATTTATTCTAGAAAAATGAGAAAGCTTTGTCGTTAATTTATTTATGAAACTGAGATTACTCAATAAATTATCATACTTATTTATGCTTATACATTAAAAAAAACACCTTTTTAGCCCGAGTCAGGGCTTATGGAACCGGTATGTATCGTGTCTATGTGTCTGTGACACGCTAGCGGACGAACCACTAAACCGATTTTGACCAGCTTAGCGTTAAAATGCATATCTCAACAAGGCCTTGGGCGAGTTGAAGGTGGGCAAGATCGGTCAAGTAGTTTACCAGTCATTTGCATATGTACGTCATTGGTGGTTCGCATAAACAGCATAGATATTTAGGATATACGTAGGTGATATTTGAGAATTGACGGAGCATGTTTTTGTAGTATTTTTTAACCTTATAAAAACTAATTAATTTTGACCTGGATACCATTTAAAAAAACCTACAGTGTGCAGTGTTTATATAGCCCGAGTCAGGGACAGAGTCCTCTTCCAAATGTTTGTCAAGTGACCGGTACAAACCAACTACTAATAGTAGTTGGTACCGGTCATTATGGGGAAATTTTTGTCGATTGCGAATTATTCGCAATCGTCGCTGCAAAATTGCAGCTTCTTTAACCAATTCGAAAAACCCCACTGCGTCCTCCTGGCAAAAAAATCTTAAAGTTTACTTTACATTTATTAAGCTAATCTAACCCTGCAGGACCACGCCAACTTTTAGTCGTCTACGCCCGTTTTCCAAACCAATGGGGGTGACCAGTGTGTGCAAAAAGTCAGCCTTGTTGCTATTTGCTCCTATTTGCCTATTTGCCTTTTTGCGTGCCTTTTTGAACTGTATAGAAAACGCAATGAATAGCTTTCACTTTAATTTTATTTCTTCTCATCTCGCCAATTCAAGTATGACCAATTTCTCGAATATCAGTTACCAATTTTTAAAATAGCTACTTTTAGATGCACGGTATGGGTCACCCCCTAGGCTACTCTGGTTCCACTTTGTTCGCTTTTAACTTGATATACTTCCATACGAGACCATTAAGTATCACCATACCGAATTTCATCTTTTTAAGACAATTTATAAAAATCGGTATGGGCCACCCCCTAGGATCGCTCCACATAAAAATTTTACTAATTTAACTTCATATTATTTCATTAGGAGCTATTAGAAACGTCAATGGTAAATTTCAGCTCAATTAAATGATTTTCAAAAATCGATATGGGTCACCCCCTCGGGTCCCTCCAGATAAAAAATTTGACCAATTTCATTTAATGTTCTTCCTTAAACCCCATACGCAACCTATCTACCAAATTTCAACTCGATATGACGATTTTGACAAATCAGTATGGGTCACCCCCTAGGGTCTTTCAAAATAAAATTTTTTCCAACTTAAATTCATACTCTTTCATTAGACACCATTAGCAACCTCAGTGCCAAATTTCTGCCTTCTATGACAATTTTGAAATTTTGATGCATAATACCCCATCCACCTATATGACCCCCACTGGTCAACCACTTGACCGATTTCGCCCATCTTCGAACTTAACTCCTCATTTGCCCCATACTACATGTGTAGCAAATTTCAAGTCGATAGGATGAGTTTAACGAGAGTTATCGTAAGACGGACAGACGGACGGACGGACGGACGGACGGACGGACGGACGGACGGACGGACGGACATGATGGTTCCATAAGCCCTGACTCGGGCTAAAACGGAATTAAAAATGGTTTCTATTGCATTTGGGGGCGGATTTACTGGGGGGCAGAATACCATTGAGACCGACTTGTGGGGCGGTGATAAAATCAGTTGGGGACTGAATTAATGCAAACCGATTTTGAATATTCTACTGATGCAGTTATGATTTATTAGAGACCTGGAACTGATTCGACAACAAAAATTAGAACATAATACATTTTTAACATGAAATTGCAACTGAACCAAATGAACACACGATATTAATTTTGATAAAAAGATCGGATTTGATTTTGATAGTACTACAAAAATAAACTAAACGAATAAATCGTCATCATTCATGTCATCAATTTGATGACACTGATTTTGGGATGCATTTTATATTTTAAACAAGTTATTAGCTATAATTTTGTCCTTCAGTGTTCTGTGACTTGTTCCGATCGGTGGTGACACTATTGCGAATATATTAGCTAAAGAGAACGTTGTGATAATTTAAAAAAAATATGAACTGTATCATATTTACAACATGATACAGGTCAGAGGTCAACGCCGACCAATTTATTAGCGGCGCCAATGTTGGATAATTTTTCGGGGGCGCGGCGTGACCTCTGATGCACTTCCTCCGAGTTCCTCCCCCCACTACAACTACAACTCTAAACTCTAAAAAAATTAGTTCAGGCTTGAAGAAAAACCAACGACAAATAAGGAGGAAAGAATGGAACTGAGAAAATTTTCTCGGTCATTTTATTTTTATTTTTTCCTACACCTTATTGATGTAGCCCGGTCTCAACGGAATTCTGTAACCATACACCTTATTGGTGGAATCCGTCGCCAACGAGAAAAAGTTGGCCTACACCTTATTGGTGTAGTCCGTCGCCAAGAGATCGAAATCGCCCTCCACCTTATTGGTGGAATCCGTTTTTAAAAGGTTAAGGGTGGGAGGTCACGAAGATGTAATATTGTTATTGAGGGTCAGTGTGATATACTGGATGAAGAATACACAAAGCAACGACAGGAAAATTTACAAATTTCGTGCAATGCAAGCTTTCTGTTTGTTCACCGAAAATATGCATAAATGTCTCCCACCCTGCCTCGGGCTACGTCAGGCTGCACTTTAGGTTTCTAAATATTTTCCTTCTATGACATTTTTGCGTCATCGCCTGGCCACCTACGACTTGTTCAAGTCTGTCAACTGGAACGTTAAAAACGGCATTGCGTGATCTGATTGCATGCTGTTGGCAGAGCATAAAGTTTCGCCATATAATACTTGCCAAATGTTGTGTAGAACAAAAGTAGCACCTTTTTGCAGGGCAAAAAAGCGTCTTCTTCGTCTTTCTTGGGGTGGACGATTTACATTTAATTGGTCCCAGCAGCAGCAAAGGCAGCGAGTGGTGTTCATACTGCAGAACGGGACTCATTTGTGTGATTAACCCTCTCGATCATCACAAGAAGCAGGCCAGGAAGTGTCGGTGAGGATAATTCAGAGCATTCTTGTGCAAAATAAATGTTGTTGATTTGTAGCAAAAGAGCAGCAGACAGAAATTCTGCCATTTCACACGAGCACGTTATTCAGTGGAGAAAGGATTTGAAACAAGTTTCTTGCCCTCTCCGCAAATCCGCCTCTCTTCCATAAAAGGCATTCTCGTTGTTGATGGAGGAAGGCAGTGCTTAATATTACCAGCGTTTCGTAATGTCTTATTACTACCAGAGGAAAAAATTGCGTGAGACTGGCAGAATACATACGTAATAAATGCTCAAGCAGATCAGAAGGTGCACAGAACAACAGGTATTTTACAATCATGAAACTGAATCTTCACAGACTTTCAGATGCAACAACGGTGCGAATACTGCTGCTCCTGCTCCTTGTACCACTACCAATGCAGAGTACCACATACATATCTACACATATAGTTGGTGGGTAAAAAACTTTGCAAAGGTTTAGTTCAAAATTCGGCTTCAAAAACTTTTAAATAAATATTGTTCTGCGTTCGACGAGTTGAGCAACTATTTCGAGCTTCTATAAAAATATTCTTTAATTCGTCGTATTTCGCAATGGGGGTAATTTCGTAGAATTTTGGCAAGTGCAAGTGTAAGCTGGGTTGAGAGTGTCTTTGAGTGAAATTTGTAATGTTACGTTGAACTTAATAGTGAACATTACATGCAAATACCAATGGTATACCATGGCATCACCATTACCCACTTAAATAGTTGGATATGAAAAACTAGCACATGCTAAAAAATGTTCCTGTTAATAACTGCATGAATTATTCGGTGACAGCGAGTGAATTGCCTGACAATCTCTAATGGCTGGTGAAAAAGATCCTGAGGACAAACAAGTGCTGATCGACAACAGTGACCCTGCTGATCATGCCGAGGAATCTTCCACTCCATCCTATGCAGAAATACCACTAACTGCTTCCCCGATTAGCAATAAGACCTCAGAACGTCTCGCAAATCGCTTCGAGGGGGAGGGCAGCGATTCGCCAGAATTGTTCAAAACCTATGAGGATTTCGCCCTCGAGTACGAAGGATTTCAGAGTAGAGTGACCTTCCAAACCTGCACTGGCCCCAACAACGACGCACCGCCTCCATCCTGCTCCCCACCACTGGGAGGAGGAGGCGGAGGGAGTCGTGGGCTGTGCACTTATGTGACGCGGAGAGTTGGGAGACTGATTCGACCCGTGCAGAAGCTTGGTCAATGGTGGAGATTTCACAGGAAGCTTTTGATATCCTGCTTCCTCACCCTGCTCGGTTCTGCGGGTTGTCTCATTTTCTTCCCCCTTCACCTTGAAAATGTGAGTCGGGGGGTGGCGGGTGCTGGGGACGGCTACTCCGCCTGCCTCGCAGCCTCCACCGTCGTCACGCTCCTCTTTCTCTTCAACTCGGTCGTTCTGGAAGTGATGGAGAGGCGGAAGCTCTTTTCGGAAAGCGTTCTGCGCCCAGTTGTGGGATGGCGAAGCGCGCTCAAAGTCGGCTTCTGCCTCGGCCTCAGTTTTGTTACCATTTTCTACTCGTGGGAAGATGACAAGGTTCCCTGCAACTTTCAAGATCCTCTCTTGGGACTGGTCATCATTTTCGCAATCATCACTCATGCTGTTTGCAGATGGAAAAGTACTTAATTAATTACTTAATTTTCAAGAAAACTATTCCATGACCGTTTGTTATATGTACTTATATTTGGTGCATATCTATTTGATATTGATCGTACGAGAAGGAATTAATCTTTACTAAATTGCACAGGCATTGGACTCAAACGTGCTTTTGCACTCTCAGCCGTTGCAGCAGGTAATTAATTATACATGTGCATTCGAAATTTACATTGTCGAACATATGTACATGTGCATGGTATTATATGGATCTTAAGGCGTATTTCTAAGTGTGGACTATCCTCTGGTGGACCACCACCGGTGTCGAGGTCACTACTATCAAAAAACTGACAAAGAAACGTCAATTACCTGGACGTGGCAAGTTCATTTCGTGTGGACGATGGCGTTCGTGGTCTCCATTTGGCTGGCAACTATCGCCGCATTTTTCCTCGAATCCTCAATCCCCGTACCAAAAGTAAACTCTGTTTTTGATATATAGAAAAATGACCGTTTTAATAAAAACTCTTATTGCTTCCTGGCGAAGGTGAAACATAGTCGTCTTTACGATTTGGAGTACAATGCCGTGAAGCTTCGAGTGATGAGCAAAAATGTGGGGAACGGGGGTACGAGTTCGGCGGATGCTGCGACGGATGTCTCCTGGCCTGGTGGAAATTGTCTCAACTCTTTTTACCGTTTCAGTCCTTACGCACAGTTTAATTTAGGGCTCATTTCCAACGCTGTGCTTTGGTTCTCAGTGACCACGTGGGCCATCATCCTCTCACTCTTTTGGACAGAATTTATCCCTGGATTTGGAAAGGTATGCACATTTTTCTGCCTATAATATTAATTCGCTTATCCTATTTCCCTCGTATTAAATTGACTACAGGGAATCCGGGTGGAAAAGTTACCAGATCGAATATTCGTCGCTTTTCAAACGTCACTGACCAACGAATCGTCGTGGGCTTTGTTCGTGTCAGTCTTCACCTTCAGCCATGCCTTTGCCTACGTGACGGTCTTGACACGATCGCCAATCACGGCCATTTCCGTGTCCACGGTGGGATTTCCCATCATTGGGCTCTGGTGGTCATTCTTCCAAATCAACCATAGTTTTTTCGTCTGGATGCCCGTGATGAGTGGGGAGCTTATCTGCGCCACCTTGGGACTCGTATCCGTGTGTGCAGGAGTCTATTACTTTGTCAAGTTTGAGATCCTCAAGCCAGCCAGAGTTCACAAGACTAGGGTCGATCAACACTACTGATTGATCGATAATGTAAATAAATACATAGGTTAATAATATATGACACGCACATATACTTACTTACTTTTAAGCTGATGGATGTTCTGGTCAAACCGTGATTTTGTAATTAATAATACTTATTAATAAACTACAAAATAACGAGTCGCACAGTAATCACCGTAAATACTCTTGTCACTTTTATGCATGCAATTCATTGTGCCTTGGCTAACAAAAATATCAGGAAATAAGAAGGATTTTTTGTCGTATTTGTTATGTTAGATTTGTTATACAATCAAAAAAAATTTGAGGTTGGAAAGTCGGAAGAATTTTGTGATATGAAAACCGGGCCGGAACAATTCAAAAGTCTCAAGTCAGCTTCAATTTCTTTCAATTGGTGCACTAATTCTGATTTCTTCTTGTCGAGCGATTCGCTGAAATAGGCCGGCAAACCCACGTACTCGTGAGTGAGCTCGTCCCATCGAGATTGGAGACCCTGCAGTTCGAATTTTACAAATAGTCAATACACATCTATATCTATCGTTTGGAGGCAGATATTCACAGCATAATCTTGTCTGCTCACACTAATCAGGGAACACCGTTCGAAATGACTCATGACTCTGCAATTTGGAGGAACTTGTGCGTCCATCGTTTCCCGTTTTAAGCGTTGGGCTTCGCAGTAGAGCTCAAACTTTCGTCTCTGGAGATAGTCAGGAACTCTTCCGAAGCCTGGTGAGAGGACGAAGGGGAGGGTGCTCAGGTCCATCTTGTGACTCCCGTCCTCACAGTTGTAGCACCGCTTCGTTCGTCGATGAGGCATCCGAATGACACGGAGAGCATTCTCCTCTAAGAAGTCTCTCCTGCCTCGTTCCACTCTCGGAGGTGGGTCGCCCCCACACCTCCGGCGAATGCGCCCTTTCTCGCCGTCATCACTCTTGGATTTTCCATCACGTTGGGCCATGATATCTGCGCCTGGAGTCCGCAGAACTAAAAGAAAAGGCTCTTCATGCTATGTTATACAGTGAGCAATGACAGGTATGTACAAACCGAAGGGGTCAATAAACACGGGGTGGGAGCGACTATGTTTCCTCAAGAATTCTTTCGGTCTCTCAAAGCACCCACTGGGTGGGCCCATAGTGTTGTAGCATCCCGTCCTTTGACACCACGTATCAACTCGAACCTTTTTTGCGAATCGGGAACGAAATCTAGGAAATGAATTAAAAATTGCTGATGGCCCCACGATTGGTTCAACCGAAATTGTATACTTCGAAAATATGTAAATAATGCAACCTAGATGTTTGGGAAGTGTCGCACGGGGGATAAATACTCTCATCCAAGTCGTCAGAATATCTTTGAAATCCAAACATCTCCATCCTTCTTGGAATTAACGACAGAAACTTCCTCAACCTCAAGAAACTTAAAATACAAAAACAAAAATCATATCATGCAGAATTTCAATTTTTTGAGAATCTTGTCTTGAACATCTTGATATGCATTTTTGTGGAGTTACTTATTATTGCCAATAACAACAATGACCATGCAAATAATATTCAGTAGTGACTTTGCCTAACGTCTCTTCCAAGATTGCTTGACAATTTATCATAATACAAGGTTACGACATGCGACAGTTGCTTCGATAGCCTGAAAAACCTACTCCAAGCAACTTTGCGGGGCCTTCTAAGATGGCATTATTCACTGAAAGTCGGACTCCTAATGATTTGCATATAATTTCGTGAGATATGATTAACTTCGCCAAGTTTCAGCCTCCCACGACAATTTCGGAACGTTTCTATGACATTTAAATTTTTATGTGGTCCACCTAAATGACCCCCACTGACCAACCACTTGACCGATCATGCCCATCTCCGAACTCAACCTTACTTTTTGCCCGAAGATGAAGTATGCAAAATTTCAAGTCTATAGCTTTTGTTTAAAAAGAGTTATCGTGCCTACAGACGGACAGACAGACATCTTGACAAATCTATAAGACCATCTTAAAAGGCCTAAAACCTCCAGGGCCGTCGCTAACGGTAACTAAAGCACAAAAATTTCTAACAGAACGCCGAAATAGCCGATTTCACATTTACAACTGCACTGGTTCTTGTATCCATGGTTAAAAATTAATTCGTGGGAACGAAATGTGAGTGCACCCTGGTTCCAAAAGGTACCAGGGTTTTCGAAAATTGAAGTTTTTTCATCGTCGAAGTAAGCATCGTGAAGACTGAAGAGACGAAGTTGCAGTTGGCATGTAGATTATTACAAAAATTATCACATAGTGGCAGTAGTGATGGGTTCTCAAACGTTTCACTCTCTGATTGACAAGAGTTACATGAATTTATGTCAACTTTTAATTTATTCATAAATTGCTACCAAACCCAGCCTTATATTTGCAGCTTTATGTGTTATTTTAACATAATTAATTGGCCCTGTGTCCCTTCCCATGATGTCGCAATCGACCTTAGATTCGAAATCAGCGACCAAAAAACTATAAGAATCTACATTTACCCAACCTCAACAACGTTGAAATAATTAATTATTAATGATGAATTATTTGTAACAATTGTAAACACGGAACATGTGAGGCCGCTAATCTCACGTGCTATTAATATAAAGAGGCTATTAATAGCACATAGGCTATGTGTATTAATAGCACCCAGTTGCTATAAATATACATATATATACATAGGCATACATATATACATATGTACATATATATAGATATGTATATATATATATGCATACATATGTGCATATATATATATATATATGTCATATATGTGTATATATGTATATACATATCTACTCTAATAAAGTGTTAGTATGATCCCTGGGTCCCTGGGTCAGTCTTCGCAATGCAAATTGCCCCATACAGTAGACAAAGGAAGCGGAGCAACCACTGCATGCATGCACTGCACTGCATGAATAAATGAATACATGAACATGTACACCCCACATACATACATCACTCATCAATAGTGGTTATCATGATAAGTGATCGTGATAAACACTATTAATTAATTATTTTAGTTTGAGAAACTCTACCCACAGCGAGTGGCATGTCAATTCGAATGTATTTTTGACGCTGAATCCAACGCCGTCAATGGTTTTGACCTGCGAGGCCCCCGTGACCTCGCCGTGACCGTGGTGTCCAAATCTGGCTTATTCGTGATGTCGCATATCAATTCGAATGTATTTTTGACGCTGAATCCGAATCCGTCAATAGCTTGGCGTTAATTGTAGAAGTTAACGGGGTTTATGGAACTTAACGGGAGCGTGAAGCGTGGGAATTTAAATAGTTAGCTATGCAGTTACTCCCACGCGACGGGAATTTAAGTAATTAGCTATTCAACTACTCCCACAGGGGGGAATCAAATTTTACTGTGACCAGGTTAATTAAAATGCAGTATGACTTGGGCAAACCCTCAGTCTGATGTATGTATGTAGTATGACAAAGTCTCCACTGGGAATTATTTAAAATATAGTATGACGGATTTTTCGCTTTGGGCACACCCCCCACTGGAACTCTAGAACCCGGCCTTGGCCGGGCTATACGCTAGTATATGTATATAGCACCAAGTCATACTGGGTGCTATTTATAGCAGAACTTTCACCGGGTGCTATTTATAGCAGAACTTTCACCAGGTGCTATTTATAGCAGAACTTTCACCGCCCTCCAGAGGGTATAAAAGGAGCTGCACCAGAAATTTTTGTCAGTCTGCGGGAGGCGCTCGTGGGGGACGGCGCCCCTGGACCGCCCTGCCTCTCTGGGGAGTCGGGTCCACCCGTGGTTTGTCCCACAGCCCCGACTCTCTTCCCGTTGGAGGGGTGGTCCGGGGGAGCAACGCTGCAAGGGGAGAGCCTTACGGGAAGGTCCCCCCTCCAATGCTCCTCCCACCAAGCAGGCTCACCGGGTGGGGAGCCGGCGGGGCTTGCCAAAAGTGCGGGTGGCGCTTGGCAAGTGAGAGGGGCTCTCTACCTCCAACCCTTGGGTGACGCCGCTCTTTAGCGATACCTCCCCTTGGGGCCGACCGGGTTCCCGAGTTCGAAGCCTTAATGGGGGCCGATTTACGGGTGCGCTCCCACCTCGTAAGGCGAGGGTCAGACGGGCCCCCTAGGGGAACGCGGTTGCAGAGGCGGTGACGTGGGCAGGGCTTTCCCGGTCGGTGGAGGTAGACCCCCGTTGCGCGTCAGGGCGCGAGTGGGGGCCCGCCCGCGTGGAGCACGAGGGAGCGACGTCCTCGTCGTGTGCTCTGGAAACGCCCTTCTCAGGGCGGCCAACAGCTCCCCCCTTATAAATGCAGGGCATGGCGACAACCTTTGTCGCCATGCCATAACTTCGCTATTTCTCGGCCGATTTGCATGAAATTAAGCACAACGCTTCTTATTGGTGTTGTCGACATGTCGCAAGGTCCCACCCGTCGCCACCCACTTGTTTTCGCCAAATTTCGTCGTCATGCCAGAACTTCACCATTTTTCGTCCGATTTGCATGAAATTTGACACGGTGCTTCTTATTGGTGTTGTCGACGTGTCGCAAGGTCCCACCCGTCGCCACCACATTGTTTTCGCCAAATTTCGCCGCTATGTCATAATTTCGCCATTTCTCGGCCGATTTGCATGAAATTGAGCACAATGCTTCTTATTGGTGTTGTCGACGTGTCGCAAGGTCCCACCCGTCGCCACCCCCTTGTTTTCGCCAAATTTCGTCGCCATGCCATAATTTCGCCATTTCTCGTCCGATTTGCATGAAATTTGGCACAGTGCTTCTTATTGGTGTTGTTGACATGTCGCAAGGTCCCATTCATGAAGTCTATCCTTCAGACAAGCAACGTCAACCGGTGCACAACCGGCAATGTTGTGCAGATAAAGATCCATTGCCTCCTTAATCTGCCTTTGAGTCACCACGGAAGTCTGATCCACCACGATGATTGAAAAATTGTCCGGGCTGTGCATATTGAGCAATTTGTACGAGTACTTCCTATTGATCATCAATGGACGATCCGGATAGCACGACTCGAGGCTGCCCAAATCCTTATCAAGCAATATTTCAGTAATCACTCGTCGTTCCTAAAACAAGTGTTTTTATTCGTAAGTAAATTCTTATGAGGTGTGTGAGTTGTAAATTCACGTTGGTTAATTTATGAGTGTGTGTATGTTAAGTGTAGCGCAACTTGAATTAGTGTGCACCAGTTTCTTAGCATAAAGCTCTATGGTTGTGTAAATGATTTCGTAGTTAACTTCAATTGGTTAATTTTATATTAATATTAACTGGTTTATTTATGTTTCAATTAATTAGTACATACAAACTGTGTATGATACTATTTCTATTAGTTGATTTGGGGTAATGTGATACAACTATTTCTGATAGGTAACTTGATACAACTACTTTGATGGGTAATTTGATACAAGTAATTTGCAATCTCAATTTCCCATTTGGGGCAATCTGAGATTTGCGATTCACTCTTGTGCAGAACAACCCTCTGTTGCGAAAAGATTAAATGGGCGTTACGCGGGCTTTGGTCCGTGGCTAGCTTTATACTGCAGAGCGGACGGAAAAGCACCCGTGTATGCTAACTAATACATTTCATTTCCCAACTAAAATAAGTCAATTTGCACATTATATACATAAATACATTGGTTTGTTCAACATTGGAACAAATACATGCATACATTAAATGCTTCGTTTCTACCTGTTTAGCAAACTACAAAGCTGGACAACTCAATCTGCATAAGATGAGTTTGCAAGATGTGGCATCACTGCCAGTGTTCTGTGTTGCAAAACATTGATTTGCATGCTTCGGTTTGCTTCTACTGCAAAACCAATGTAAATTGCGTTCAATCTGCATCTTAAATGCAAACTGAACACAAAATGCAAACTACACATTACAACTCCAATTGCATTCATGTTCCTACATATTAGGAATCTGAACATTCCGGCCCCCTTGGACTAACTAGTTCTAAAATAATATTACTTAATACTAACTAAAATTAATTTTCAGTCTTTAGATCAGCGTTTTCTGTTTCGACGGGTAGTAGGCACAGCTTTACGATGGGTCGCTCGTACTCTCCAGTAGCTGCTCTCACCAGTACCTTTCTGACCTTCTGATCTGCTCCTGGTTTAACTTCTATAACTTGTCCAAGTTTCCAATGTAAAGGTGGCAAGTTATCTTCCTTGATTATTACCAGTGAGCCTTCTTTAATGGATTCCACTGGTTGCATCCATTTTGGTCTTTGTTGTAGTCTGACGATATATTCAGATGACCATCTTTTCCAGAACTGTTGTAGCATCTGTTGAACTAGCTGCCATCTCACGAGTCTGGTAGTTGGGATTTCAGTTAAATCCGGATCAGGGATCGACGTCAATGGTTGACCAATGATGAAATGTCCAGGTGTCAGTGCTCTTAAATCCGATGGATCAGTTGACTCAGGCGTTAATGGTCTTGAGTTTAGCACTGCCTCGATCTGGCTTGTAAGAGTTGTCAGCTCTTCGAATGTTAATCGATTTAATCCCATTATTCTTCTAAGATGGTATTTGGTCGATTTCACCCCTGCCTCCCAGAGTCCTCCGAAGTGTGGCGCTGAAGATGGGTTGAAATGCCAAGATATTCCTTCCTTAGACATTGTTAATGCGATCTGATTATTATGGCTTACACTGTTGGTAAGTTTTTGCAACTCCTTTAGTTCCTTGTCAGCTCCGACAAAATTTGTGCCATTATCGCTGTACATGTCTGATGGCTTGCCACGTCTAGCTATGAATCTTCTAAAGGCAGCTATAAATGCTTCAGTGCTGGCCGAACTAACAACTTCTAAATGTATAGCTCTAGTCGCACAGCAAATGAATATCGCTAAATATGCCTTTAATGTCACCTTACTTCTGGGTGTAATAGGTCGAATCAAGAAAGGTCCAGCATAATCGATTCCACATTTCTGGAAGGTATGGGATGGAGTTACTCGAAATGAAGGTAGATCTGCCATCATCTGTTGCATGGTTTCTGCTCGATTTCTTGTACAGATGACACATTTTCGAATGATCCTCCTCACAGCATCCTTTCCTCGAACAATCCAATATCTTTGTTGTAGATAAGATAATAAAGTTTGTGAACCAGCATGTAGGTTCAACAAATGCGCATTTTCTATTATCATCGTTGTAATTCTGTGATGCGGTGGCAGGTGGAATTTGAAGTAAATTTTCTGATTGACATTCCGCAACGTTTCAATAGTTCAATGATTTCGTGCTGAAGTTTTACTGCATTCTCTTCAGTGTCAGCTCCAGACAATAAATCATCCATATAGAAATCTTCTTGTAACACTGGTGATGCAATTGGAAAATCAACTTGTTTTGCTAACTCGCTTAGCACACGAGTAGCTAAATATGGACCAGCAGCCGTGCCATAAGTAATTGTTAGTAATTTATAATGTTTAAGTGGTTGATCTGGCGATTCCCTCCACACAATATGTTGAAATTCTTGATCATCACTCGATACAAGGATCTGTCTGTACATTTTTTCAATATCAGCATTTATTGCAATTTTATGCTTTCGGAATCTCATTATTAAGTTTGCTAATGTGTCTTGAACAGTAGGTCCAACCATAATTGTATCATTCAATGAGAGGCCGTTAGACGTTTTAGCTGATGCGTCAAATACTACGCGAAATTTGGTCGTGGTAGATGATTCTTTTAACACAAAATGGTGGGGTAAATAGCATCTAAATTCGCTATCTTTGTTTGGTGGTGGCACTTCTATCATATGCCCCAAGTTTATGTAGTCATCCATAAATTTTTTGTATTCTACAACATAGTGTTTATTTTTATGGAGTCGCCGTTCTACTTGCTTGAAACGATTTATTGCAATATTTAATGATTCCCCTAACTGCACTTTAGGAGTTTTAAATGGGTATTTCACAATGAACTCACCCGCTTTGGTTCTTTGAACAGTATTTTTAAAATGGTCCTCACACCGTTTTTCCTCAGCACTGAGCAGTTGTGAGTCTTGCACTTTTTCTATTTCCCAGAAACTTTTTAATAATGCATGCAGCTTTAAATTCTGGTCATTTTCAATTGATTTATTAATTTGAGTATGATACAATTTCATCTAATTTTTATTATTAGTTCGGCCGCCGCCAATTAACCATCCTAATTGTGAATTAATTGCGATCGGTCCAGTGGAATCCCCTTCCTTCTCCCCATCGATTATATTATAAAAGAGTTCAGCTCCGATTAATATATCGATATCAGCTGGGGTTTGAAATGTCGGATCCGCGAGTTGATTATTTGTTTTACTTTTGATTATTTGATTATGAAGACGGCTGACAGTGCTTTCACCTATCTTCGCAATTGGTAACCTACTAATTTTTGGTACCACGTAAGCTTCCATATGGAAAGTTTTATTTTTATCGAAATGTGGAAAAAAGGTAATATTCACGATTCCCTTTGCACATCCGACTTGAGTTTGACCTAGTCCACTAATTGATACATAGGTTTTTCGTTTTCGTAATTTTAGCCGATTAACGCATGATGCAGTTATAAAATTATTTGTTGATGCATTATCTAACAATGTTTTACAGTTCACAAATTCATTTAAATTATTCTTGATGGCCACACAGGCTGTTGCTATTATTGGATAGCAATCTGAAGGCGTTTCTAGTCATTCAGAATTGTTGTAGAACAAGCTGGATCCTCCATTACTTGAAGTTGAAGAGATGCCTTCACTCCTCCCCTGGGTGTGAAATACCTGGCTAGTTCTTTCTTGTTGATGTTCAGCTTGTTGCTGATTTCCTTGCTGTCGTTCATAATTCTGTTCCCTCCGAGAATTATAGTTAGCTTGCGTGTGCATATTATGAGAAACGACTGAATTATGTTTGTAAATGTGGCTAATTTATTTATTGGGCGTGCGATTACGTAACTATTTGCAAAAGAATAAACTACGCATAAAATGATTTTCAGTGGTTGTGGACTTGGTGATATTTATTTCTCTCGAGAGAGGATGAAACTCATGTGTGAAAAAGTGGTGGACATTTGTGTCCCAATAAAGAGGCAGCTTGAGACGCAGTATTTGGTGGTCTGACTACATATACGTTTATTCCCTCCTTCCACTTTGCTGTCCAAAAACCCAATAATCCACTTTACAATGTCAACCTTTTCATATTGTTTTCTCTCTCCCCCACTACTTAAGGATCTATGTACATACGTGTATCTTACAATCTCACATAATGCTGCCTTTGCACTCTCTCACGCTTCTGCATGGGTCAAGAGTCAAGCATAATAAATTTTAATGGTTGGCTGGAACTTTGTTGCTGGCTGGTCGAAACTGGACACTTTTCACCAGATCTTGGTCTCTGGTTGAGATGAGATGCTGACAATATTTTGATTTTGAGCATCATTTCGTTGATTCTCAGCGGCGTTATTGTGAAGTAAATAACTATGTTGCTGATTACACTTTTTGCATCTAAAAGGACTGTCACAGATGCCATGTTTGGGTAGTAGACAAATATAACATAATTTTTCCCTTTTTACAAGCGCCCATCATCGTTGCACCCTTAAATTCTCTGCATTTGTATAGTGGATGATTTTCCCTACATCCCATCTTACATTTTTTAGTTGGTGCTTGAGTGTGGTGCACGGTAGCTGTCTTCTTTTCAGACCCTGATTTCTGATTTGATGCAACATACGCAGTATTTTCTAACGCCATGGCATGCCGTTCTAAAAATGAAATTAGGTCCGCCAATTTGATTATGTCATTGTCCTTAAGACTATGCTCCCACAAGTCTTTTGCAGCAGGATCAAGTTTGCTTGCGATGTGATAGATGTAAAATTGTTCTGCATGTACATCCAGATTACAATGAAGAAGCTCCATGGATCTGATACATCTATTTGCGGCATCGATAAGGGCTTTGACGGATTTTGACGTTGCTGTTGCTTTTGGCTGAGAGCAAAACTTATCCAAGGTAGCAAAGGCAATCATACGCTTGTTTTCGTACCGATCATGTAATTGCTTCCAAGCCTGATCGTAATGTGCATCTGTCAGGGGTAAATCAGCAGTATAGCGGCCAGCTTCTCCCTTCAGTAACGCTTTGAGGTAAGTAAATTTCTCCACTTTCGAGACACTCGCATTGGAATGAACTGCTGCTTCAAACGAGTCTTTAAATGTAGCCCACTCCAAATAGTTACCGTGGAATGGTTGAATTTCCAATTTAGGTAACCTCACATTAGTGTAAACTACAGTTGGTGTGGAGCCGCTGGTAGCCGTTGCCGGAATAACTGTATTTCTTACGTCTCTCAGTGCCACTGAAACTTGACGCACAGTTTTATACAACAGCATGTAGGCGTCTGTATCGTCGTCTAGATCACTTGGGTTCAGTATCGTAATTTGCTGAAACCCATCGTCTAGTGTATTTGACCATAAACTAACTTCTTTAAGATATGTGTCAACGGTGGCGAGGTCCATTGGGTGAGTAGCATGATCCTTAGCTTGATCGAGATAAAACTTAAATTTCTTGCCAATCATGTCCCTCACCCCCCGCAAGTCATCAAGTTTGCCCATTTTGATTTGGTTAAAACACTTAATTTTAACTTCAAAATACGGACTAAAGATTGTTTGTGAAAACCTTACCAGTATTAATTTTTAGAAAGACTAAATACTGCGCGAGAACTAACGTAAATCACTTAATTCACACGATAGATAAATTATCACCTCAAAGGAATTCGCTTATATCGAAAAAATTAGTGTTCACAATTATTAGTCTTATTTATAATTGCACCGTTCGCGAGACCATGTTTTTAATCGTAAGTAAATTCTTATGAGGTGTGTGAGTTGTAAATTCACGTTGGTTAATTTATGAGTGTGTGTATGTTAAGTGTAGCGCAACTTGAATTAGTGTGCACCAGTTTCTTAGCATAAAGCTCTATGGTTGTGTAAATGATTTCGTAGTTAACTTCAATTGGTTAATTTTATATTAATATTAACTGGTTTATTTATGTTTCAATTAATTAGTACATACAAACTGTGTATGATACTATTTCTATTAGTTGATTTGGGGTAATGTGATACAACTATTTCTGATAGGTAACTTGATACAACTACTTTGATGGGTAATTTGATACAAGTAATTTGCAATCTCAATTTCCCATTTGGGGCAATCTGAGATTTGCGATTCACTCTTGTGCAGAACAACCCTCTGTTGCGAAAAGATTAAATGGGCGTTACGCGGGCTTTGGTCCGTGGCTAGCTTTATACTGCAGAGCGGACGGAAAAGCACCCGTGTATGCTAACTAATACATTTCATTTCCCAACTAAAATAAGTCAATTTGCACATTATATACATAAATACATTGGTTTGTTCAACATTGGAACAAATACATGCATACATTAAATGCTTCGTTTCTACCTGTTTAGCAAACTACAAAGCTGGACAACTCAATCTGCATAAGATGAGTTTGCAAGATGTGGCATCACTGCCAGTGTTCTGTGTTGCAAAACATTGATTTGCATGCTTCGGTTTGCTTCTACTGCAAAACCAATGTAAATTGCGTTCAATCTGCATCTTAAATGCAAACTGAACACAAAATGCAAACTACACATTACAACTCCAATTGCATTCATGTTCCTACATATTAGGAATCTGAACATTCCGGCCCCCTTGGACTAACTAGTTCTAAAATAATATTACTTAATACTAACTAAAATTAATTTTCAGTCTTTAGATCAGCGTTTTCTGTTTCGACGGGTAGTAGGCACAGCTTTACGATGGGTCGCTCGTACTCTCCAGTAGCTGCTCTCACCAGTACCTTTCTGACCTTCTGATCTGCTCCTGGTTTAACTTCTATAACTTGTCCAAGTTTCCAATGTAAAGGTGGCAAGTTATCTTCCTTGATTATTACCAGTGAGCCTTCTTTAATGGATTCCACTGGTGCGACGCACACTGGTTCCAAAAGGTACCAGGGTTTTCGAAAATTGAAGTTTTTTAGGCGTCGAAGCAATTGTCGCAACCTTGTAATTATTACTAAAGTTGTCAAGCAACCTTGCGTCTCTTCAGTCCTAATAACGATAAAATACAACTTCGTCACCTAATTTTAATTTTCGTGTATAACTTTTTGTAACACTCATCAAAATGGTGGAATCTAATGATGACGATGTCGTGGGAGAGTCTGCCGTTGCTCCCAATCCTCCTCCGCCTCCTCCAGCTACGACTCAGGCATCACCGTCCTCCACTCCTAAAAAAGGGCTCCCCTCCACCAAAAAGGGTCCCACTCCCCCAGTCCGTCCCAAGAAGCAATGGGAGAAGCGTCAACGTCAGTCAGGGAAGACCACAGACCACAGACCCAATATGTGCTCCTCCCTTGGGGACATGTGTCGCCTCATGATCAGAATGGCCTTCAAGGAAAACACGGTGGGATTTAATACGACACTTGCTTATGCATAATAATATATGTGAAAATACACAATATAATTCTTTTCCACCTCATAAGTTGAGCATGGATGAACCCGTCGCGTTTTACGACTTTTGGCACAAATTCAAAGTAGTCGACCCCAGCGACAAGTTACCCCTCCAAAACGTGGACACGAGGAAGGTGTCCACCCCACGACTCAAGGTGAACGCTTCGAGCTTCGACATGCTGGACAAAACGGGCCGCTCCGTGGTTTCTCTTCACGTCGTGGACTCTGGGGAGAGGAAGGCCGATCCGGACCATCAGTTGGCCCCCGCACTTTCCGACCTCTGGAAAAATGCCCATGTCTCAATGTTCTCCTCCACCAAAGGTTAGTCTTTCAAAATCAAACTGGCCAAAAACATTTTCAAATTAGAATTTGTATAATTTTTTAGTACCTGAGCGACAAGAGAACGTTCCGCTCGAAGGTGGAAGGAGTGACAAGGACGACGATGTGGCTCTCGCTCTGCTGAGGGACTCTGATGATGAGGACTTTGATGCGTCGTCCAACGCTAGTTCTGTCCGTGAGGGTGGACCAGTGCTGCAGACAGGAGGCGAGGGTCACCCCATTGGTCGTCCTGGTGGTGAAAAGAAGGGTTCGAAGACCAGCAGTATGGCTAGTCTTAGAAAGTCTGCGACGAACGATAAGCAGAAGAAGGAAACGGGAATGCTGGCTGCGTCTATGCTTCACACCGAGTTGGAAAAGGCACGCCAGGTCACGGAGATGTCGTTACGGAGTGAATGTGGCGACCAGAGTGATGAAGTGATGGACCATCTCATGGATGACTCGTTCCTCTTGGATGCCATGAGTTATGGACTTCTTCCCGATTCGGCCTTCGTCCCGGACTTTGACTACTTCAACGAGGATCCTCTCCGTCTGGAGAAGGCAGCGGAGACTTCCAGAGTAATAATAACTGCATAGCCGTGTCTCTCCATTAAATAGTATCTGTGCACTCCTTCATAAATTGTGCAGGGGAAGCATGCCAAGAAGGATAAGCAGTCACGACGACGTTCCGCATCTGAAACCACGCTCGAGATCACCGACACAGAGTCTGAAATTGGAAGTGTCAATGCTGCGGAATGCGCTACGCCCTCCACTCAAGTTAGGGACGATTATAATACGTGTGTCATGAAGCAGAGGAGGCGGATCGAGGACAGGATTCGGTCAGCTTTTGCTCGTCGTGGGCCGATGGGGGACTACATCACGCCACCCGGAGAACAGCCTCTCGCCAGGACAGGTGAGCAGTCTCCTTCAAAGACTGATGATCACTCACTGGATGATAAGTAGTCGAAACTCACTGTTTCAGGCACCTTCATCGGTCCAGGACCCGCTGCATATTTTCCCGACATTAATTCGGTCAAGGCCGGCCCCGTCGGAGTATTTCTGGTGAAACGATGGACCAAGAGCATTTGTAAATAACCAAAATACATTTACCCAGGAAGAACATATGTCTCTTAATCGAGTTGAACGAGAATTTTGTCTGCAGATGAAACGCCAGGACCCGGCCCGGCCGCATATTTCCCCAACTGTAACAAGTGCACCGGGGAAATGCTCAACCTCCATTTTGCAGATCGTTTTGAAAAGTCCGAAACTGTGGGGCCAGGGCCTGGTCAGTATGACACCCTCAAATACACGGCCGCAGGGAAAGATAAACCACGTGCTCTCGTTCTCTCCAGGTCCACTATTGCCTCTTTTCCTTTTTAGCAGTAAATGTACATCGTGATCATCGTTTAATGTTGCCACAGACGCCCAGAGAAAAAGGTTGGGTGCGGAGGGTCCAAATATGTAAACATATACGGGTTTAACCAGTTTGGAAAGCGAAATCCACCCAAAGCTTTGATTCTTAGTCGACGAGTACCCAAAGAGATGGTTAAACCAGGACCGGGTGCAGGTGACCCTTATGCCGCAGAGGACAAGTACGCATTTCATCCATTTCAGCCTTTGTGTGGTAACATGCATGGAATGAATTATTCCTCTCGTTTCAGGAGGGTGGGGATCTTGATAAAGTCGCGAATTCCTCCCATTGGTTCGCAGGGTGAGACTCCAGGCTACCTCAACCTGCCCCCACTCATCGGGCAAGGGCCAGGAATTTCTCTGGGCATTCGGAAGTTTCCCAACTTGCATGCAGACAGTCCTGGACCAATCTACCAGTATGGCTTACTCCTAAATACATATCCACCAAGCAATTATTTACTAAGTATATTCTACTTAACAGAATTCCGCATAACGACCCAAAGCCGGTCACGATGACCTTCAAACCATTCCCGATGCCTGGCAGAGAGGAGGAACCATCCCCCCTTCACTATGGAACCAAGCCTGGCGACCAAGCTGTAAAGATGACCAAACCCAAAGGACCAAACCCTTTGATTTGTGGAACCCACGATCTCAATTACGGGAAGGGAAACACTCCCGGCCCCAACAAGTATAATAATAAACACTCGTCTCAAAGTCCCAAGTCGTTGTTGTTTACAGAATACTTACTTTAATATTCAGATACAAAATCAAGGACTGCAAGTGCAAGATTGGAATCACAATGAAGCAAAGATATCCAACCTCTACTGAAGAAACTCCAGGTCCTGCGAACTACGACGTCGGTCGGAGCCACGTCCACTGCCCTCCTCGAGCCGTGTTCCAGCACAAGTGGCGAGAACCCAAGAACAAAACCCTGTTGGAAAAGTGCGACTGGCATGTTGGGGATGAACCGAATACAAATATTATGGACCCCTGTACAAGTCTTCTTCAGAGTCCTAGAGACCTACACCGAGTCAAAGGAGGGCTCCTGTCCTCTCGATGGTCTCAGAAATTGGAAGAGGAGGAATCTGGGCCTGGATTTTATGACGTTTTTGGTTTCACCAACAGAGGAAAATATTCTAAAATTCCAATATCTTTCAAGTCTCGCCAATCCCCTTTCGTTTTCACCCACATGTCCAAAAACGCAGAGATGCCCAACAGAACAAGTTGTGATACGGGGAAAATAAATTCAGCAGCAACAACAGGACAAAAATATTGCTAGAAATTTGAGCGTGACATGTCAATAACTTGTTATTACTTCTGAGAGAAAGATGATAAAGAAATAAATTTTGGCACCACCACCACCACCTTTTTAGCAATTGAACAGTAAAATGCTAAAATCTGTAGTATGCAGAGTTTTTTTATCATGATCTTCTTTATCCACGCATGAGTCTGTTTAACTTGAGACTGAAATCGTCCGATGTTTCAATTTCTCTTGAATAGACGCCAAGCACGTCCTCCGCCATTTGGTACAAGTCCCAGACGCGTTGCTGCAATAATTTCCGAGCGATTAATTCATGTAATTAAAAATAATTAGTAGTTTCGGTACGTACTCCATCCTCGTGGAAGACCGTGTCCACCAGTTGATCTCTAAACGGACCCCACTCCAACAAATCTGTGTCGGAAGGAATGCCGTATCGCTTCTCCATTTCTGGCAATTCTGGGAAATCCATCATACTGATCTGTTCGGACAGCTTGATACTGTACGACCGAACCCTGGCAGGGGTTCCATCCTGGTTTTCTGTGTCACCTAAATCTTTGGAGGTGGAGGGTCGTCCTTGAGTCGAGGTGGACTTGACTCGCGTATGTTTCGTACCACGACGAGACAGTCTTTCTCTGGGCCTGGATTCAGATTCTTTGAGTGGCGATTGAATTCGGACCGATGAAGCTTTCGGCGTGACTCCCTTTGCTTTGGATGAAATAATGCTCACATTTGAGGACGACTCTATAATGCTTTTCTTTATTCCCAGTTGCTGAGTGCTGCTACGCCCCATTTTCATTTGAGATTGGGAAGATTCTAAATCTCCTACTTCGGATACACCTGGACCAAAACCTTTCGTGTTAATTCGACGAAGGATAAACCGTTGATCTCTCGTCTGTGATTAGGTAACTAGTTGTTAGGAATGAGGGGACCAATCATACCTTCATAGACAGAGTGACCAGGATAATACTTGAAGGCACCGCCACTGTTATCAGTCATAAACGGATCGACCTGCGTACATAAACCGGAACTGAGCACTAGAACTGATGAAACAAACATCAAATGCTTAAGAAGTTGACCTCTACGATTGGAGGCAGAGTATCCGTTGGTGTCAACGTGATGTTGTGGTCCATTTTTGCTAAACGGTTGAGCACTCGATTGACCCTGAAGGAAAAACAATTTATCAATGACGCCTGCCAGAAGCGTTGTATACTTTAGGGTACGTTTGTAAACTTCATAACGCAATTTTTTTGCATCTACCCACCCTTTTTTAACATGTCACCTAGCCAGTAGGTCATTGGGCCCTGACTCTTGCGTTGTGAAGTTTACGAATGTCCCCTTCTGTATGTTTACAGAACAGACTAACCTAAACACTGGATGCTTTTACCGAGAGTTAGTCTGCACCATGTGGACACGAAGCTAACCAGATACTTTTAAAGTATGACCGACATCAGCCTGTCTCACCACCTAACTTGACTTTGACCTTTGGGGAGAGCCGGATCATATAAACAAAGTGACGTGCGGTTGCCTCACGAGGTTACATTTGTTGCTTATCTCTTTTACAGAGGCAACCGCACGTCGTCTTTTTACATGACACGGCCCTCTCCTCAAGTCAAAGTTATGGCTTACTGAGGATGAGATGAAAAAGCCTGGCCGATAACAATAACTTTGAAAATGAGATAAAAATAACTATCAAGCGCAGTTGCCCGCATGTAAAGCATCTTGATCAGACCATGGATAAGCATCGGTTATCCAATGTGTCCACATAATGCGCGGACTAACTTTGTAAAGGTCCTGCATATCCCGACCAGGTTCCATCAAACCTGCAATTTATTGCACATCAGTTGTCTAATTAGGTCGTGTAATTATTAGAGGTGTGTAAATTTACCATCAATTGCGAGTTTTCGATAACGGTTTCTCTCAGCTTTAATCCTTCCGATGCGCCTCGTTGTCCAAGCTTGGCGTTCTTGCTCTTCCAATCGCTCAAGCAACGTTGCCATATACTGTGAACGGTACTCTTGGTATGGAATTATTGCCAATTTTTAAGTCTCGAAATTCAGAAATTCTTACCTTCGTGTCGGTCAACCTGACTCGATCAGTTCCCATGAGGCGTTCCAACCTTACCACGACTCGTCCGGGCGCATCCGCTCTGTTTTTATTTTACGCAGAGAAGAATTAGAGTGGCCTCAATTACCTTCAGTTACAAGCGAAGGAAAAGGAATTTGTGGACATACGGAAACTCGAGCTCTTTTTCATAACTTTCGATAGGTGGGAGGTGGACACGGACCTTATTTTGAGAACGAGAACCTCCCCTTCCTCCTTGTTTCGACGACTTGAGCATCTTTGGCTTATTTACACCGTCCGGAGATCCATGATTTGACTTGGATGGGTGAGTGGGGTCCATTCGTAGCTGAACTCAGAAGAAGAGAGCTACAAAAATTGAGAGCTACAAAAATTGACCAAAAAACTCAAGTGAACTCTTCCGGATAAAAAATATGACAAAACTGCTAAGAACGTGACAATTTTAATTACGGTGAAATTTGAAAGCGATCGTGATATGAATTGATCGTGATCGCTCAGTTGCTAAGGCACTGAAGTTCATGACCAACATTATTTGACACTTTATCAATCTATAAAACACCCAATCTACTAAAAGACCCAAGCGTTATCTAGATAATACTTACGTATCTAGATAACTTGCACTAGATATCTAGATTGCTTGACATTAATGTCAAGCAATCGTGGATCAGGCTTATCTTCAAACTAATCCTTACGTTTTGCCCGAAGATGAAGTATGCAAAATTTCAAGTCGATAGCTTTAGTTTAAAGAGAGTTACAGTGCCTACAGACGAACATCTTGACAAATCTATAGGGCCATCTTAAAAGGCGTAAAACATAAATTACTTTATTTCTCGTTCAAGAAATTGTGAATTCGGCTTCTTCACCTTTATTCTAATAGCATTTCTGTAACATAAAATTCCCATCGGTTCATAACTTATATTTGACGCCACGGGGGAGCAGTCTTTGGTCTCTGGTTGTTAGACATGTTGAATGGAGTGGAGTGAGAGGTGGTGCTCAATGTTCCTCTGCATCTCGTCCAGTTGTGAGCACTTGCTGGTGAGAAGGAGGTACTGGTGCTGGATGAGTGCCCGGTAGAAGAGGAGGCCAAAGCCCAGGATGGCCAGCAGGACGGGGATCATAATCATCGTGGCGCAGATGGAGGCCGTCACGGAGAAAAAGGTGAACTTGATCCAGCAGAGGATAATCACATCCAGCGTGAAGAGGAAAATGGACACCGTGTTCGCCAACACCCACGACGCGTCCACGTACCTGCGTGCATACATTATTCCACTCTCAATAACTTGACACGCCACTTATTTTGTGCATATAATGAATACCAGGCCATCTCCTCGTGCGGAGACTCCTTGGCTTCTCCCCCCATCTTGACTACGGCCTGAATGTAAGGGAGGACGCAGGTGGAGATCATGAGGGCCATCATCGTGCTGCAGACGAGAAGGGACGTCGTGATGGTGAAGGCCGTCAGGAGGTATGGGTTCGCGTCATCATTGATTTGCAGCTCAACCGTCGCCACCTGCAAATTATACCAATAATATAAATAGATACATATTTAGTATCGTGAATATGCTAATTTAGTCTCTCACTTACCACCGCAAATCCTGCCATCAGAGTTGAAACCTCGGTAATTGTCGACAGTTTGGCCTTGCTCAACTGGAGGCGTTTCCAGGCTAGGAATTCCGCAGTGTGGGTGTGATCCTTGCCCCCACCTTTCGTCATGACTCAACAGTTGCGCTACTTGGACCTCGCTACGGTAAAATTGTTAACGTCCCTGTTCTTCATTTCTTGATTAATTGAGTGATTCTTCATTTCGACATTTGATTGCACTGCCCACAAAATTAACTGCTTCAGACCAGCACTACATTGAACTGTGCGATATTATTGCTCAAATGTTACTTGGTGCATGTAAAAGGTGAATAATAATCCAAAATCCATTTGTTTATCTGTGCATCCCATTAGAACTAGATAAATACGACATCATACCATCCAGACCACATTCAAGGAGCTTAAACACAATAAATGCGTCTGGATTTAAGACTGTATCACATATCGTCATCTATGTACATATGCCACACAATTCTCAAATTAGTCTGTCAAGTATTAAACGAAGAAGATAATCCATAGTCAAACCAACATTGACTTAAATACGTATGCTTGATAATCTAGATGTTGAATGGAATAAGTTGCTGTACGGTAAGCATTGTCTGCATGCATACATATTTATCTGGCAATTGTCAATGAAATCCGTGCACGATTTGCATTCATCCTTCACTCCAACAACTCCAAATGACATTCATCTGCATCTCCAAGAATGATAACAACAATAATCACACGGAACACAAAATGTCACATAAACCATAAATGCAGGAAAATTGGAGTGAGAAATTTGCCATGCTGCCTCCGCGTTGTAAATATTTGTATTCATCCTTCATGGAAAAAAATTAATGCAGGATGCTGATTACGAAAACCAATTTACTGGTAAATATTGGCGAGCATAAAATGTTGTCGTCCTCATATTTTTGCAATACTGATCATTTTATTTATTTCCTGCACAATTAAAATGTCCTGTTCACAGAATATAATGCTCCTGTGCGATTTTTCTTCGGACTCACTTATTTATGATATAGCATAACAATATTGTAGCGCAGCGTGTAGTAATTATACATCATTTAGCGTTAAGTAATGTTAATTGTTCGTTAAAATTAATAATGAAATGCCCGCTTTCACAGGCTCCTGTTGTACACACGCACATACGCACGTACGTCTATGTACTTGTATAATATTTGCATAAAGATATAAGTAGTTGACACTTTCTTTCGATTGACTGATTGAGAAGCTGTTTCCATTTCTGGAACTGGATCTAGAACGACGTTTTGCGTGCACAGTAACAAAAAATATTGCCGGGTCCAATTTTCGTACCTTGACCATGAATAATTTTAATAATTTAGTTAGATGACCAAACGGCAAAAAATATGGGTATGTATTTTTTATGTACGTATGAAGATCGGTAATCGTTGAATTAATAAACCCCACGTGACCAGGTAAGTGCAATAAATGGGTGCTGTGGGATTGGTGGGCTATGCAAATGTTTTCATAATTCAGTAGTCAATTAAATAACAAGGGAGGAGGTGGTGGTGGTGACTTATTGGAGTAGAGATCAGGTAGCATTCGTGGTTGTTGTAGTAATACCAGCAGGAGGAGGAGGAGGAGAAGCGGAAATATTTCCAGGGGGAGGAGGAGGACGACCATGATGTCCTCCCACTACGACCACTATCCGCCCGGATTGAGGGGTAGGATCCCCATTGGCGTGACGCTGTTCGGGTTGCTGCCAGGCGGCGGTGGAATCGCGGTGATGAGTTGATGCTGACTCTGAACAAAGGTCGCCTTCGCCTCGACCACCACAAACTCGATCAAGGGTTTCGACATGTCAACGTACGAGTCTAGAATGCAGCGAGCAATTTCTTCGTGGGTCAGCCCATCCAGTTTCTTGCCGTCCACGGTCTGTGCAAAAAGAGAGGAAATTAATTAACATCATCGATGTTGCATGTGCCGATAATTTAAAGGCAGTCGTACCAATAGAACTTGGCCAGGTTTCAGCTGACTTCCGTATGCAGAACCCTCCGTCTACACAAAAATTTAAGGAGGTAAGAATTAACAAAGTGCATGGTTCAAGCCGTGTTGATTGCTCACGTTGACGTCGATAATACGTGGAAGCCTATGCGGCGTATTGGCCCCGCCCTCAATTGCGATTCCTAAAATCGGTTTCGTCTTCTGTACTCGAACCTTGTAGCGAACACAGGAATTTGTGGGTGTCACGTTTTGCTGTGGCATTGACATCCCTCCAAAAACGGGCTGATTGCACTGCAGAAATCGGTTTAATTGATTCATGCGGAATGTAAAATTAAGACTCATCCGGACAATTTATGCATGTCACTCGTTGCCTGAATTTACCATACCTGCGCAATTTTCTGCTGAGCCAGCTTGGCCACCACGTTTTGCGTGTCGCCGTGAGTGAGGAGGAGCTGCCTGTTGTTTTCTGGCGTGTTGGTAGTATTGGTTGTATTTGTGGTGAAGGTGGTTTCGTTGTAAAGCGTGTTCATGTTGTAGGGCGCAGACACGAGGGTGGCGTTGTTGGCGGGAGATAAGCGTCGGCCGTTCATGACTTGTGGGTTGTTGATGATGGCGTTCTGGTTGACGGGGACGAGTGGGAGGAGCATGGGGTCACCTGTCAGCGGCATGTTCATCGGCTCGTTGTTCTGGTGATGTTGTAGTTGCTGCTGCTGCTGCTGCTGAGATTGGGGGAAGTCGACGCGATGCATCATCTTCTTGCTGCCCATGGGACCAGCACCGATGGAGATCTCCTTGTTGTAAATGAGTTCGTCGAAAGAGATGAGGTCGCCGGGGCGGATGATTTCGCGAACCTCGGTAAGCAGAGTGTACTGCAAAAAGTGAACAATTTATATAATATTCGTGCACTCGTAAGCGAATGGGTAAGCCATAACGTAACTGTACCTTTTCCACCGTGTTCAATAATTCTGGAAAATTCAAATAAATACATTTTTAATAGCTTTTACAAAATTGAAATAGCAGCCAATGATAAATGCATACCTAGCAGAATGCGAACGAAGGTCTGAATGGGAAGGAAACCTTGTTGGTACTGTGGAAAGTGGAAAAGTGATTAACTTTGTAATATTTATGCAATAATGTAAAATGCAGCTTTATATTTATGTATTGTACCTCCAAACGGTAGAACGTGAATCGCGAGTGTTCCGACTTGGTCAGCACGGTGCGAGCCTTTTCTTCAATCATGCCCATGACCGACGTTGACTTTTCCAAGTCCTGGAAGTAATAGTAATTCGACTAATTCGAGTACAGGGTGAAATTAGTGACGGATGAATTTTGTGACAATAAGGGAACAGCTTAAATGTATCCTGTAGCATAATGGGTGCAGTCACAAACCTGATGTAAGAGTCGGTTGGTGGCATCAGAAGCACCGGTGTAGTCCAGCTCCAAATTTTGGTCGTTTAATTTCTCCTCCTCCGCCAGCAGGTCTTGGTCCTCGTCGTCAAAGAGGGTGACATTCGTCGAGTCCATGAGAATGTTGTGGTGGTGCATGCTGTCACTCATTGAAGTGGTCAGCATTTTCCCGCCTGTGACACAAAATAAATTGATATGGCGCATGTGGCGACTGTTGGACAAATTAACATATATTTACTAACCCGTGACTCCAGACGAACCACCCCCCAAATCAATAAGTTCTGTATTCTCCACGTCCAAAATGGGCATCGCACTGTTCATCTGGTTATCCGCAGGGATTTTGCCAATGTATCTGGCAACTATCGCCATCTTTGTACACGATTTCAGGATCTGCACCGCCTTGTCGTGCGTTATGGAGGTAAAGTTGCATCCATTCACGTCCAAAATCTCATCACCCCGCTGCACGCACAACAAACAACAATGGAATTAATTAATGCAACGAATGCCTCGAGTTGTGAGTGTCGTCTTGCCTGGAGTCCGCCCCTCTCCGCCACCGAACCATGGTCCACCCCCGTCACGTAGATCCCCATCCCATACTCGTAACCACCTCTGATCAGCAGTCCAAGACTTTGGCCAGGATTGATCTCCAGGCTAATCATCCGTTTGTTGTTGATCAGGCTGCTGGGCGTGGGAGGTGGGACGATCTTCCCTGGAAATTAAATTGGCGAGTGCCATAAAACTTGTCATGTCGGAACGTGTTTAAGCAGAGTGTTAAATGAGATGGGTGCCCACCGTTGGCGTCAATCCAGGTCCACGCGACGGGCATTCCCGCGGTTGAGGAGGTCTGCTGGGAGGAGGAGGGTCGGAAGTTGTAGCCGCTCACGTCACCCACCATGGAAGCACTCTTGTTCACCACGCTGGAGGACGACCCTCCGTTCATCCTCGTGTCCAGCAACAGCTTGAGGTAGTGACGGCCCTTTAAAACCTGTGACGCACCAAATACAAGTTAGCATCCGCTCCCTCTTAGAACCAATTTGTTGGCGCTATTCCTCGATACCTTGAGTGCATTGGAGTGAGAAATGCGAGTAAAGTCGATACCGTTAGCCTGTAGGATTTGCTGCCCTCGTCTCAACCCTTGTCGATCAGCTAAAGAGTTTTCCTCCACTCTCCAAATGTGGACCGCCGTTCCTAAATAAAAAAATTACCATATTTAAAGGTGTCCACCACGAGGAGGAAGTTAAACATGGGCTCACCAAATTCCGTGCCTCCCTTGATATTGAACCCGAAACTTGGAGTGTCTTCATCCTTGCAGAGTTCTACAGTTTGAACAAAGTTATCGCCCTGCGCAGGGCCTGGGTGCTGGCGGCGTTGTTGTTGTGAGTGCAGCTGAAGTCTGTTATTATTATTGCTGTTGGAGGTGATTGGGAGACTGGAGAAGTGGAAGGGTTGTTGTTCTGGCTGCGGCTGCTGCTGCGAGGTGAATCTGCCTTGGGAGGAACTTGGTCTGGCGAAAGTTCTGTGGTGTCCACCTGCGCCACTCGTGCTCATAACTCTCCACCACGACCGACACGACGTCTCATCTTCTTCTCGTCTTGAGGTCAGCAGGACGGGGGGATGGAGTTGGAGAGGGCGAGGAGCAAAATTGGAATGTTTTGGTGGGTGAGGAACACCGAGCTGGAGAGCGACGTATGGGTTGGCCTTGAAGGAGAAAGTATGGGAAAGGGACATTCATTTTGCATGGATGGCAGTATATTTATTCGCACTACTTCGGACTCGGGCTCCACGACTGCCGACCCAACCTACACACCACCACACACTACTTTATAACCCGGAAAACTGCTCCACTCTTCTGGACAACTGGATCTGGACTTCGGATCGATAAGTGTACACACAAACCATCGCTCCCACCACTTTCTTTGCCAACTTTCTTCTTCTATCTGTCAGTCAGAGGCAGTGGAGAAGAATGTGACTCACTCAACATTCTTCACTCCGCGAGTGGAAGGAATGTCATAAAGTCATTCACATTTGTGGAATATGACCTCTGAATTATTTTTTTTGTGAAACATGTCAGAATTTATCGACACTACGTACGTCCTGGGACACTCAACAATTGCTGTGCAGTCAGAAGGATGGCTTTCTTTCATGCAGCAGGAGCAGCAGCATAAAATTGCATGGACAATTTATTGGGTCCCAGAATAGCTCCAACCAAACGAACCACGACGACTTTTGTCATTATCATTTATTCAGATGAACAACTTCCTTTCTCATGTCCATGTCCCCTCCTTCACTTTCTTGACTACTCAACAAACTGATGATATATGGATGCCGACAAGAATGATGCCTGTCAATTAATTGTGCGCCCGCTCAAGAATTCAGCAACCTCGTAAATAGTGAAATAATATGTGACACCGGCTTTCATCAGGTCGATAACATTGTACATTTTATTTTAAGAAACTATGCAAAATCCTGTACAAATCCTGTAATGCTGTATTTACACTAAAAATACGAAAGAATAGTAAAGAAAGAAAAGTTGGTCGGGCGGATTATTGTTCCTCAATGTCTCCATCCTCCACTGAATATGTTAGAAAGAAAGATTTAAAAGATATAAAATACACTATTGCATATTCACACATGGTCAATTATTAACTAAAGTTGTACTCCGTGCATATGTACATGCATAGTTATAAATTGGTCGTTATATATACTAGTATAATTGTAAAGGTACTGTGTTTGTATTCCCATTGCGTTGCATGTTGGACGAGTTAGACGGCGTATGTACATCACTATTTTCCGTCTTGTCGACTCATTCCGAATTTTGCGCAAATTCCAGAGTCCACAGCGAAGGACAGATCTCGTTTGAGGGTGGCCAAGGGGGACTCGACACGTGCATTTAAATCTGGGAAGACTGCGAGGAGTCGTTTCGAGGGGAAGTAGCCGTCCGGATTCTGAATCCAGGCTTGGAGAGCGGCCGGGCTGGTGGTGAAGTCCGTGTAGCGTCCTTCCTCCATGTCCACCTCCGAGTAGGGAAACAGCGCCTTGTACTCCTCGTTCTCGCTCAACTTCTTGGAGAAGACGTCCCATTCCACAATTTCGATGGGGAAGCCCACCTCGCTGCTCACCTTGGGCAAGTCGTGGAAGTAGGAGAGGTGCGGATTTGTCAAGTTGTAAACGCCGAGAGGAGCATCGTCATTCCAGAATAATTCCACAGAGAGATCCGCCGCCAGATCGGAGGGGAGGACTTGAATAGGAACAGGAATTGCTGGGATGGCGCCAAGTTTGCAGAAGCCCAACAGCCGAGTTGCGGCGTGGTTATTCTTGAGGGAAAAGTGGCCAGTTTTGGAATCGCCGAAGAGGGCGGGGAAACGGTAGATGCCGACAGGAACGCCCCCTCGATCTGCGAGTTGTTTGAGGAGAACTTCGCAGATGAACTTGCTGATCGGGTAGCCTGTGTTTTTCAGGGAAAAGACGTCCTGCTCAGGATACCAGTCTTCCCACATTGTTTTGTCAGCCGGGTTCGTTTTCTGGTTGGCGAGGAGTGTGGAGGCGAAGAAGAAGGACTTGATCTGCTTGCCCACCAAGGACAACTCCATCACGTTCTGAGTGCCTGCAATGTCACGACAGCCTCGTTACTATCGTCGCCATCGAATTAAACCGCCAAAAAGGACTCACCAGTAACGTTCACCGTTCGGATGTCGATTCCTTTTGAGGCCAGAGACCCATCTTTGAAGCGTGTGTAGGGGTCCATTAAATTTCCTTTGACTGCACAATGCACAATTGCGTCCACCTTGTCGGCCAGATTTTCCCAGTCGGCTTGTGTCAGGCCGAACTGTTTCTCGCTAATGTCCCCAACCAAAACTTCGACACGCGACATGTCCACGTCCTTCAGGAGGTCGAGTGACTCCAAAGTGCTCTGAAGTCTCGCAGTTGCAGCTTTTCGCGCCTTTTGTCGAATGAGACAAACCACACGGGTGACACTCGTTTTATGAAGGATGCTGCGCAGCATGTACGGCCCGAATTTACCCGTCACACCTGGAAATCATGAAAATATATGAATTGCCCAACGTCAACAACGACCAAGACTAAAATCTCACCAGTGAGCAGGATGCTTTTGATCTGTGACCTCGGAACTGGTGGCAAGAGGTCTGCCCTCGGACTAAACGAGTCCACGGGCAACACCATGTCTTTGTTAATCAGGGCGATGAGTTCTTCCGAGAAGGTGTCAAAGTCCACGGGTCCCTGATCCTGCTCCTCATCACCCATCGTGGCAATCATCTCTTTGAGATGGGCGACCAGTTTGGACACCGTGGTCAACTCTTGCATCGCTGATACGTTCATCGTCACCCCCTTGCCCAACATGGTTTGCATCATGTTTTTCATCTCTAACATCATCAATGAGTCCATCCCCATATCGCTGAAGTTTTGGTTCTCGTCGATCGGCTCGTCATCGTCGAACTTGAGAATCTGTCGAAGAATGAGCTCAATGTAGGCTTTCACGACTTCCGTCTGCTTGTCGTCATCCCCCGCGGCAGAGTTGAACTCGTCCCAGAATCGCTCAATCTTGATGTTGAAGGCCGTTGATTGCGAGTCTTTCGAAATCTTCATCTCGTCCAAATAAGCCACCGCGTGTCCCGTCCATTTCTTCAGAGCCGCAAAGTCAACCTCCAAAATGCACGACTATTCACAAAATTAGCATTAGTTTATCTCAATTCTGAAATTGTAATGCTTATAAGTTTGTGTGTTACCTGTGGTTTGTGAGACTTCATCGTAGCCTCCAACCCGGCCAGACCTGGAATTTGGCAATATTTTTTTCCATTAACTAAATAATAACAAACCTATGCACAAACTATAAACCGAATTAAGTTTTCACCTTGGGACGGGGTGAAGGCACGAATCGCGGTGATGTGAATGTTGGCCGCCGCACCCACTTCAGCCCACTGCCCCCAATTGATGGTTTGAGCAGTGAGACCCACCGCATTTCTGTAATGGGCCAGCGCATCAAGGAATGTGTTGGCTCTGGAATAAACAATAATTAGTCTTCTAATTGAATATAGTTTTTGAAATTCTAAAAACTCGTTTAAAAAATTTACCCAGCATAGTTTGAGAGCCCAATAGGTCCGAATATAGAAACGATTGAGGAGTACAGAACGAAATGCTCCAATCGGCAGTCCAACTCGACCGTGAGGCGGTGCAGGTTCCAAGCACCTTGCACTTTTCCTTGAAATGCCGTGTGATACGTCTCCACCGTTTGGTTCGTGAAGGTTGCATCCGCCAGCGAGCCGGCCGCGTGCATGATTCCTCTGAGGGGAGGAAGGTCGTCGTCCCCTCGCTGAATCCCGCTCAGCAAATCTCTACACTGCCCGTAGTCTCCCACGTCGAGGGACTTCACGACAATGTGCTTTCCCTTCGCGGTCATGTCGGCAATCATTTTTGCGGCGCGTTCATTGGGCTCGCGTCGACTGGCGAGAACGATGTGAGTAGCGCCAGACTCGCTCATCCACTTGGCCACTTCGAGACCAATCCCACCCAGTCCTCCGGTGATGAGGTAGGTCGACTTGTTGTTGAACATGTGAGTTTTCGGGTCGCTTTGACCCGCAGGATTGGATTCCGGCATCGTGATCAGCACTTTGCCAATGTGCTTCGCCTTCTGCATGTATGTCAGGGCTTCGCGAATATTTTGAGCGTCAAACCTCACGTATGGAATTGGTTTGAGGAATCCTCGTGCATAAAATTCTCGAAGGTTGGCCCAAAGTACTCGCCCTAGTACATAAAACAAATTATGACGTTCAAAGTGGACAAAAAAGTACAAGCAACTTACATGTTGTGTAGGCCACAGTGGTGAGGTCGACAACCCAATATTTCACATCCGGTCGGAGCTGCTCTACATCTTCTTCAGACCAAATCGCCATTTTACTGATTTCCACGAAACGAGCCCCTTCAACACAGGCGTCTAGCGAGGCCTCCTTAAAACCCGGTGAAGTGAGACAGTTGAGGACAATGTGGACCCCCTTCCCTTGAGTCACCTGAGCATAATGATAACATATTTACTCAAGAGACTTTCAATCGGCGTAATTATAAAATAATCCCCCACGTGTAAATACCTCCATTATTTGATGCCCGTAATCCGTATTTCTCGAGTGAAACACATGCTTCACCCCGAGCGATCTGAGATACGCCCGTTTCCTTCGACTCCCCGCCGTCGTGATCACCTCTGCCCCCAATGCCAGCGCAATTTGAATCGCGTAGAGACCAACGCCTCCTGATCCGGCATGAATCAGCACAGTTTCACCCTTTTGCAAATTCGCTATTTCCACGAGACAATAATACGCAGTGCCAAAAGCGGCAGGCAACGTGCACGCTTCGTGATATGTCATCCCCTCCGGCATTGGGATCAAGGCTTCAGAGTCGCAAATGGCGTGAGATGGGAGGGCATCGCCTGAGCAGAAAAAATACCTCAATCCATGAATAAATATGCGCAAATTGCAAATATGTGCTCACCTTTAAAGTTGCACCCAATCACATCATCTCCAACCTTTACTTGAGTGACGTTAGGTCCAAGGGCACAAACAACTCCGGAGAATTCTAATCCGACCTGTAAATGGAATATGAAAATGTGGTGTTAAGTGTTCGGTTAACCTGGACCCGTCTCAAGACATAAGAAGTATGCCTACCGTGTTGTACTTTTCAAACGCTTTGTCCGGTTTCAAGACGACAAACACGTCTCTGAAATTTAGGCCGATGCATTTAACTTGAATCTCAACCTGTCCCTCCTTCAGACTCGGCTTTCCATTCGCACAAAAACTCAGGTCATTAATGTTCCTCGTTTTCGGGAGGACCAACGAGAATCGCTCCGAGTTTGGCAGCGTGAGTGGCTGCAGAATGTCCTTGTTCACCACGAATCTGCAAACGTGTCGACTTCTGGCACGATATGCGACTTGGTAATCGTAATCGTCAAACCAGAGTTCCGCCCACAACTCTTTGTACTTGAGGTCCAAGTCAGGCTCGTCCGGATCCAGGTCCACACAGCGGACGAACATGTTTGAGTGCTCAGACCGGAAGGAGCGCGCCATTCCCCAGAGGACGCCCTGTGCCACACCAACCGCAGTCTGATCACTCACGGGAATCTGACCCTCCGTCACGACGATGAGACGGGGAAGCCCTTTGTAGTCGTCGAGCAGGGATTGGGCGAGGAAGAGGAAGGGGTGCGCCACTTGGCTCGGGTCCTCATCCGCCTGATCAATCCCCCACATGTACAAAATTCCCTCCACGGGGACTTGGTTGCCCTTCAAGTACGAGAAGAGAGCGACCATGTCTTCCTTCGCGCCTGGTCTCAGGTCAATCCGACAGCTCCCGTTTTGATCCCGAATGCTGTACTGGGCTCCTCTCGACACGAACATGATTTTCCGGGCAGCTTTTCCAAAGTGGGTGGACAAGTGGGTGTTGAAACTCGTCTGGTTTCCGAACACGAGCCAAACCTTCTCCTTTTCCACGGTGTGCTGCGGAACTTTGTACAAGGGCAGCAGGTCGGACGCCTATTTTAAAAATAAACCATTTATACACAATTATTGACATTATAATATAATTATTAAAGGTTGGTTTAATTATTAAACCAACCTTTCCCATCACGCCGCCGTTCATGAAGTCGTACGAGTAAAACTTTTGCACTTTGGAGTGACCTGCCCGCGCAATCACATCGCACCACTCGTCACCACCTATCGAATACATAATGGGGTCACTTATTAATTAGGTCAATTTGTCATGGAGGAAAAAAGTCATATCAAATGAAGGTTACCAATGAAGGGATGTTCGGGACGTAGGTCGTGATCGGAATGTCGCCAAAATCCCTCCAACACACCGAAGACCAAGTCAATGTCCCGATTGGGTTGGAAGGTCTCAATCATCATGAAGAGGCCAGAGTCTCTGAGAAGGTGACGAATATTGATCAGCGTCTCTTGCACATCTTTCGTCGCATGAATCACGTTGGAGCCAAAGACGATGTCGTAGGTGGCTGGTGCAAATCCTTGTGGTTTCGGATCCTCCTCAATGTTCAACACTTTGTAGGACAGCTTCTTTCCAAACGAGTCAAACTGTTGTCGTGCTCTGAGGGGGAGAAAGTTCGTAAAACATTGTGGCTATTTTTCCCGTGTAAATGGGGCACAGAAAATCTTACTTGATAAAGAAAGCTGGTGAAATGTCGGAAAACGTGTACTGGTATTTTATCCCGTATTCTTCAAGTACTTCTAGGAAAATTCGCGTACTGCTTCCAGTGCCTCCACCAACCTAAAAACGTAACAATGGAGTTCAGCGTATCATCCCACGTGGCAAAATAAGAGGTGAAAATTTCAATTTGTGTAAAACGGTGGGCACTTATGGGTAAAATTTTAAACATTTTTCCAATTTCACCTCAAAACCTTGCAATAAAAACCACTAACAATCTACGTGCCAAATTTCAGCTTTCTAATACTATTTGGAAATTTTTGGTGTTGACCCCATCGGTCAATACTGGTCATCTTCGAGCTCATCTTCGAATTTAACTCTTAAATTTGTCAACATCTAATATACATGTATTCAAAATCTGTTTTTGCACTATCGTGTCTCTGGCAGACACAAGGGTTACATAAGTCCTAACTCAAGCTAACAATCAATCTGACCTCGAGAATGCGCAGAATCCCCCTCTCCTCCTCGGGAAGGCCACCCCAAACGGAGAAGGTCTCACTGAGAATCATTTTCATGAGTGTCCGGCCTCCAGCCCAGAGCAGCGGCGTGTTGTTGTAAAAGATGTCGGCCGACACGTCAGAGTCTCGATCTTCGGGGAAGAGGATGGACAGAGCGGACGCCTTTCCAAGCAAGATTTTGCTCAGCTGCTCCCCACAAGCGGACATGACACGAACGTCGTCCGGAAGGGCGGGTGTTGCATCAGGCTCCAAGGGGGCACCCTCTTTGCCCTCCTACCACATCCCACACAACAAATGATCAGAATTGGAACACAATCAGAAAAGTTTTATTTTCACCAACCTTTGAAAGTTCGTTGTGCAACTCTCTCAGCTTTTGGTGAACTTGTGCCTCGTTGGGAAATTCAACTGCAACTTTCCATACCGTTTTCGACATCCGGGTGAGCAAACCTTCCTCCGTGAAGATGGAGAGGATACGGCAAAGAAGTTTGTCATGGGACTTGAGGACGCCCAACTTGCCAAAAAATTCGGTCATGTCGACTTCTCCTCCTTTCGAGGGGGCCACCCAGCCAACTTCGAACAGGGCGCGGAGTCCATACATGAAAACGAGCTCTTCGCGATACCGTTTGCTGTTCTTCTTGGCGTCGGAGATTGTATTGAAGTAATTTATCTTGTCGTTAAACTCTTTCGAGAACAAGTAGTCGCGCGCAATTGCCTGCATGTTCGTCCTGAAATTACAGTCGTTAAATTAAGTGTTCCTAGTGAATAATAGTGGGAATTTGTACCTGTTCTTCCAAATTCCCGTCTTGCCTCTCCAAGCCTCCTCATACATTCCGGGAAGAGAGAGCTTCTGGTTGTCCAGTGCTTTGAGGATTTGCACGACCGAGGTTTCAATCATTTGCACCCCAGTCATCAAGGCCAGCAGTTTCCCCGTGTCGTCATACAAAACGGAAGTTCTCGCATCCCCCGCAGATTCGGAGCTATTCCAGTGACAGTGGGCGTACAATTTCGTCGCTGCTTCCGCCATTTGTCCGAAAACGACGACTTTTCCGACAGAAATTGGGACAAAGAGGGACTCGAGTTTACGTCCCAATCCGACCATGATGCTCTGAATGAGGGCATCCAGCACGACGGGGTGGATCAAATATTCCTCTGACCCGTCTGGAATCCTCACCTCGCAAACCAACTCATTTTCACCGCCCTAAAACATAAAAGCAGTAGAGTTTTTGTGATATGACGGATTATAGTGCAACTCTACATCAGTTTCCTTGATACCTTCCAAATCTGATCAATGCTTCTAAAAATGGGTCCAAACTGAAGGCCCACTTCGGCCAATTTATCATAAAACTGCTTAATGTCGACTTCTGCGGGAGAAAGCCGCTCCAAAATGGCGGAGAGCGGATCCTTCGAGACGAGATCTTCCTCCGGAACGTACGTCATGGGCAACGGGCAGAAGGAAGCCGTCGCCTGTTTCACCCACTTGCCTCCCCGAATCGTGAAAACTGCCAACTCACTGTCTCCCGCACTGTCCGCCGTCGCCTGTGCTAATCCAATGCCTTCATGAAAACCAAAAATAGAATGCAACAAGATTGAGCAGCGTAAAAAACATTTGTGTCAGCTTTCCGTGATTTTAATGATCAAAACTTACCATTACCTTGCACCTTGGCATCCGCGAGTAGCCCAGGAGGTTGCACAGTGGTTTGCATGTGGACGGTCGAATCGACACAGAGCGGAGCATGGATCGTCAGGTTGCTAATTGACACGGGATTAGCGCACATTTGGACCCGTTCACCCTCCAGCTGGATGGACGTGGAGGCATTCCCGGCAGCCTAGAAATTATCCCCGTTAATCCAAGGTTTCCACCAAATATGACATAAAATAGAAACTAACGAGACACATTTCCAAGTATCCGGCTCCAGGAAAAATCACTTTTTCCCCGATACAGTGATCCTTCAAATAGACAAACTTGTCGGGGTTGACATTCCCTTGGTAAATCTTGACCGGCGTCGCGTTCGGGAATGCGTGGCCTGGGAATATAAAAATATTTACAAAGTGACACTTGTAGCAAAAAATATTTTGTCGTGCTCTGAATTAAATGTACCAATCAAGGGGTGAAGTAAGTTGTCCGAGCTGAAGGTCAAGGCGCCGCTACCGCCGGAACCCTGCTCTTTTCCCTGGTTGTACCAGAAGTACTTGCGGTGGAAGGGATAGAAGGGAAGGGAAATCTTGCTTCGTCCATAATACTGGTCAAAGTTGGCCCAGTTGAAGTTGAAGCCGGCCACGTAGAGTTTGGCGACGGTGGCGAGGAGCGTGGTCCACTCGGCCTCCTTTCTCCGGAGGGAGGGCAGGAAGACCAACTCCTCTCCGAGATGGGAGATGTTCCCCATCGTTAAGGCCGAGAGGACAGGTTGGGGACCCAGCTCCACAAACACGCGGGCGCCTCCAGCAAATGCAGAGGACGCAGCATCCTAGAATAGTTTATGATAAGTGCAAGCCCGTGTTGAAATTATGAGCAATCTGATTTACCTTGAACTGCACTGCTTCACGAGTGTGGCGAACCCAGTAGTCGGCATCCATGGAGGAAAGTGGTTGTCCAGTGAGGCCAGAAATGTATTGGACCCCAGAAGATTTGACATCACTGAAATAAGTGAAATATCGGAAGTTATGAAAATTTTTGCCCTTGTATATTTGCTTGTGGAGTTAAAAGCTTACTTGAACTTGATTTTGGAGGCAATTGCCCGATACTCCTCCAACATTGGGTCCATATCTCTCGAATGGAAAGCATTCGTCGCTTCTAAAACCGTGCTCTTTATGTTTTTCTTCTCTAAAAATTCGGAAAATTTTTTAACCACTTCTGGCGGTCCAGCAACCACTGTTTGTTCCGACGAGTTGACAGCTGCCAGGTCCAACCAGCCATTTGGGGAGGACGTGAAAAACTCCTTCTGACACTGCTCCACCTTCGAACGGTCTCTCTTCACGACCAACATCGACCCCTTGGCCTGGGCTTCAATGAGACGGCTCCTTTCAGCCACCAAGGTCAAGGCGTCCTCCAAACTGACCAGTCCTGCGCACACGGCAGCACCGAATTCTCCCAAGCTGTGACCCAGAACCATGTCCGGTTTCAGCCCCCAGCTCAGCCAGAGTTGCGAGAGGGCAAACTCCACGCAGAAGATGGCCGTCTGGCTGTACAGCGATCGTTTCAAAGCGGACTCAGCCTGAGGAGATGTCGGCCAAATTATGGGCTTCAAATCCAAGCCAAATCGCAGTTTCAGAATATTTGCGCATTGGTCGAAATGCATTCGGAACGTGGGACATGTTTCATACAAGGATTGTGCCATTCCCTCGTATTGTGAACCTTGACCTGTTTAACGGACACGAGCAAAACTCTAAACTTTCAGGAAATTGGAATCTATGGGCATGCCGAAAAATATGTAAATCTACCCGTGAAGAGGAAGCAGAGTTTGGGCTGCTCCTCAGGAGTGTGTTTCTTTGCCCCTTGAATGGAACCCTTGACCTTTTTCACCGCATCCGCCACGTCTTTTGCCACGATGGCGACCCTGTATGGAAAGTGGGCGCGTCCCGTGTTGGCCGTGTAAGCCACGTCACCAAGTGCCAACGATTTCTCATTCTTCTCCAAGAACGAGACATACTTTTCGAGCACGTTGTCCAGCCCTGCGTCGCTCTTGGCGGAGATGGTGAGGAGATGGAGGGGACGCTGAAGGGACGTGTGCAGTTGAGACGGAGTGTACTTTGGGGGCTCCTGGATAATAATGTGCGCATCTGTGCCCGTGATACCGAAGGAGCTGATGCCCACGAGACGAGGTTTGTCAACTGACCCCTTCCACTCCATCGCCTTGAGGGGCACGACGGCAGGAATGGCGTCAAAATTTATGTGTGGGTTGACCTTTTCAAGGTGAATGTGTGGAGGAATGATGTCGTGTTGCATGGCCAGAACCACCTGCAATATTCAAACAGCTTACAAGTGATAAATGGGCGTCGTAGTATATTACGTTTCACGGAGGTCGGACCTTGATAATCCCTGCAAAGCCTGAACAACTTTCTGTGTGCCCGATATTAGTTTTTCCAGAGGCCACGACCAGCGGAGTGGTTCTTCCTTTCGAGTAGACGCTAGTGATGGCGGCCATTTCGACAGGATCGCCAACCTGCGTGATTAAATTCAAGTGCAACATTACGAGTACGTACATTGTCAAGGTCAGTAAAATTAAATGTGTGCACGCACCATCGTTCCTGTCCCGTGAGCTTCCACATAGCAAACCTCATTCGGAGCGAGACCCCCATTCGCCAGCGCCGTCTTCATGGCCAGCTCTTGGCACTCCTTCGTGGGTGTGCCGAAGGAGCGGGAGGTTCCTTCTTGGGAAATCCCGGTGCCACGAATGAGAGCATAAACGCGGTCCCCATCGCGCACCGCGTCCGAGTACTTTTTCAGAATGAGTGACGCCACTCCCTCCCCACGACCAAAGCCATCAGCCTTCTCATCAAACGTTTTGCATCTCCCGTCCGGCGCAATGATCGACTGTGCACAATAATCTGTTTAGCAATACTACTAACTAAATATAAAATATTTATACCTGCATGTGCTTCCTCTTGAATGGATGAAGAAGCAGGTTCACACCACCGGCAATCGCCACGCGACATCTCCCCGCTCGTAGAGCTTCCGTCGCAAGATAAATCGCCACCATTCCTGACGAGCAGCCCGACTCGGTGGCAACATTTGGTCCAGTTAATCCCAGGAGGAAAGCGAGTCGTCCCCCAGTGCCGCCCAAGGAGTTTCCCATGTACAGGCGGTGAAACTCGACCAGTTCCGAGTCCAAGACGGAGCCGGGTTGGTCGTTGATCAGGTCGCGATAATCGCTGGTCCACGAGCCGACAAACACTCCAGTCGACGTGCCTGTAGGGTGACATTGGACATTAGTGGTGGGGATGAGCTCTAGTTCAGAAGCATTTATCTAGTCTGTCTAACCTTTCAAATTTTGTGGATTGATGGCAGCGTCCTCCAACGCTTCCCAGACCACTTCCATGAGCAGGCGCTGCTGCGGATCCGTATTCATCAAGTCGGCGGGCGAAATGCCAAAAAACTTTCCATCGAAGCTGTCCACAGGGCATTTCAGAAATCCGGCCTAATCAAAAAGTGCGTATTTATGATCATTGCGTGTCCTGCAATTAAATCGCGGTGACGGTGCTGATGTGTGTACCTGCACATCGCGGAACTCCTGTCCCTTGGCTGAAGGCCACCGGTGTTCGGGCACCTTCTGAATGCAATCTCGCCCCTCAATGAGCAAGTCCCAATACTCCTCGACAGAGTCTGCGCCTGGGAAGCGGCAACTCATCCCCACAATCGCCACAGGTTCTTCCATCCCAGAAAAGTCCACGGGAATGTCGTGCGCTGCAATGGCCCCAGTGCCCTGTGAACAACATATGCCTCGTCAGAAATTGCAAGTTATACCGAGAAATGGGTAACTCTTACCAGGTTCAGATGGGGCTGAATGTCTTTTTCAAAAATGTCACGCCATTGACGGATAACGGCCTGTGAAAATTATTAAATATTTAGCGAAATTGGGGTACTGAGTTAATTGTTTTGAAAAATCTCACTTTTTCGACAAGTCCGAAATGATCAGGGGAGCCCTTTTTGTGAAGGGGATGCCAATCCACAAAGCTACAAATCGACACTTGCTCCTCGTTTCGGGCGAGAAGGTCGGTTGAAGCGACCCGGACGGAGAATTTCGAGTCGTTGCAGATCGTGAGGAGGCCTCGTTTGTTGAGCCAGGCGGACAACTCGCCCTCCGCTTTCACCAAGTCACCTACACGTTCATGTGAAATATCGATAGAATTAGTAAATGAATCGCATCATCCGTACAGAATAAGTAGGACGAGGTAAAAACTGACCACTGTGAATCTTTCGCTCCCTCACAGCCCCCAAAATCTCTTCAAACAAGTCCAAGTCTGGTTTAATGCGGAGCACAGATCCGTCCCCGGAAAAGGCAATGTTATCGCCTTTCAGCTCAAACAACTCGTCCGCATTTCGTACAACCTGTCATGCACAAGTCGAGATCAGTAAAAACAAGCGATTTCACCAGCCACCACAAACTAAAGAATTTCCAGCTTACAAAGTGGTCGGGATGGAGGAAGACGACCTGGTTCACGAAGGGAAGTCCCCAGCACATCAGCTTTGAGTGGATAGTCATGGGCAGTCCGTTCATTTCCGTCGACATGTAGGCCAGCTTATCCAGTCGAAGAACTTGGTCAAATTCCGTGGACAACAATTTCCTGAAATAGTTTCCATTATCTGTAATTCCAACTTGAGACTACGTACTGCATCGTACTTCTTATTAGCAGAAGAACAATGAGACTGTCTCATCTCGCCTCATGCCCCACAACCAAGGACTCACCGTAGCTTGTCCGAAACTGGTTTCGACACCACGACCGCAATTTTCCTCGAGGTGACGGAACGTCGCAGGGAGCGTCCCAGCACGAGGGCCTTCACGGCCGTGTCGTCGTCCACCGCCGCCTTTGCAACATATAAAATATATCCGTTTAAAATCTCCGGATGCAAATTTATGTCATAAATCGTCCTCATTGTCAACATTGCTCCTTAAAGAATTAAGGTGCATGTCAATCACATGAGGTGATTAGAAGTTTGCTATCGAAATCTTTCAAATATTGTCCACTCTACTCCTTCAAAACTCAATGCATAATTGACATTAAAATGCAATAAATTGACATAATTGCATATAGTATACGAAACGTTTAAGTTAAAATTAGACTATTTTCACTTACCGTTATCCAAACCTGCTCACCCACTGTCATGCCCCCAAAATATCAAAAAATTAGCACCTTTGCTATTTAAAATTTCATTTTTTTTTTAAATATTTCCAACTTACGCTTCATTTTCAGTGTTGTTCTTCTCCCGAAATCAGACTTGAGCAAGACGTTCTTTTTGTTGATGTTGTTTGTTTGAGAAAATGTGCTAAATGGAAGTACTTAAATCACGAGCAAATATTTAGTCGGGACGTAAAGTTTGTTGACAACGATATGGAAAATTTTGCCAAGACGGTGATGAAGATGAAGATGTAAAGAGTGACCAACGCGTGAGAGGAACAGAGAGGAACTGAGAGTGTGGGAGACAAAGACGTCAGAAGAATTAGCAGGGACTTATTGTTGCCTCTTCTCGATGCAAAAAGAGATGCCTTCTTATGTTTCGTATTTGTGTGGCGTTCAAGCAGATCGGAAGACACGCTTGGCTTCGTGGCGTCCAGTCAGTCGTTGGCTACTCATCAGATCTCCTCTCCTGCGCCCAATCTCATCTCATCATCAGCATCATGTCTTGAACCATGATAAGATCAAGTTCTCCATAATGCGTAAGATATGACCAGAATCTGTTCTGTGGGGAAACCCGGTGACCTACCACAACATAAATATGTATGTATTTCCATCTTGTTCGAATTATCCGAGTTCATACATTCGCAATAAAAGTCTAATTATGAAACACTTGGAAAATATTTTTAAACGGATGGGCGAACTGCAACCGAACGTTTTTTTTTGCTGCCGTTGTACTTTGTGAGGTAGGTCCAAGTCCATCTCCCAGTTCTGAGAAACGACGAATTGGACTGGAAAATGGGTGCATCTTTATCACAAATTTATCACGCAAGACTTATGTACGTTGTACTAATCTGCTGGATAATGGTCCATGATATAACAATAGTTTTCCCCAAGACAAACCTTCTCAGAAAAACGAGTGGATATCCCAAATAGCACGCCTGCCAGCGATAGGGAAAAAAATTGATTGAATGTCATGCGTTTTGATTGCCTAAAAATAAATTGGCGACCTCAATTTCCCGAATAAGTACGTGCATAATAATAAGATTGCTGTAATGCATATCTATTATCCATCTCGAGATGCATGTCATGTCCGTTAATTTGCAAACCTTTCATTCGATAAATGAGGGAAATCGAGATTTAAATCGAGATTTAAAATTAGAACTGTTATTCGATTCTTTGCTGTGCAAAGGTTTTCAATTATTTTTAAGGGGGACGACGCGTCGTCTACGAAATCGGAATGGGTAACCGTTTCATTTACAATGGACACGTCGCTAATTGTTAATTAGATATATATCCGACGACATGAATATGTAAGTGCTTGTGCAACAGTAATTGCGATGAGGTGCAATTATGTATGGACCCGCACTCACAAATTCCCCATTGTCCTCCGCCACACCATTCACACCAGTTTGTGCTAGATCATCGTCAGCAAAATCCGTCCACGGTCAGCTTTCTTAATAAGCAAAAAAAATTTTTTGTAATGCCATAACTCGCTGAAAATTTCCCATTTCGAAGGACATTTTGGCGAAATAAGAACAAAAGATGTGCCCTCATCTGTACAATTACTCGTTTTTGCTCAAATTCGTCTTGTACTCGCCTCCCGCAATCAAAATCGTAGTTTACAAGCATGTAAAACACAGCAGCTATGCATAGAAGAAGGTACGTATCTACATGTTAAAGAAGGTGTAGGTACACGTGTACGTGGATCCACGGCGTCCTAAATTAATGGGAAAGAAACAACCGTGGGCCGTGAAATGCAGGCAAGTATTTAAAAGAGCGCAAAAAATAGTGACAAAGTGACAACACGATTTAATTTGCACCGTCACTTTAACGAGTTAATTGTCACACTGATCTACATACTACGTGGCTATCATTTCATGCAAAAAACGGCAAACCAACCCACAATCTTAACAATTTGGGATGCATTCCACCAGATAAACTTCCACTCCTTGGCACATATTTTAGGAATATTGTCGTGATGATGGATCTTCTCCACTCATTTTTTTCTTACGCAAATTAAATTATTATGCAATTTAAAAAATCATTGTATACGCAAATCCTGGGATAAACCCCGGTAAATAAATATGTCCACGACTATGTATCAAGTACGTAAAACTCTGGACATCTCCCTTCTGGCGTCATCTCTCTACATTTAAGTACTTACGTACGTACGTTCGTTCATGTATTTTATACAAAAATTACGTTTTTATTTTCTCCGTGGCTTCCTAAACCTCGTCGTATTTCGTACCAACCAACCCACTCGCGAGGCTGCTTACATAATTTAATTACCAAGATGTACGTTTTTAATAAAAATTGGGGAAGATACCTCACTGTAAACAATCAACAAAATTTTTATAGACGATAAGGAGAATCTGGTTGAAAAGGAAATCATCTCAGTGCATCATCGCGAGAATAATTTTCCGCAAAAGTTGTCTGTTAAGATTTCCCTTAAAAAATGACAACCTGCTCCGCTACGCTGTTTATTTGCACTTGAGATTCCACCCTTGATATCATAATTTGGCAAATCATTCCATGGAATTTTGAGACATTGGGCGAGAACAATGAAAATAAGTACGTAATTTTTTGCTTGACATAAATACGAACACAGAACGGTCACAGAGGTTGACCACACCACAAAACCTGTCTTGAAGAAGATCTCGTTGGGCAGGGGAGCTACTTATCTGGCAACATAATCATCGTTCATTGCGTGTTCGAGTGATGTGTAGGTATTAAATAAATAAATTGTCCAGCAAGCTCAACCAACTCCCATCATTGTATCGTTTTGCCAAACGTGTAATCCGATACTACACGTGCGTCGCTAATTGTATTGTTTTAATCACTTGAAGGCCTGCGAAAATATGAGTCAATTATTTAGGCAATTATCTGTAGGAAGGAACTGTTCTAAAAGTGTGAGCATGCATGCCACACGAGAGAGATTATCTGGTAACAGTACAATTAGAGTGGTCACTAGTGGGTGCATGGGCAATGCGATACAAATTACTAATCGACATCGACATCATTTTCCTCAAAAACCAGTAAATGCTAGGAATAACGCTGGCATTTCGACCATTGTTTGACCGTGCCACGAAGAGGACGCATAAATGGATCGCCACACATACACAACGATATGCTTATTATGGAAAAAGAAGGCATTTTTTATGATGCACTGCATGCAGATCGCCAGGAACTTTAGAGCCCATTTAGCAGATATTGCTGATGTTCATTGTTGTGATTAATGGGATTCCATTTGCCGGTTACGGTCCCCTGCACCCCCATTCACGTCATAATAGGAGATGAAAATCTGGCTTAAATGGCCCTATGAGCAGGCAGATTTTGGAGAATCAAAGCAAAATCAAAGCAGTGCAAAATACGTACTTAAATAATAAGAAAAGCTCCCAACAAGGGATTATTCAAGGCCTTTTAATTATTATGTGAACAAACTCCGGACGGAAACTCCCACTTGCGCAAGCAGAATTTTTAAAAATGGGTACTTTTTTTTTATAGAACATGTACAATTCTTTGGCAAGATTGCTGTTTCGTTTGGTGCATCATGCACAAAAACGTTATCACTGGTTTCTAAATAAAATACTAAAATTGAAAAATGTATGCCAAGTTTATTTACCTCATTATTCAGATAAAGACAGGTTTTATCATAACGCTTATGGAAAAACCAATTATGAAACATTCAAGTGACTGCAACATTGTGCATACAAACAGACGCACAGTTAACGTTAGGGTAATTGTTAACAGTGCGTCTCGTCTATAATTCAACTTTTAATGTATATACTTTCCGGAAATGTGGGCGAGATGTGTCGTTTCCACATGTAATTTACAACACGGTGGTCGTCGACACTTGTCCATTACTTAACTCTTGAGCTGCGTCTAGGTTGTCGGATGTGGATGTTTTCGTGGAATAATTGCTTGGTCATACATGCAAGATTTAAGAAATTAGAGGCCAATATAGAAAAACTATCTTCTTCTTAGCACACAATCGCAAATATTTACCTGTCAGTACAGTACAAAATTTATGCAATTTCGTCATTTAATCAGCACAACAGTTAATCTTTTTATGGCGTATCGTTAAGGATAAGGTTGAGATTGTGCCGACTGGGTGAGCATGAGTATTAGCTCAACAGTAGCAGCGTCTTCCAACAAGATCTTTATACCTCTGCTTAAGGCCAAGCTGGGAATAATGAGCCCACAATGTTATCATCATCACGGGTAGAGCAAATCCACTAAAAACGAGGGTGAGATGCAGCCAAAGATGATTTTATGACTGGTCCATGATCATCAAATTCGCACAAGTGTGCTAACTGTTCCACTAGTTTTTAATTTTCTTTGCACATCGAATTAATATCATGCAGATCTTGTTGTTGAGTATCATATTGCTGTACGAATTGGTACATTTCTACGTCCGACTCTCTACCATTCATACTTCTCGGTCCCATTTCTGCATGAGCACCCACTAACCGTAATCGTAATCGAATAAGTTAAATTATACCCTTATAATTATTAGTAGTAAGATGAGCAAATGGGCTAACTTATAAAATTCCAAACATTCCCAAATTCCAATTGCTCATGTTTTTTTCTGACTGGGGAAGCACCGGTTATTATTACGACTTGATGCAACCTTGCATGTTCATGATGTTTACTGGTGTAAATGGATTTATGTAAATGTACGTGCGCATAGCAGATGGCGAAAAAAGGTTTGCTCTGACTCTATTAAGAAGTGAGAACAGGTCAAGCGTGACATTTTTGCGGTGCAGTCCATTCAGTATTTGTTTCTTTTTTTGCATGTGTGGGAGTGGGAGAGCAAATTGTTGTTTGCTTTTGTTTTAGTTCTTTGTTATCTTTTGCTGCCCTTGATGCAGATCGTTCGTATGCATTTGCTTCCAGGAGAAGAAGAAGCGGAAGCAGTTTGCCATGAAGTCCGATTTTCAAAACAAGCCACATCCTTATTTATGACGACATATATGAATCAATTTTTTATCATTTTGAATGCTCAAAACTGACCACAAGGAAAATAAAATCGAATGGAATGGACCAAACTAGATGATTTATTTTTCCCTGAAAATTTCAAAGTATTTGCTTTACACGGTTTAAATTTAAATTTAATTGTTCTGCTTAGTTCTGTGCAAGATTGGCACAGAGAGGAAAAAACGTGGTCTATTTCGCCCACTTGGTTCTCCTCCCAAACTTTTGTAGCCTTTGTTCTCGGTGTGAGAGACGCTTTCGTTGATTTCCAAGATTTCCATCCGTGAAGCAAGTCACAGCCAAGGAATGCGAAAAGATCATGTGCAGAATATTCAAAATTTCACTTTTATTCTCAAAACAAAACAAATAGGTATTGTTCTTCTTGAAATTCATATAAAAAGGATGCGTTTGTTCTCTAAAAAATCAGAATCTTCTTCAACTCTCATTCACCCACAAAGACATCTCGCAGCAGATCTTCCTCAAAACCAAATCAAAATGATGAACAAATCGGTAAGTTTTTCGTTGAGACTGATACATCCGATTTTGAAATCGGATAGAAAAATTGTGATAAATTTGCCCATAATTCTACACAGACTTTCGTGATCCTTCTGGTCGTGGGCATGTTGGCCCTCTCTTTCTTGCCTCCTGACGTTGAAGGTGCCACGACCAAGGGGGAGCAGTTGGAGCGAGTTAAGCGTGGTCATCATGGACATGGTGGAGGTAAAGTTTATTACGTTTTCCTAATACAAGTTATTTTATTTTTTAAACACAAAAGTTGAAATCATTTTTTATGTATTGATCTCCAAATCTAAGTCTAAACATTAATTAATATAAAAAACTTTAGGTGGACATGGCCCAGGATCCGGTGGCGGAGGTAAGTAGATAAAATCATTTTCCCCTTATTTTAGTTTTCAGAAATCTAACCCCTTCCCTTTCTAGCTGCTGGACCGGTCTACTTTTGCGGCTGGGTGGGAAAAACGGAGGGATATCGTGAGTAGATGAACGCCAATTGCAAATATTACTCGTGCTTTACAAGGAGATTCTGCAAATTATTAATTTAATTGCTCATCTTTCAGGAGGATATGGTCACGGGAAATAAGAGCTTGCACTAGAACTACATCTTGGAATAGTACCGACATGGACAATAATTATTATGATGACGACCCGACACTTATTCCCTGCACTCACCTTCTGCACTTTGCACAATGCACTCTCTTGTTCGCACTGTTATATTTTTTAAACCAGCCAATAAATTGAAACTAAACGAAACATACAAGTAATCAGAGTATTAATTAATCCATGAGAAACACGACGCCGGATAAATTACAGTGCTCAGTTCTTTCAGTTTATTAATTTTAATGACTACAAAAAAAAGAAATTCTAGAATCAATTTTCAGTCAATCATCTTCAGTGTTGTGGTATCTATACATATTTTCTTAATAGATATATTTTGAACACTAATCACATCACGTTTCACACTGCACGCCATACAACGATCAATTGGTAACAAACAAATATCTAGGACGCCTTAGCTGCTGTTAATTAATATCAGTAACAAAGGGTCACCAAAGGGTAACAAAGGGCCCTAAACATATTTCCCGTCTTTCCTGAATTCACAAACCAAACCACATAACGACAAACGCTACTCTAATAACTAAACAAAATTGAGATTATGTATTAATAAGTACTGGAAACAGTTAAATGCTAACCAATTAATTTATATTCTTACGCACTCATTATTCTTCAATTTCCAAGTTTATGCCATCAACAACCTGAGTTTCCACCATACTTGGTCACACACACAGTCATACGCATTACAGTAACCAACCTGACACCCACTTATCTACGTGTGTAATATATTATTCAGAGGGTTGCACAAATATAAAGTGTTCTATTGCAGTTGTCTATAAAGTAGATATACATTTCAATTGTGGGAGTGTTTTCTTTGTTACTAAACTAATTATGGAGCGCAGTGGCGGTTATGATCTTCTTTTCCCATTTTCAAATGCGACGGGGGCCGGAGGACTGTGCCCATTGACTGCTTTGGGCCCTGCTTCTTTCGCCACAAGGGCGGTGAGACGAATGTACTCCTTGTTCATGAGGTCGCGAACGTCTTCCGTCAACTTGGACACGTCCTCGCAGTTCTCAGTTTCTATTGGGGGCATCACCGTCACGAGGACTTTGCCTGCAGGGAAAAGGAAGAAAATCGTACAGGAAGGCGATTTATATGCTGATTAATCCTAATACGTATGCGATGCTTACCCGAGTTGAAGATCCTTTTCTCGTCGTTAATGAATGTGTAGGGGGAGATGACGACAGGGATGATGGGGAGCTTATGCTGGGCAGCAATGTGGAACGCCCCCTTCTTGAAGGGCAGCAGCTCTGCCCGTTTAGATCGTGTCCCTTCACTACGCACCCCCCAAAAAACGCATCAAATTTGGTACAAACTGTTATTTTTTAATATTTAACGTTTCCTTCTTACGGGAATATCCACATTTTCGTCTTGTTGTTTTTTATTTCTTCAGCCGTGGCGCTGATCTTTGTCCGACTGTCGGCAGCATTGCTCCGATCGATGAAGACCGTGCCGCACATCCAGGAGGCCAAGCCGAAAGGAAAGACCCACATAATGGCTCTTTTAGCCACACAGGCGCATCGTTTCATGGTCGACCACAACTCGCAAATCACTGCAGAAAAATATCCATAAAATATTTAGTGGTTAAAAATAGCTACTAAATGAGATTAGTTGGCAGATTTTTTCATTCAATTTCCTTACCCATGAAATCCCACGCGCTTTGGTGGTTTGACACGACCACGGCAGAGATCTGTTTAGCCAAGTGCTCCGACCCTGTGATTTCCCATTTTATCCCCACCATGGGACATACGAGCCTCACCACAGGGACTCCGTACCTTCGAGTCAACAAGAACAATCAGTATTGGCATTGCATAGTCTATAATTTTATTAGAATAATTGTCCACTTACAGCACATTGGACACCTCTTTCGGTTTCCGTAATGAGAGTGGAATGATGATCATGCCAGTTAAGGAACACATGATGACATACATTGCAAACTTTGCGAAATATCGGAACGTGTGTGATGTTTCGTAGAGGAGGGCGATGGTCGTTACGACCAAAAAGGCCGCAATAATCCACCAACTCCACGCTTCTATCAGCCACCACATCTTGAAGAAATATGTATGTAGACCAGTCGCGCTGCGTCTCAAAAATCTGCGTCCAAGAACTCACTCGTGTAAACCGAAATTAACCACGTGGACTTATTCCATGCGTTGTATTACCAGTTATTAATCATCACCCTTCATATTCTCTTCATATTCGTCATTGCCATAGATGTGCAAGTCACAAAAATCACTTTGTCGCTCAATATTCTAAGAGACCCATCACACACAAATGAATCGCACTCTCTGACACGTATGTATTTTAGAAAATTTTCAAAAAACTCAGATTATGACCACCTTCACTTTATTCCTTGGTGTAAATAAGTCATCGCCTACATCGCTGTGTGTGATGTGTTCAAGGCGAATACAGATGAAGGAATATTGGTTCTCTTTTTATCGGCACTTCTTACGCGATGTTGTTTGTACGCTTGTCGTGTCTTAAGTTGAGGAAACACCACGAAAATTATTCTGATTCACACACCACTGACAAACTAGACCATCACTTTTAGTTAGTTATGTAACTTGGTAGAAAGCTTCGTTGGTCAGATAAAGTAGTCAGGAGTCAATGTTGTGAAGAGGTCGTCCTCCACCATCGCACTCACTCAAACATTGATTATTTCGGCCGTGCGTTACTATTCGCTATATTCGCACAAGGTCGCACACCATCCGAGATCGAAGGTCCTCGTCCAATTCTGCGCAAAGGAATTCAAGATTTGCACTACCACGATCAAATAACTGTAATCAATGAAATTCACCCAAAAACCAAGTTATGCCTTCTCTAAATATGTATTTACTTGTTATGAAATTGGCCTGGGACGCAGGCAAGCATGAACAACGATCAATAATCTTATTATTAAATTTATTACATAATCTTCGACCCTGTATCGTGTGTTTGTAGCATCGCTTATCGTCTGGGTCTGGGTGATAACGTCTATCTCTCAATATCCACCAGGCTCGTTTAATCCTTATACAAAATAAATAAATCACGGCTCCTGCTGCCGACAAAATCCAGATAATATTGAATACCGAATGGGTGGAATTTGTACGTGCATTTCACTCAAAAAGATTAATATAAGAAGAAATGCTGATATATAATTCTTACAAATTACATTGATTTTCCTCCACTCGTTAAACTACGTCGGTAATAATCCGCCTATTGCTCACCTATTCTGGGCACACATTTAAGTACACATTTAAGTACACGTGTCCCAACAATTTACCATTCTTGGGCACAAACTGAACTCGACACTTTCCAGAAGCACTGAAATTTCTCATGGCTTTGCTTGAGATAATAATCGATCTGCCCTACTTTCTCCACTCGTGCTACACCAATTTCACCACCATCACACTAAATATTCCATTGATTGGTAGTGTTATAATTTCGAAATTATACATACATAAATAATGAATACACATGAAATGCCGTGCGGCACACACTAATCTCACCTCCACAGCATGCGCCACCACACTTCAATTAAGATAGTAATTCAGCATATTATTTCACGCAAAGTTTTTATGTACTACTTTACTTTTATGTATTGTCGGCTTATTGCTGTTTTTCTTGTGATGGGTTCTTCCACAAGGACGAATGTGTATCATCAGCACATAGTAAAACCGCATAGATTTTCCCATCGTAATGTAGTAAGTTAGTTGAGTAATAAGATGAGAGATTCGGCAAAACTCGGGCCCGTATTTTTAGGCTTTCTCTTCTCAACCCTTTTTTATTATAACAAAGACGGTGGATGGACGAATATTACTGGTCGTATTCAGTGCAGAATGGAACGCGTCTCTAAATATGTTTCCGCATATGCATCCGTCCTTTTAGCAGCAATAATTGGGCCATCCTTTCCGTTTAACCTCACATCGTCGCCACCACCTCTGCAACTAAAGTAGGAATTCGTATGATGATGTTGCAGCGTCGTCGTTTAATGCTGGTGCTCTGGTTGTTGTCTTCTGCGATGATAATGAGACCGAGAGATGAAATGCGGATGTGTGGTCGTTCGTTTGCTGGGAAGACGAGATTAAACGCAATCCGTTTCCCGTGAATGAGCATGGCTTATCATCATCTCACTTGTACAACCGTGGCCGGGATTCGCTTCAACGCTTTCATCGCTCCAAACCACGACATGAGTTACTTCTTGAGTGGCTGGAGTGCACTTCTTGTACTATTTACTACTGCTCCTTGTGGTGGTGGTGGTTGGGGGTGTTCTGGACAGGATCGTCATGGTCATGGTGGTGACGAAGCAGAGGTTGTTCCAGTTCCTCCTCGCCCTCATTCTCGTCACCCTCGTGGTCAATGGGTACACATTCTTCCTCTTCTTGACGGGCTACTCCTCCGGGAGCGACTTTGATCCCATGTCGTGGGCCAGTCAGGGTAACAAACTAGTCGTCGAAAATAGCTCCGTCCCATCAATACGCTTTAAGGTGGGCAGTACATTTGCATACAGAATATAATTTGCATATTTAGATTGTTTGGGTGTATCATAAATATTCTTAGATTTGTGATAATACGGATCGTCTCGTGATACTCGTGGGGAGCAAGACAAATTCAAACCTGGTTCAAATTGTGCAACGCATCAGGTTTAAATATTTGGAGCTGGGGAGGCTGGGGGCGGGCCGGAAGGTTGACCTGGAGGCGCCACCACCACCCTCGGTCACCAGGTTGCAGAGACTTATTCAACCATCCAAACAGCTCACGGGGGGCAAAAGGACGCTCTTCAGCAGAGTTTGGGAATCGATTCGAGAGGTCAGTTTCAAAATTATTATTTGGCCAACTAAACCTCCAGGACCTGGAGTCCAGGTTGTAAACTACGTTTCATCACTAGTGGCCATTCAGCGACTCCCTCCGCCTCGTGTCGATTGGGCAAGTGCTCTCCGCCGGACAGACAGCAAGCATTCGAAATGCCACAAATGCAGTGCGTGGAACCCAACTGAAGGTGGAGGTGACGCTGGAAGGTGGTCAAGTCGCCTTGTGGAAACCCCAAGCCTACCCTCGCAACGTGGTCTTGGAAGGAAATGCTTACGGGGGTAAGGATCGTCACTACGGGGAAATTGCGGCATTTTACCTAAATCTGCTTCTCGGCTACAACAATGCCCCCATCACCACTGGGAGGAGAATCAACTTCCAAACTGAGCTTTGGCCAGTCGCGTCGCCAACTTTGAAGGACACGTTCTTCAAAGACTCGAGTGAGTTGGTCACTTTAAGATTTTTAAAGATGCCATTTAAAGCGTTTGTTTTTCATGACTCGTTTGGATAGACGGGTCACTCTGCTTTTACGGCGTGTGCCACTTTTGCTCCAAAACCGACCCCGTTTGTGAAGGGGATCCTCCCGTCGATGTGGAAGGGGCACTGGTTCTGTGGATGCAGAGGAAATTTCAAACCGTACCCAATCCTTGGAGAAGGACTTACCAAGCTACAATTTTAGCCCCGTGGGAAAGCAGCATGGATTTTTGCAGTCAACTTATGCGCGATATTCCACGTCTCAACAGAGCTCAGGTACATTTATTTAATGCTGCCTTTATGAAATTAGTATTAAATCAAATACGCAAATTTTCAGACGCTCTTGGACATTGTTGGAGTTGCCGTGTTTGACTTTCTCATTGGAAATGGAGACCGGCACCATTTTGAAATGTATCTCAAAACGGAGCCGGATTCGTCGTCACACTCGAATAAAATCATTCTCTTTGACAATGGGAAAAGTTTTGGGAACCCGTTCGAAGACTACGTCGACATCCTCGCTCCGCTCTTCCAGTGCTGCAAGTGGGTATTTCCTAACTTGGCTTTATTTAAGCACCAACTATCTATTCAACTTGATTCACTTTGACAGGATTCGCAAATCGCTGCATCTGACGTTGAAACGCTTTGAGGGGAAGGTGGGGTTCTGGTTGGACAACTTGACCCGCGGTGACCCCTTGTACCCACTGCTCACTGAGGAAAACTTGTCCGCTCTCGACAGAAGACTGAGAATCGTGCTGGCCACGGTCAATCATTGCAAAGACACCGTGCAGCAGCACAACGTTAAACATAATCCGAGTCAACACAAGAAACTTTTTTACTAATTCGGAGACAATAAATATTTAACATGCACTACGAATGTAACGCTTATTTGTACATTCATATACTGTCTTAATTAATATGCGCAAATACCAAGTTCAAGCCACACATTGATCAAATTCGGTTTTATTTGTAAATAAATGCTGGACGGTTGTCGCTAATAAAATCATTTCTCCATATAAAATGCAATATAAAAATCCTTTGAAAACTTTATGATAAGAATTCTTATCACTGAAGATGAGAATTAAATAACTTTACTTTTTTGGCCGGACCCAGGGTTTACGTAATCGTTAGTTATCACTGTAACTAGTAAAGCTTAATAGCATGCATTACCCACAGGGTGACCCTGCTTTTGAAATCGGGGGAAAAAGTGAATTTAGGTTACGTAGATTTCTGGAAAAAATGATTTTAAGAAGTGAAGAATCTGACCCTGTCTCGGGCTTAATCAAGTCTGCATTGTATATAGGTTTTCTCTTTGCATGAAATACGGTTTTAGAAAAAGGACGGAGAAAAACAAACTTCCAAATCAGCAAGAATGCATGAAACGGGCATAACGGATGAGTGCACTTCTTCCAACGGGTTGCAACCCCTTTACAACACAATCATTCAATCAACGCTTAGGTATCAAACCGGGAATAAAATCATAAAAGTGGGATCACATTTCTGACGTAATCGGCTAATTTGAAGATATAAATTTATCTCAATTAATTTAGACCAGTGTTATATTGTGTACATATAAATAATTACACTTAATTAAAATCGAATAGCAAAAAATCTCAAAATCCATAACCGTAGGAAGTCTCCTCCAGCTCAAGTCTAGAAGGTAAGGTATTTAAAGGAGTTTTACTTGTATGTATTTTCCACTACAGTGCTCATAATTATTTGCATAGTAAAATATACAAATAAATCCTTATTTTGGTATTTTGGTGTCTGGTGTGTATGAGTAGGAATGGCTCGCTCCAAATCGTCCCCACAACGCAAGAGAACGCTTACTTTCGACGAGAAAGTTGCGGAAGTAGAAAAGCGTCGTGTTAAAAAAACTCGCCACGCGAAATTACCCAAAAACAGGGTGAGGAAAGGGATTCATGACATGACCGCACCTGTTCGAGGTCGATGCGTCATATTTGCAAACAGCATATTTCGGAACTGGAAGATGGAGGACGGTACTCCGAACCTGCCTGGTTACGAACGAGACGCAGAGAATTTGCAAAAAGTGTTCGATGACCTTCATTTCAAAGTGACCGTATATAAGAACCGCTCAGCGGAGAAAATGAGGCAGAAACTGCGGTCTGTGGTAAACTATCGTGTGAGGGAAATTGGTGGCCAGAAGCCAAACGCATTTGTTCTGATCATTTTAAGTCATGGAGATGAATCCTCAATCATGGGATCCAACTTCGATCCAGATCACGAAGAATACAAGAACGATGTCCTGAAGGAAGCAGAAATCATTGACATTTTAAACAATGAAAACTGTCCACATTTAATTGACAGACCAACATTAATATTTCTACAAACTTGCAAAGGAGGTATTTACTACGTATACCTATTTTTGCAAGATAAATCGGCGATTTATGTAATTAATAGATTTGGCTATATAATGAACAGATAGAGTGGACTTTGGCGTCTCCATGCGAGACCCTAGTAGTCCAGACATCAACGCAGAAGCAGACAGTCAAACAGAGTCAGACTCTGAAAAGGAAGCTATCGCAGCTAGTGCAAATATTTTCAAAGCAGCACTTGCTTCAGATAGTCCGCCGGAAACGTCCCCCACAGAATCGGAAATATTGATTTGTTATTCCACTGTTTCAGGCATTTAAATAATCTATAACTCACTCTATTCACGAATGTTTCAAAACGATAATAATTGAATTAACCTATCTCTCAGGGTATTGCTCATTTGTTGGAAGACATGGATCTGTATTTGGGATTGCATTGGCACGAGCTCTAATCAACAACGCTCATGATACTGATATTCAAAGTCTCATTAATTTGGTAGCTGTACTAATTTGTTCGAATCACAATGTTTGCTAATGATAGTTTGACTGCAGATAAGCGCTGAGATGAAAGATGAGTCAACACCGATAGATGTTAATCAGGTTGCGAAGCAAGTTCCACAAGTAACTCTCAAAGGGTGGACAAAGCAATTATTTTTTAATCCAGGATATCCTAAGTCAAACAAACGAGGGAAAATAAACTCCAGTGCCGCTGTCCCCCGAAAAATAAATAAATCAACCGAACAACGCCAATTTCTCCAACACATTGACAAACAGCCGAACAATTTGCCACATAAAGTATTCGGAAACGATAATACTGATCCACCCATTCCCAAAAAGTCACAAAGTCAACCTAAACCAAGAAGTAATAAAACAAAGCTCTCAAAACGAAAGCGTAATCCAACGCCAAAGAAGAGAATTTCTTCTCTAAAGAAACGATCCCAAGCAGAAAAAAATCACGGCGAGTGCATATTGCAAGGTTATGAAAAATCGACCAAGCTTTAATTTTTAAGGGTTTCTTGTTTATAGGATTTCTACGTTGGAAAAAACTTGGCATTTGATAAAATGACGGGAAATGGTGACAGTGGGGTTGCCTCAACTTTGACTGGCTGTAATGCCAATGGTTTAAATGATTTGGGACGTGAAAATTATAATTCAGTAAGTATACGTACATATTACATTAAATTTCTTGGTATTCCTACATACCTATTTCATTTTTAGGTTGGAGCCAGAAGTTCGGCAAATAATAAAACCAGAACCCTTCAAGAATTTCAAAAATTCAGAAAAATTGGTACGAGCAAAGTTTGATGTAAATATATAAAACTTTATTTGTATATCTTGTTCCTGATTTCATAGGTCAACTAAAGTTTACACTCCAACGCCATTATTTTTGACACAAGAACTGTGGCAGCTATTATCCAGCCAAAGTTTTCTCCAGTAATAGTCTTACATCGTGACCGAAGATTTTATACGATTTCAAGAAATATTTTATTTATTTAATATTTTATCTGTGCAATATTTTATGTTGGCGTGTTCAGTTATTCCTAGTCGTTCTTTTTATAAAGAATTCTATTAATTAAGTATGGTTTTATTTCCTAGTCACGTAAATGCCTGGACGGTTGTCACTAATAAAATCATTTCTATTTATAAAATCAAATCCAAAATTCCTTGTTAAACTTTATGATAAGAATTTTTACCACTACTGAGAATAAAAAAATTAGTTTTGTTCTTTACTTGAGATGCGATATACGATGCTGCTTTAAAAAGTGCCCAGAAGATAACGGAGAACTTCATAATCAAGTAAATCCCTAAATATGTGTACAACTGATTTAATCTGGACGGCAACCAGAGCACGGTGTACTCCAGGGTTCCATTCTTATCTGGAATAAATCAACAAATTTTAAAGCTTCTCTCCTTGCACATATTGTGACAGATAACTTGTTCTTACACAAATGGAAGGCACCAAATCCCGGGTGCGGCGTTCCCATTCGGTAGGAACAGGTGGGGACGGTAATTTCATGCACTGTTCTGCTCCCCTTGTCGAATTGGAGCGTGATGGTAGCGCTGGTCTGAAGCTGCAACGTGTCGTCCGCTGTAATTTCGCTCTTAGGTTTTGCTGTGTATCCTAAAAACGGGACTCCTTCCAATGCCCATTGTCGACTGGGATGCTTGTGCGCCATGAGGAATTTATCAGTCATCTTGACCATTTCCGAACCCTCGAGCTGCGTGTACGCCGAGTGATGAGAATGTGCAGAGAAAATCAACTGCGGTCGAAGCTGGTCCAAAATCTGTGTGTCCAATGAGAAAGCCTGTAGTAAATATTATCTCGACAGTGTAAAATGGGTGAAGAGTTTCTACTTGTAACCTATTTGTACCGTTTGCACAGCATTTGTTTTAAATTGGACGAGGGATGTGTGCGATAAAATAATTCGAACGTCCGGTTGTGCACCGTTTAAAAGATGTTCTCTCCCTTTTGTGGGGTTTTGATACTCTTCCGGCAGCAACAGATTCAACTTTATGGTGAAAATTGCATTAGATAAAGTGTAGTAGAATTCATTGAATACACAAAAAATCTGCACCTTCACAAACTGAGCCGATACGGATCCTCTCTGAACCCAGAGCTCTTTTTTAAAGTCTCCAAACGTTTGGTTAAACCATCTGAGCTTCACAACGTCAATAGGTTCCACGCCTTCGCCCCCAATGTCATTGTCTCCCGGGAGGAACACGTATTCCTGTCAGTGGAACAATCAAATTAAAGTATTTACGATCATACTGATTTTTTAGAACTGTAACAATAACACTGATTTCAGGAACCACTAATTACAATTACGTACAATTGGAGAGGGGTCCTGCTTTCTAGGCAGCTGAAAAACCTCTCTAAATCTTCTCGTGTATCTTCTATACTCGGCATCCGTGGCCTGCAGATAAATTTCCAATTTGTATATAGAACAATTCTTGGGATTAGACAACTACGACCCTGCATGATTGATTCATGTATCATAGATTTTACTTGCCCCATAACCTTCGTCAAACAAATCCCCCAGAAAGGCCACGACATGTGGCTGCGTGTGATGTTGGGCGAGAAGAAAGTTACGATGCAAATATCTATCAGCATCCCAACGGGTAAACAGGCCGAAAAATGCAAGTTCATTATTCTCCCCTGCAAAAGTTAAAGACGGAACATTTAAAATCTACCGAGTAATTTAATTGCAGCATAATGCATTAATACTGCTCGTCCACACATACCAATAATTTGTGGGTCAGCTACGACAAGGACGCGTAAGGGTCCATCGTCGCCGTTCTCCTTCTGCTGAGGAGACCGTGTCGGAAATGGGGTCCAGTCCTGCGTGTTGACAATGTAGGAGAGCACTTCGATGTAGAAAACGAGCAAAACTACGAGAACGAAGCTACAAATCCCTTTACATTTACGGCTCACTCGCCGCGTCATTATTGAAATTTTATAATTTCGTCGCAACTTTGGGGGCAGAAGCCCTAAACTCGAGAGCTAGCTCACCATATTGCAATCACAGTACTACAATACCAATAATTGTCTACAATTCACAATTTCCCGATGCAACATTTTTGCGAAAATGTGCGAAATAATAATTTCGAAATTATTAATCCTCTTGTAAATAGCAGAACAAATGACGGTTCACAATTTATTTTTATTACAAACGATGAACTAATGCACGAATAAAAATTAAATTTTAAAAACTCTCGTCAAACATGTTTCTTGCATTAAAACGACAACAGCTTCCCACGAAAAGAGCCAAACTCACACAACCATCCAATCCGGCTGAGTTGCATTGTTTTGTTTGAGGCTACCTTAGAATTCTCTTTCTCACCAAGAAAGTCGTTCACTAGCAACGCTTGCTGACGCTTTTATCAGTTCTCATTCACTAAACTAATAATTCAGACCAATGAAATCTTCCAAGAACGGTGCGATACATAAAAATGACCAGGTCGGTTGGGTCTCGAGTCGTGGGTTATCTCCGATCTGCAGAAATGGAGCCCGACGGCAACGTATCTGTCCAAGAACCAAACGGATTTCGAGTCGTCGTCCCTCCTTCCACGAACAATAATAATAATAACGAAAATGGTAATAATGCTGCTGGGTTCTTGGCTGAAGGAGAAGAATGTCGCCTCTCGGAGGACTACACAGGGCAGTACACGCCCCTTCTGAGGGGACGCATAATATTTGGACCTCAACCGATGCGATTCTTCTTCTCGACTTTCCTCCTCCTCTTCCTCCTCTGCCTTCTCTCCGTCCAGTACGAACCAACAGCCACGAAACACATAAAATAATTGAAATTAAATTCGTGCAACTTATCCTAATTACTATAGAGCATCAGATATTACGCGTGAATGTGGCGTTGGAATCGTGGCGTTGGGCTACTTGCTCAACTTGGTCACGCTGATCAGCTATTTCACAATTTGTCTCAATGACCCCGGCGTTATCCCAGAAAGTAAGTAGTCGACATACCAGTGAGGTCATCTAAGCAACTACGTAATTGTACAAAATAATCTCACTCTCATTGGGACAGACTACCGGTTGCGAGAACTTATTTGGGATACGGAATCATACAGAGACAGAAATCCGGACGCACGATTTTATAGATATTGCCAGACTTGTCGAGGATATCGACCTCCGCGGTCTAAACATTGTTCCACGTGTGATATTTGTATCCGTAAGTGAGCACACATTGAAAGCGTACAGAATTAATAGAAAAGCAAGGACATGGATTTTTGTAGGTGATCATGAAACACACCTGTTCGTTGGAGGAACGTGCGTGGGACAACGAACGGCGAGATCACTGTACACCTTGTCCTTGGTTGTGGGACTCTACACCATCTATCTCATCGTCGTCAACGTCTTCATACTTAAAAATGGTGAGCACATACGACGCACGACGAGTGTACTTATCATGGAAATGAAGCACATTTTAATTTCTCAGCTCAGGAGACTGCAATATCTTCCAAGGTTTATGCCATCGTGTCCCTCGTGTTTGCGGGTCTCCTCCTTGTAACGCCACAATTGGGAATTATCCTATTTCTCTTCAGGCTCTACCTCGTTGGTCAAGGGTACACCGGAAGCTCTTATATCACCGTAGGTGCAACCATTTAGTTTGAAACCAGATGATGTAATTTGTCAGAAAATAATTAAATGTGTGCATAGAGAAATATGGACAGCATTGCTTGCCCGTTGGACAAAAGATCAAGTGTGAAACATTATCTGGCTTTCTTTTTTGGAAAAAAGGCGCCTAGCATATTTCGTTAGTAATGCATAAAATACATAACTAGTTGTTGCAAATGAATTGATAAGACATTATCACGACGACTGCTAATAATTGTAATTTACTAGGAAAGAAGACGGGACAAGTGGAGCCGGAATCTGGTCAAACGGAAGAAGAACGTGCTGCAGAAGATTGGGAGTCGCTCATGTCAATTATTCCAGCGCATGGGATGCCATTAATTCAGGCAATGCGACTTTTCCTAACAACTGAGTTCTCACAAAGATTCAAAATTGAAGGGTGAGTGATGTGGTTTGTTCTATAGGAATTAGTTCGACTTCGAGACGAAGCTCAGCAGTCCTTCTGGAGGGAACAACGGGATCGGAGAATCTCAAATTTTCTCAATAGCGACATACAAAACAATAATATTGACAATGCAAGAAGGGACCAAATTACAGAAGTCGTTACCCCAAGACCCAACTCGACTCCTTCAGACCCCCAATTATACAATGGAGGTGAGTTTTTAATACAAATGTCCACTTCGCGATTGAGTGACCTACATTTGTGCTCACACCCTTCTCAAGAGTTGAACGCCATTCCTAACCAACGCCTTCGGAAGGGACTCAAGTCCAGGATATGCGACACCCTTCACCAAAGGATGGAAAATTGCCAGAAGGGGATCAAACACGTCTCTGCTCTTGGTCAGGCCACCCTGAGCGAAGGTTCAATCCCACGAGTCGAGGAAACCCGTCACCTTGTGACCACCGCCAGAGCGCAACAGTTTAGGCGGCTCATTCACCTCGTCCTCTCTCGAGATCGGCGTGGCCTGGAGGAGATGGGTCGCACCGTCAACATCCCCGCTCTCCTGGGAGTTCAGATGGTTAATTTTGACCCAGATAATCTTCAGGCAGGTTTAGTAATGGCATTTTTGGGTTTTATTTGTAATTTCCTTAAATAATTTGACCAGCAAATTGTTCTGCATAGTTCGTAGAGCTGGGCAACGGCCTTCCCATGCTCTCGCCACGAAGGGAAACTGGTCAAGCAGCCAACCTGCAACAGAATCGAATGGGTGGTTTGCTAGGGATACCGCAAATGGTGGCGGCTGGCCTTCTCCCTCCTGCTCGACAGCTGGCCCAAGACATGGAGAACGTCATGGGAGGACCTGGCTCCATTCGGCGAATTCCCAGTCAGAATACTAACAGGTTTGTGTACCAAGCTCTGCGTCACCCCTACAGCAGATCGAGACAGGCTGAAAATGACGGTTCTCGGCCACACGGGTAAGAACCAGTCAATAAATATGTGCATAAATGACAAATATTTATGATGAAATCGAATGCATTTCTGCAGAGGTGTCCGAATTCCTCTCGGATTTCCACTCCTCGACTCCAACCCTCGTTTCATCGCCTTGCTCAATGACCACCAGCAGTTTCGTCGGGAGACGTTTGAGCGGCTGCGGGGCTCACCTTCATGGGGCTTTCCGTCCTTAGGGCTGACTGGGCAGCGTCGATCTCGAGAACGTCATCGTAGTCACCACCGTCCGAGAGGAGTGGAACACTCATCGTCTCCTACTCCTCCTCCGCCAAGTGGAGGTCTGAACGTCGTGTCGGACACCGCAAATAATAATCATAGTGACAATAATAACACACCACTTCATGATAATGCTTCTTGAAAAACGTATTTAATTCTGGTTTTAAATAAAGTGTGTAGATTATTTAGCGAGTCTAATAATTGACTAATTAAAACTATGCTCCACGGATCGATGCATCCTCCTCGGGTCTTTTAATTTATACTTTGATTTGTCGACTGTAAACTGTTTTTCTTACTCCACGGCCAAAACTTCCGAGGAACGCTCCTGCTGCTGACCCTCCTCCTGCCGCGACGGGTTTCTCACTCTCGCCAGTCCCGGATGATCTACAAGTGATAATCCCATTAGTTTAGTTAAGGGGGTGGTTTATCAGCAAGTACAAAGAATTACCCCGAGGCAACGTCTTCGCTTAGACCTGTTGGGTTGTAGTAATCGTAATCACGATCTTCAAAGTCGTCGCTAAAGAAAGAGGAATTTGGTCACTGCAGAGAAATATGTGTACACTACTCACAACGCATATTTGAACTCACTAGGGTAATTCTGGCCTCGGATTGAAAATTAAATCGTCGGGGTCGTCATGAGCGAGGGTGGGATTGAAATGAAAGAAACCGTCCTCGACGCCGTTAATGTCCACGTCCGGCCTGGAAATCGTCTTCAGTTTAAACAACGATGGACTCATGGATGGAATAAAGTTAGTTATCTTACGGATTTTCGTCCTCATATTGACCTAAAATTTACGATCTAAATGTTAGGAAATATTTCGCTTATGTTATCGCATGGAATTTTCATACAAGCAAAAAGAAAGTATTACCAAAAACTGATAGGACGCATAGCGAGATTCCAATCCACTGTGAGAAGAAGGAGGACATATTTCTAGATTTGAGACTTTTAACTTTTTATCGTTTGCTATTTGTGGTCTGGTTGATTTGTGAGTTAAACAAAAAGAAAATGGAAAGTGGTACTTATGCAAGTCGTCAAATTGATTATGCAACAATGGATAAATTTTGTTTATGATTAACTCTCAAGGTTTCTTAACTTTAAACAACTTTCCAGCTGTCTAAAGTGACATATTATTCTTTTCACTGCTAAAATATGCATGCAATACTGACGACGATGATGACTTGGTCTTATCGCAACCCTTTATTTGATTATTTTCTAAATATTGAAATTCTAAAATGGAATGAGTAGCTACATGAGTAGAAAAGCGAGTTTCTTTCTGGTGGGGTTATCCGCGGGTAGTGCGCCCACCCATTTCCTCATCGTCACCACAATCACCCCCGTCAGAACCAAGGTTGCCCCCAAAATGCTAAAAAATATCGTCTCGTCTTATTATACGTAAATACATCCAAGAATGGTATGGCTTCAAGTATTCATATTTTGCATACCTGATAACGTCAGGTTTCACTCCGATGATGAGAAACTGCCAAAAGAATGTGAAAATGACCTCAGAAGTGCGGATTAGAGCCACAACACCTGCCTCCTCAACTTGCAAGGCCAGAACTGGAGGGTAATAATCAGATGGTGCATTTTATGTACATCAATTAAATATTTGTACAGTCACAGTATTTTACATGCAAACCTAAAAATAAGTTGCCAAACGCCATCAGAATTCCTACGCTCGTGATTGCGAGCGTGTCCATCCCAGTGGCTGGTGCTTCCAGGTTGCCAGTCAGCATGGCCAGCACGAAGCTTTGTCCGAACGCCCTATTTATACAATTACACATCCATTACACTCCGCCTGGACGAAATGTCTTGCCTAAATGTAAATATAAATAGTTTATGAGCCAACCAAGAATAGAGAATGAAGTTGAGAACCCCGTGGTGAACTTGTTGCAGGTAGCGTAGCGTGACGATGATAACTGTTGCCAGAAGAAGGCATCCCACTGCGAAGCCGACCCCAATCTGCGCAGTCAATTTATAACTTAGCCGAGACGAGGAAAGATATCATCGCGTCGTAAAGTATTCACTATTCACTTACCAGAGTATTCTCGTCGAAGGCCTCAGCCCCGGTTAAAAGTGGCGGCCGTGTCATAATGCCTATGCCGCACAGGGCGAGGACCGCGACGAAGATGGGAATCAGGCCGCACTTTTCCCCCAGGAACATCCAGCCCGCAAAGTACACTGAGATCACGGAAGCCGCCATTATAGTTCGCGTATCAGCGACGGAGATGTATTTGAAGGAGAGGATCAGCGTGTACGAAATCATCACGCTCGCCACTGAACGGAACTGCGAGTTCAATGTTTTACAGGTTTTGAAATAATATGACCTTTTTTTTAGAGGTGTGAGCCTACCCAAATGAAGAAGACGACCTTCTTGTGCTGCCTGATGGGCCAGAAAGTGTCCGTCACGGACTTTTTTTCCCAGCGGAGGGTGTAGACGATGAACGGGATGGAGAAGACGGCTGCGAGGGGGAAGGCCCACACGCCGAGGGTGAAGGGGTGGATGTGCGAATACTTTTTGAGAACGGTGGACGACAGGGAGAACGAATTCGTGCTCAGCATCGTGTATAGAACACCCAAATATCGTTTCCACCCGTGGGCCGTCCGACCCACGGAGCCACGCTTTTTTTGTGCACCACTCCCCACTTCCACGTCCCCATTCTTTTCATCGTCACCCGTGAGGCGTAGGTCCGCCGCTCCCACCACCTGCGCATCATGATCATTGGCTCAGTTTCGGCAGTCTATTTTCACACCGATTTTCTATCTGTCTCACCTCGGCAATGTTTGACATGAGAAAGGCTTTCGTCTCGAGTTCCTCCTCGTCCGCCTTGTTGGCTTCCTCCTCTTTCTTGTTGAGGTCTGACATCTCCTCCTGCCGCCCAATCACTTTATATGATCACCGATTAAAGGTCAGTTCCGTGGGAATAGGAGTCAATGTTACTAAATAATTCCCAAAATAGGGTTGAGTTGTAATAATTGCGATGAAAAAACGGGTTTCGGCAGCAGGGAAAATAACTCCACTTTTCAACTTTTCGAACGCGATGATCTGCGTGAGTGATTGCACACTCACAATAATTTATCATGTCCTTTTCTCTGCCTAATAGCATGATCAGCCAAACTCTTTCAATTTGTGTGTGTTGTACATACATTGAGCTGGACAAGTGGACAAGGAAGATAAGCAGCCGGGGTCCATTTAGTTTGGTGGGGCGTATCATCAGCTTAGCTGCACAAAACGCGAGCAAAACAGTCGATTGATCCAAATTCAGTCTGGTCTCTTCCTCTTTATTTCATCCTCGTGCATAAAAACAAAGCTGTAAAATTGGCTTGTTTTTTTTTGCATATATCAGACAAAAAATTGGCACAAGTAGGCTCCTAAGCCACACACCAGACCTACTCGCAGGCAGATCTAACCACAGAAGAGGTGTTGACCGTGAAATTGTGGAGTGATCAGGATAACGAAGCGATTAGTTAATGGCTCAATATTTTGCAGAGTTCTTTCATTAAACACACGAATATCCGAGCGTTACGATGAGGATGATGAGCACTTGAATTTTATGAGAGTCAAAGAACCACCAGTTTCATGCAGTATTAAAGGCTAATATTTTATGACGACAAAGACAGATTTTATGTGTGCACATAGTCATTCAATTAGATTAAAGTACAGCTTTTTCGCTGCATGGGGATCTGAGGTCTTATCGATAATACTGGATTTAAAAGCATTTGTGGACTGAAAATTAGTAGTTGAGTAAAAAAGCAAGCATGTGAGCAATTAGGAATATGTACATATTGTTAAAAATAATATAAAAATAATTCGCCACCACTCTGTCTCCCATTATTCCTCTCTCTTGTGTCCGTAAATAACCGACCAGTAGTATTTGCATTGGATTGCTTATCAGTCATTTATTCGTGGATTGACAGTTGGGTCCAAGCAAATAATGCTTTTCGTATTGATATTGGGCACGTGAATTGTGTGACGCAATGTTTTTCTGCTAGGTGACAAGTTTTGCTGCTGGAATTGAGTCGATTCATTGCATATTTTGTGGACAAATGAGGCATAAAAATCACTCTCCTTGACACAAAGAACTGCATAAAACTGACGATCTCACATAATCTACATGAATTCCTTGGGTAATGTTTATTTCGTGTTTTCATACATTTCGGATTTTAACGCAAACTCCAACTTTTGCTGTGAACCGTTGACCTAATCGAAAGTGGTGGAAAAATAAGTTTTATTTTTACGTCCACCCACCTGTAGTTACACAACTACATAAATGTTTGACTGTTATGAGTATGTGCATAAGACGACAAAGACAAAACTTGGGATACGTGCCGGCCGAGTTGTGTACAAAAGTCGACAAACAAACAAAAGGTTCGTACACTTGCATAAATCGCTTAATCGGAATGGACGCGTAGAATGTGTATGTATTTAAGGAACTTTTCTTATCTTCTTCCATGAATTCTACGTGCAGCGAAATAACTGTTCCGTAACAAAAAGATATGGTTCATCCCTTATGCAAGTTTAACTACTATTTCACCAAGCAGCAACTCAACGCACGCCCTCACGGAAAGTGATGACTTGGTAATTAATGAATAAGTAAACTTCTGTGCGACTAAATTATTCCCCGTCCTCCAGTTTTTGGGAGAACAAGCGAAAGGCACTTCTGTTTTGGGTCGCTATTTCTCACAACAAAAGCCTTTCACACTTTCATTGACTCATCAGCAAAACTACCATTTGCAGGTCACAAATGGCAAGGATAAGTGGAGGGATCATTTACTGCTTAAGTTAATATAATGAGGGAAACTGTCTGTGTTAGGCAAAAATTCATGTAGACGAGCGGGGTCATCTTGTCGATAAAGTTTGTGGATCCGAACCGGATTTTTATGAGATACGAGGCACGCGCCATTTTACGAAACCATGACCTTCTCCGGTAGCTTTTGGACTTGCGGGTCCCCTCCACGAAGGACTTTGAGCGAGTGAGCACTCCAGCCGCGACCTGTGAGATGAAAATCATGGCGAAGCCGTCCAGCGACAGGAGGGGGAAGAAGGCAAAGCCTGGCATGGGAACCTGGGAGTGGAGCTTGATGCACGTGTAGAGTCCGATGATGATCACCATGCACGCCGCCGAAATTTGCGTCGGAATAAAAATGCTTTGCAGACAAAAGTTGTACAGTTTTCCAAGAATGCGGAGATGTTGATACACGTGAAAGCAGAATCGGTCCTTTGCGGCAGTGCTGACAAAAGTCGGCGTCCCTGGGTGGCAATGAAACACGCTGAAATTACAAAATGTATTTCTAAGCATGGAGTCCAGCCAATGATAACCATAAAATATGCAAGTCGATAAAAATGGTTAACTTACTTATCTGCCTACGTGCGGCCTATAATATAATTCTCAAGTATGCAACAATTCACGCTTACCACATTTATTTACATGGGTTAGACAAACATGATGCCCGATAATGGCCAATTGGAAAAAAAACTTGTGGTGTTGACTATGAAATTTTTATGGCGTTTGCTTTCTCCGCCTGCTAATTACCTACTCGTTAAAACTTCTCAACACTATTTTTCTCCTCGCTTCTCGGGAATTGATGCAAATCATGTCTTAAACTAGGTACATATTATTTGGCCTTGATATCCATAAATCATTACGCTCCGCTAGCTAACTTTGGAGTCGAGTAGTTATTAACCACTTCACCCCTGAGCGACGCATATTTTCATACCTTTCACCCCTAGCAACGTGGAATTTTTTCTTCCCTTGACCCCGGAATTTTCACCTACTGCATGACGTTAATTACTAGGAGATGAATTGAAAAATGGTGTTCCCACCGGAATTATTCTGGACAGTTTTTTTATGAAAGTTGATACGAATAACCATTTGGGAACGGATTTTGAGTTGTAATTTGCATTTGTGCATTTTTTCGAGCACTAATGTTTATAGCCGAAAATAGCCAACACGCCGAATTTTAAAAGTGATTGTAATTGCATGGAAAGTTAAACAAACATTGAGTAATACTTACATAATAGTACGTAAATTCGAAAAAATCGATTATCGCGCCTCAAGCGCCCCAAAAGCCGATTTGGGCGGGAAAATTAAACTTCGCAAATCTTGCTTTCAATTCGTTATATAGGCTATAATTAATTTAGTGGTTACACTAAAACATGTAAAAATTGTTTCTTGTACATCTAGCTTGCATAAAATTTACGCACACTTTGGGAGGGAAGACCAAAAGTTCTTGAAATGAGTTTAAATTGACAGCAGCGGGAGTGATTAATTGTAGCATCAACTTTTCTAAGCCAGCCTTTGGTGAATAGAACTCAAACCTAAGCGGGAAAATTAAATGCTATTAATTCCGGGCAGTCGCTTAATTTTCCCGCCCAAAGAGATTTCACCAAGTCCAGATGCGTAATAATTAATTTTGACGTATTTTGTCCGACTGGCAATATTATTTGTAGCCTATAATATTAATTTCATACAATTCACCGAACGTTTAGTTTTCCCGCCAAAAACGCCCGTTGGTGCGTTCCAAATCCGAGAGAAACAATTTCTCTAATCTTATCGGACAGCGCTGTTGAAATAGGTGACGAAAATCCCATCAAACAGGAATTTTCAAAACAGGGCGTATAGGCTAGAAATAGCCACATGGCTATAAATTGTTTTTGCCATCATTTATAACACTGATTCCGAAGAGGCAATTCATCTTCCCGTCCAAAAAAGGGTTATTGTCTCAAAACTATACTTTCCTGGACTTAGAAGGGCAATGACCTAATTTTTTTTCGAATACGACACATAGTCGTAGGCCGGCGTGAACGGAAAATACGCCACATAGTCGTATCCGTTGTCAAGGGTCAATACGACACATCGTCGTATTCCGGTGCCAAGGGAACTTACGCCACATGGTCGTATTCGGTGTAAAGGTCAAATACGCCACATAGTCGTTATAGGGGCGAAGTGGTTAATAGAGTTTGAAGTCCAACTCGAATTATGGGGAGAAAGAAATCGAATGACGAAAAATGATCTTCATAATGCGACTTACGAGTTTAAACGTTGGATGTAGAAAGAGAGGCACTTGAGTCCTGGGAAAAATACTTGGAAAGCGAAAAAGCACGCGGGTGTGATACAGTTCGCCCTACAAAAGGCACACATTACAAAACCGTTCCAAAAGGAGCGTGCTTTTCTCACTCACCACATCCACGTGTCGAAGAGGAGTAATGAGACACGGATTGGCCACCTCGGCACGGCGCACCCCTCTCCATCCACACCCTCGCTGAACAGGATGTACGCCAGATGGGGTGGTTTACAAGGGCTCACGAACAGCATTGTGCACATCAAGCCAGGCAGGCCGGCACTGGTGAGGAGACCCAGCGTCATCAGTGCTTTCGACACTTTGTCTCCCTTCAGTTGGGGGCGACATGCTAAAAATCGTAGCCTTTATGCTTTACGCCCATTTAATCAAACTGATCTAGCGACTCACGTGGGAAATATGTGTTCTCGAAAGCGACATAGTTGTTGAGGAGATGCACGACTTCAGCCTTCCTCTGCCAAAACGCAAGCCTCATTAGCATCGTGGCGCCGAAACAGACAAGGAATGCCAACCTGCACATCAATTTAATCATTCCCAAGATTTAACGCAATGATTTTCCCCTCGAGATAGACGAAGCCTCGCTTACCCAACCATCCTTGTAGCATTTTTGGTAGTCTTTTGATTTTCTGGGCTAAGAAAGTGTCCCATCATTAAGAGCGTGTACGCCACATGGATTGTAATCTGTGCTTTGCAAAGTCTCAAGTGTTTTTTGGACTTGAGCAGTCGGACGCGATTTTTGTCCTCGTCCCACTCGAATGGAATTGTGACGAGGTAGTTGCACAGGCAAAGTTGCAGCTTAATGAAGGGAATCAAGGGCTTGAACAAGGGGGGAATCGTCGGGGTCAGCAGAGTTGACGGCTCGTTTCGTGGTGGAGTGGACGGAGGCAGGTCGAGATTTTCCTCCAGCTTCCGAAGCATCTTTCCCTTGGACGGGCCAAATCGACCCAACTTTTTCATGCAACAATCTGGCAAAAGATTAAGGAGAGTGAAAGTTATGGAGTGACAGAGGTGTTGAAAGCACTGCATGTATTGCAACTCTATTTATTTCACAACCGCTACTGTTACTCGAGGCAGAGAAGCTAGTAATATATGGGAAAATATTTACGTACTGTCCACGATCCAGGCAGCAGTGGTGGTCAACCCCCAGCAGAGTGAGTTTCGAAACATATCGGAGCATTCTTTCTCCAGAATAGCGATGCCTGACGCAGCCCGCCGAGGAGCGCTATACGTATGGGAGTCGTTGTGTAAGATGAATTTGTAATGGGTTCAAATCAGTTAGGATCGTTTTGAGGCGTTGCGTGGCCATAAAGTCGTCGTCGATGGGATTGTGCGATAAGGAGAAAGTTGCTTCGTTGGTATTATAGGTAAATGAGATTCGCGATAACGACGTGGCCCACCCGGGCTTCGTTTATAAAGTCTCATCGATTATTATTGCGCTCAAATGTTGCCTTGTTTGTCCTCATTAACTTGAGAATGCTAATTCCTCCAAGAAGGCGAGCGACTATTTTGTGTGTGCCGAGGAGTGGTATCAGCAAGGGTGGGAGCTCCGTTTATGTAACAAGTACCATAAATATTTTGGTAATTGAGGAGCTGATGAGCTCCATCCATGCAATCCTTAATCCATCCTCGCTGCTCAAAACCATTATTACTGAAAGAGCAAAGCGTCGTTTTTTATTCACTTTTAAAGAAAAATTCTGAATGGATGGCCAAGCGAAGAATGGTTTTGACAGTAGAAAAGGTCACTTGTTGGAGTAATAATGCAAGAAAAGTGAAGAGGTTTGGTTTTAAGGAGTATTTTGCTATTTACTACTACGATGCGTATGGTAAGAACGGTATCAATTATTCAAGTCCACGCCCAGTGTCACTAACTGTTGAGATGAAAGGAATACGCTGCATTATTATTACACTTGGTAGTCCAATTTAATAATATATTGTAATGCTGTCATCCATTACATAATTGCAGTGTATAGTTAATTAGTTTTCCTCTAACGTAGTTAATTATTTCGAGCAGTCTGTATGTCAGGCCTTCTGGAAATCGTGACATAATATCAACCCCAATGTATGCATAGCTTGTCGAAATACGAAACCTTGTTCTCTTTTCGACGAGAAATTTCTTATACACTGGATGGTAACTTAGCGGTATGATTTGTTTTCGTGTAATTTTTTCCAGATCTATAATGAATAATTTCTTGTTGTCATGATTAATGACTACTGTACGTCCGGTATTATTTATATTTCATGAGCGTGATTCTGTGAAATGTTGTACTCTAAAAAATCTTAATAAGTTTCAGAATATATTTAAAAATTAAATTAACACTTTAGAAATAAGGTCGTTCACTCCTCTGTGGCTGGGGTTGTGGGAGGTGGTTCAGTATTTGTTACACCCCCATCTGCAGAAGACTCGCTTCCTGGGTTTTGAGAGGATTGGGAGGAGGACTCGACATCTTGATCGCCTTCTTCGTCCTTGTAGTCCCAGGGCCGCGCCTCCCCCGCCTCGTCCCCCGCCTCACCTGTCGAGTTGGAAGGAAGCTGCGAAAACTGGTGCGAGGCTGGGGAGCCAGGACACGTCGTCCTTATGTAGTTTAGAACACCCAGGCGTTGCTCAGCCTCCGTTTGGAAACACCAGCCTGACTCGGACAAACCAATCTGTTCCAAGCTGAAAATAGCTGTTGAGTTTAACATGACTGGCTTGTTTCTGACACCGTCGGTACTATTCCCATCGTCTGGTGTGCCATTATCTGAGATGCTGTTTGAATTGTCGCCCATGTATTCTGAAGACGATTTCGCAAGGTCTCTATTTTAAAACAACAAATGACATGAATACAATTGAATGTAAAGAAATGCATAGAATTTCTTAAAAGGAAGTAGTCAACAACAGACATGTATGCTTTTGTTTGTCTTCGCCTCCTGGCTGCAGGAGGTGGTACCGGTGGTGGGGCTGCGTCTCCACCACCACCACCACCGGTTTCTTCACCTGGCGCAGGTGTTGGCCCACCCTCAAATTTGATCAAGGGCCGTTCCAATCTGTGGACGAAGGGCGTGTCGAGATACGCGGCCTGAATGCAAACGTCCAGATTTCTCATGGTTTGGCGTGCGTTTGCGGACAGCATGTGGTTCCAAAATTCATCACTGTTCAGATGGGGTGGTCGTGCCCTGGTAGAAAATTTAAAAAAACGAGTTTGTTACCTCCACAGTGATTCTGTCCCAACTTTTACCACATCGACGACATAGAGTGAAACCCACGTGCCGCGGTGGTAGTATTATTATTTTTTGCAGGATAAAGTGAAGTTTCCACATGATCACTCACTTACTGCACGTGAGTGGTTCTCAATTGCAGTTACTTAATTAGGGTATTAGTTAGTCATGTCATTTTTAAAGTCTCGTCTGCTGATAAGCAAGTTGCTCAAATTTTCAAAGCCACTCACATTGACCGCAGCCACTAAAAAGAATGCAAGTCTTATTGGCACAGGAGCGCTTGGATTTGGGTGTTTTTGTTACTTTGTACGAGATGGTTATCGTCACAGATCGCCGTTCGTGCTTTTTGCTCAGGAACCAAGAACAAAAGAGTTTGACGTGGACGATTTTATTCACGAAAAATTGGAAAAGTTGAAGGGGTCTATTGCAGAAGTTGTGAGAGAGGTGATCATTCTTGTCCTTTGTCGTTGATTCTTTCTAACTGGTTTGTGACGTTGGTTTTCGACAAATTTTTCAGGGCGGAGAAGAATTCAGAGCGGAATGCAAGGAGGACAACACGAATGATATTGCGACTCCTGGAGAACCTCTTGAAGACAATTCGCTAACAGCAAACATTGAGGAACTCGTTGGACAAACGGACAGTGACAAGGCGGAATTCGACTGGAATCAGTTGGGAGATATTTTGAAACCTTATTGGAAGCTGATGACCGTCGCTGTTGGGGTAACAATTAAACAATTTGTATAAACATGATGATCTGGTTGCCAGTATTGATATTGATTTGTGTTTATTTTCAGTCCGCGTTGGTGGTGGCTGTGGTAAATATTGAAATTCCATCTCTGCTTGGAGCCATGGTGGATATCGTCACTCGAAAGTTAATGTGCTCGGCTGGACCTGGCATCATATTAGGAATGGACTCGAGAGAGCAAGACTTTGAGTTTCTCGTTCGCACGCCAGCCTTGAAACTTATTGGACTCTATTTACTCCAAGTAAGTACATTGTCTCTCAAACCATATTGCTATGCAAGGGTGTCTACCATCAACAAATGCATATTACTATTTCCAGTCCGCTTGCACTTTCACATACATTTACAGCTTATCAATAGTTGGAGAAGGAGTGGCGACGGAGCTCCGTCGAAGAATGTTCGCTTCCATGTTGAATCAAAACATTGTGTTTTTCGATACTCACATGACTGGTGAAATTGTGAGCAGACTGACGTCCGATATTCAAGAATTTAAATCAAGCTTTAAGCAGTGTATAAGCCAGGGACTGAGGTCTGTGAGCCAAGCACTGGGCTGCATCATTTCGCTCTACATGATCTCACCGGAAATGACCAAGACAGTCGTCATCATCGTTCCCGTCATTATCACAATTGGCAGCGTTTTTGGCAGGGGCCTTCGCGCATTGAGTAAAAGGGCACAGGAGCAGGTGATATATGTTCATATTTATCACACACATATACATACATAGCAGCAGTTTCACAGTTGCTTAATTTAAAAAAAAATCTGCTTCTGTTAGGTTTCCAAATCCTCAGGACACGCCGAAGAAACGTTGTCAAATATCAGAACAGTTCGGGCATTTGCAATGGAAAACGAGGAATTGGAGAGATATTCAGGTAAGCTGCTATATAAATACACAGTCAAGTCAACCACTTTCAATGATGTAAATTGCTTGTTAGAGATATTTGATTTTGGTTAAACTAATACGTCTTTTTTGTCTGGTCCTCAGGAGATATTGAAAAGGCGAGAAAACTAAATACAGAATTGGGTGCTGGAATCGGTGTGTTCCAAGCTGGCTCTAGCCTATTTCTCAACGGTGTAGTACTCGCAGTTCTCTACACTGGTGGAAAACTGATATCGGAGCAGAGCATCACTTCTGGCGATCTTATGTCATTCCTCGTCGCGGCACAAACGATTCAACGATCATTATCCAACCTCAGTTTACTTTTCGGCCAATATGTCCGTGGCATTGGGGCCGGCGGGAGAGTTTTCCAGTACATTAATCTCCCCGTGCCATACGACCTCACTGCGGGTCACACTGTAATGTTGGGAGACAGACTTGAAGGTGTGAAGGGTGACATAGAGTTTCACAGCGTTTGGTTCAGATATCCAACAAGAAATGGAGAATACGTGCTGAAGCGATTCAGTTTACAAATCCCACAAGGAAAAGTGGTCGCTATTGTTGGGCCAAGCGGTTCGGGAAAGTCGACACTCGTCAACTTGTTACAAGGGTGCAGTGCAACACAATTAGAATTTGATATTCAATCTAATCAGCCATTCTCATGCGTATATGTGTTATTACGACAGATTCTACCCCGTGGAAAAGGGTGAAATCACTGTGGATGGATACAGAATTGACTTGATGGACCCCAACTGGCTTCGAGGAGAAGTGATGGGTCTGATCAATCAAGAACCCGTGCTTTTCTCGGGCTCCATCATGGAAAATATTCGATACGGAAAACCTGAAGCAACGGACGAGGAAGTTTATCAAGCTGCAAGGAATGCTAACGCGTACAACTTTATTCAGGATTTCCCGGACGGTTTTCAAACACTTTTGGGGGAACGAGGAGTCACAGTGTCGGGAGGACAGAAGCAGCGTAAGCTTAGATATGGATACCTTCAGTACCCAACAAATAATACATACTGTTCTGTTATTAGGCATCGCAATCGCTCGAGCCCTAATAAAAAATCCCACTGTTTTAATTCTTGACGAGGCGACGAGGTAAAATTTCTACTTTCAGTTACACTTCGAATTAGAAAGTGAATATATTTTTTCAATACAGTGCGTTAGACACAGAATCAGAAAAGATTGTGCAGGAAACCCTGGACGCAGTTTCTCGAGGCAGAACCGTGTGCGTTATAGCGCACCGATTGTCCACCATCCAGAACGCAGACTTAATTGCGGTAGTTGCTGATGGGCGAGTTGCAGAGGTACTCATTTCGATATTTCTTCTACAAATGTTGCAGTAATATTTCATAGTACTCATTTTTCTCTGTATTTAATTTCAGCTCGGAACACACTCGAACCTGAAGAAGCAGAAAGGATTGTATTACAACCTGGTGAAGCAGCAAGAGTACAAAGCAAAGGTGCAAAAGAGTTAACGAAGGCTGTAATAATAGTGGCAGGATAAAAAAGACATCTATTTATAATTTAAAAAAGACACCCAAGTATTCCTCCTCCTCAACCAAGTCAAGTCAGTGTGATAGACAGCGTTCCTCAAAAAGACATATGATTTATAGACAGTGCTAGCTTATACGTAGATAGTAAAAAAAATCAACCAACCCCCCCCCCAAACGACCAAATGAATAAATTGGACTATTCTTAATAAAATCAAAGTTCACTCACCATCTGTACACGATTGGCTCGTTGAATAGCCTTTCCATCGCACGTTGGTATAAATGATGATAATTTACATTTTCTCGGAATGTGCCAAAGCATAAGCCGTGTGTGAAGTCTGTGACCCCCCAGGTCGCGTCAATGACGACTTCATACTTGTACGGGATGTAGGCGAATTCATCCAGTGTGTAAGGAATAGTGGTCCCATTCTTCTCAAAATATTTGGCCTGTCAATTCGAATGAAACTTTAATTTTGTCTCCCGTTATCAGATCAGCGATCAATTTGTGTCATTATTTAGATCCCACAAAAAACCCACATTTGCATGCGTTTCACAAGCTGGACCTTGAAGCAGAAAAGGAGGATCTTTTTCCATGCAGTGGTCCAATGCCTGCTTTATCTGTTGATAGTCTTCACGAGAAACGTCCTCCAACTCACCAAACGTCCCCTCTCGCAACAAAAAGAGGAACATTCGTCGCACATCTCGACTAAACTCGGCTGGAACGTAGCTCACATTGCAATGTTTGCTGAGCACTTGAAAACTTTGGGTCAGGAGTTGGGTCACTCGAAGAATTGGACCTTCCACAGTGGTTGCATTTCCAGACATCTCATCGTCCTTCTCGCTGTCAACTTCGTTGCCTAAAAAAATTCGTTCAGTTATTATTGAGCTTTTTGTCGTTGCATTTATGTACGTTCTATTTCTAACCCACCAACATTCTTGCCTTCTCCTTCCAACCCCACGAGAAATTTGAACATTCGCACGGTCTGGTCTAAAATGGCGGAATCATTTCTTAACGTCGCAATGTCTTCCGGCTCGTCAAAGTTTTCTTCATCCATAAAAATAGCATCTTGTCCAGGTTCCGTGATTTCCGTTCCGTTCACCTCCTTCAACTCGGCCCCGTCACATTGGAAGGTTTGGTTCCCCATGCACGAGTCCATTTCCGAAACTGCAGTGACCAGATTTTAACTCAATTACACTAATTATATATTATAAATAATGGTTAATTCTGCATTGCACACGTACGTGGCCCATCCGTCAGCGTCGTTATGAGTTGAATCTAAGAAAAATAAACAGTTGTTTTTGCATAAAAACAAAGAATGGATTTCTGTTTCCAAACCTGGGTTGAAGTATCCGGATCATACTTGATGTTTTGACAAACATCCGCGTAAAATGTGGTCCTACACAGATTTGCATAATTAAAATGGAAGTAATTGATGCACTCGTAAAGATCAACTCACATGTCGTTGTCAGATGAGGACCGGAGGCACAGGGCTCTCAAAGGCTCTGAAAAGAGGATTCCGAAGGGGCAGGCATCCACGGAGAACTGGTAGACGATCTTGCTCTCTGGGGGGTTGCACATCTGGGTGACGCCCTCCACTCCATCTGCCCTCCACAGGGACAGGGCGACACAGACAACTCCGACCACACCCACTCGAATCGCCATCTTGCTCTATCTATTCGAAACAAGGCGACAGGTGGGAATTGCAGAAATGGATTTGAAATGCGATTGATGAAAATAAAACCATTGTGCGAAGTGCGACCATTGTTTTTGTCACTTTCGTTAAATTGCTATTGCGAAATATTCAATTTGTACTTTCACTATTTAATAATTGAGCTCTGAATGGAACTTTACATCATCTATGCACATAATATTTACATAATTGTGGCATTATCGTTATACCGAATTAATTAATTCTATTTTTCCATGTTACTTTTTTGCTATTTTTTTATGCTGTACAATTTAAAGCTATTTATTACTACCCAAGTCATTATGTCATATTTTGTCATTATAATTATAGCCGCTAAAATATGACCGTCATTTAAAAATGCACACTTTTGTCTCTGGAATTTCTTATTCCGTAGCTTATTCACAAAATTTATGAGAACCTGAGTTAACTAATTATTAGCGGCTGTAATTCTGTACAAGGGGGCTCATTAACTACAACATTTACTCGGCCAACCAGTACAATGTCTTCTTATACTTCTTGTCCTTCATGATTGTGTTTGCGGCGCAGTTGAGTCCGATGTAGCGCATGATGGTCTTTTTCCTCTCATCCGAACTTTGGAAGCACCAACCACCACCTTCGAGCCCTTTCTCCTCCAGCGTCTTCCTCCCCACAGGGGCTGCTGATCTCCGACGCCTCGTTGGGGTCGGCGTTGGAGGAGTACTCTCAGTCGTCGCTATCGACGATGCTATCGCTACCGTCTCGTTGCTGACCATGACAGCACTTTTGGGCCTCGTGACGCGTTCCACCGACTCCTGAATCGGTCTTTCGAGTCGATGAGTGAAGGGCGTGTCCAAATATGCACCCGTCACACACGCGTCCAAAGATCGCATCGTGTGTTTAATCGATCCCGCGGAAAACATGTGCTCCCACAGATTTTCATTGTAGAGTCGAGGAGGGTTCAGCCTGGGCAGAATTAGGCAAATTACTTGAAAATAAACAATTTTTTTACTGATAGATAACCTTACAACTCAATATTTACCATCTAAATAAAATTTCTTGTGTGAAGAGCGATTCCATGACGCGTTGAAATACGTGATGAGAGTTGACCAGCTCGTGAAACGTCCAGTAGCATAATCCGTGGGTGAAGGTGAGCACAGACCAAACGGCGTCCACGACCAAGTCATACGTGCCCCAGCGGAAGCTTCTCTCCTCGTCCTGCAAGTACGGAACCCACCCGTCCCACGCCTTCTTGATGAACTCAACCTGTTCACACAATATTAAAGTAGCGACGACCCATGGGCGTACATATTTCTTGCGCTTTAATTTATTCCTTTGCGCATATGTACCTTTGACTTTGCCCGACACCGCGTCCCATTGAGGTGAAATGCCTCATCGTAGGCCAAGCACTTTTCTAGACGACGCGCAATACTCTGGAAATCTTGCTGCCCAACGTCCTCCATCACTGAGGTCTGAATCGACTCACTGAGCAGGAAGAGAAACCCGTGTAGAACGTCGTTCAAAAATCTGTGCGGGACGAAACGGTGGTCGCAATGTTTCTTGATAATCTTGAAACTGTTTTCCAAGAGGGTGACGAGCCTGAGTTGAGGTTTCCTCCACTTGAGCAGGTTGGATCCCTCCTCCTCAAATTGGCTGTCCTCGGGGTTTTCCTGAAGGTGTTGATCGTCATTAAATGAGATTTCTTGGTCATGGGTGCGGTCCATCAGGAATTTGAACATTCGTCGTGTCTGCTCAATTAATTTCGGATCCTTGACCATGTTGTCAAATTCGTCATTTTGTTCCATTTCTTCTTCCAGTGCCTGCAGAATATTAGTCAATTTGAATCGTTAACTCTGGCCGATAAAATAGAGGGGAAACTACTTGCCTCGATGAAGGGGTTGTCAAACTCCTCCGGGGGTGTTAGCAGATGAAATGTGATCTCCTGCGCTTCGGTGACATTGCACTGGCCGGGCTCGACTCCGACACACGTTTCTTCGACTGTATTCATTCCGCAAACTGGTTAAAAATTGTATTTTGTGTGTTGGAAAATATTTATATTCTTACTAACGTTCCCCTCCGTCAATCATGGGCATAAAGTGAATCTGAGGACAGAAAAATACGGAAAATAGTTGATCATCGACCTCTAAGTAACAATTTTACCTGTCCAACGATTTCACTGCCCGAGTTAAAGTTGATATTTCGACAAACATCCACCAAGAAATCTGACCTGGATAAAAACCAAGAATTGTTATACTTAAAATATAGCAGGCAAAAATGGGTATATTAACGCACATGGCGGCGTCATTGGACACCAGGCACGAAGCTGAGACGGGGCTAGTGAAGAGCACGCCGAACGGACAATTTTCTGGGGTCACCCTAAAAACTGTGGTGCTTTTCCCCGGTGAGCAAAACTCGACCGTCGCCAGAGCCGCAGCAACCACCCCCACAAGAAAAAAGACCCATCTGAGATACAACATAACCAAATAAATAATATGTCAAACAAGGCAAATATGCACACCACGAAAACAAAACTCGTGTCCCATTTCATTCATTCAGTGCGTAAATTGCTCCATTGTTTGGAAAAGGAAAGTGCGCCTAGGAAATTGGTCACCTATGTCAAGGTGTACATCGGTATTTATATTCACTCGAGTAGTTTTGGACCAGCAAGTAAACCGAGGCGATGAAGCTGTGTATGTATGTATGTTCAATAATAGCTATTCATGTATTTGTAAATAGGCACAAATTTCATAATGTGTCCATCATCACCTGCTTCTGTACGCATTATGATTATTATGTCTTCCTTATTGTGGTCGATTTCAAGGGTAAGATTACACACGGCGGACTTATCCTCAATGGGCGATAACATCTCCACTGCTGCAACTCTCACGCCAATCCCATTCCCATTTCTACGTATGAATGAGTCATGCAACATGACAATCGCGAGGGTTGACGTTGACCCAATTCCCTAGCTGACTGGGTGTCACTTTTGTACTGATGTTCTCAGCCAGCACAAAGCATGCCCATCACGACGTGTAGTTATCTTTATATCTCCAGAAGTCATATTTATGAAGTATGTACGCATACATAGCACGTTCCACCTGCTGCTGGTATTCCTTCGTAAAATACGTAACACAAAGGATGGTGCATTATAAATACTAAAAATAGTCACAGGTGAAGGTCGTCGGCTTGTGGTCAACAATGTCCCGACTAAGAACCACTGTTCTTCAACCACGCCAGAATTGTACTTATGTGCTGAGGATGAGTATATGTATAAGTAAATAGTACGACTTGTTATCTTATTGTGGAAGTCAGCAGCTTTTAGTTAAAATGTCTTGTGATATGAGTAAACAATCAATAGTTGTTGCCAGATGTCGATCAGATTTTTTTAATAATTGAGCTGATCCTCGTTCAAATTAGTCCAGCATAAAAATTCTGCGACATTCTCTACAGTGACGACTAGCCTTGTAAAATCTTGTCTGAGGGGACACTCGTTCAGAAGAGTCGTTCACCAATTTTCTGCTCACTGCTCGATGGATGCATTTTTTTAGTGGAAGGAAGGTGGGTCACATTGACGTATGGAAATAATAAACTCGTTGAATTTAGACGAGTAGGCAGGCAGGTTGACTTGATTGTGCAAGTGCTCTCTGACGATGAGTGAGTGAATGAGTGAGATGCATCCCACAGCCCTTGACCCGGCCGAAAGACTGCTGCCCCATTGGCACAACTGTTTGAATGGACGTTGACGTAGCCCCCTCGTACGCACGCTCCCCACGCCATTGCTGCTCCCAAAATTGGTCCACGCCAGCTTTTGCATTCGCGATCGAGGTGGAACAATGAAAAAACTCTTTTATTAATCCATCAACTGCGTATTTATCTATCCGCTCCAATATTTGAATCAATGTTAAATAGATGAGTTACATATATTCTCCAAATTAGGCCTCCTAAGACACCGCCTGCTTTGTGCGTAGGATTATCACGGTAAGAGTAGTGTTATAATACTAACTCATTATCTCGCATTTTCGCATTTTTGAATCCTTTGCCCTTTTATACAAAACGGGTGTTGTGTGAATTTGAATCTGACATCAGCACGAACTCCCACTCAGAAAAATCTGTAGCTTTTGTGCCAACCAATCTGACATCTTGCATCAGTCAAATTTTGTTAAGATTAAGATTATTTCCCATAATGCTACATCTTTTCAGCTGAACATGCATCAAATGATCAGACCAGTTCTCGATTAAAATTGGTAATTAGGAAAAAGCGCTGATGATCCGTGCTGTCATTACAGCGTAAAGAAGTAATTTCAAGAGCAGCACATGTATGAATCGAGGGAGCTAAATAAATGGGTGACCCTATTGCGAAGATCAGTGTCACATTGTGCAACAATAGTAACCCATGCACTTGCCCCCTCCAATTTTCCACTGCTGTCACCCCATGAAGATGAAGAAGTGGACACTTATTTCATACCTCATCGACGTGTATTGAACAAAGTCGAACGATTTGTGCAGCAAAGTTTTTACCATTCAGCCCAAATCTTAAGACGCGTGAATCGCTGCATTGATTGCAACACCACCACAATTTCGCACGCTGTTTGTTGATATTCAATCACAAACTGGTTTCACTTTCCAATCCTTCTCATTCCAAATAACAAAACCAAATTTACAACAAAAAAGAACATCACAATGACCACCACCACTCAAATCATGTATCCTCAAACGTACACATATGCAAAAGTGGTGGTGTGCGTATTTAGGAAAATCATGTTTAACGATTTAAGCGTAATTTAAATGCATATTCATCAAAATTTGTGCTTGTACTCTATAATTACTCATGTTTGCTGGCCTACTTTGGCACCCAGCATTCTTTGCCTAGTAGCGAGAGAGAATCAAATCAATGAGAATTTGATCTGGAGAGATTTCCTCCGCATCCCCACAACATATTTGTGCACGAATCAAATCCATGTATGTACGCACAATGTATTTACTTACATGCAAAAAATGTGGTAAGATGCAGCTCAATTATTGTTATTTGAACACACATTGCGTATTACCTTTGAAACAAGAGAATCATTAAAACGCTTTATAATTTGGGCTCAAAGTTGATTGAGTTTGTCTTTGATTGAGCTTATCAGTCCTCGATCGGATGCGATAAGTAAGGAAGAGTGAGCATGAAACCACTCGGCAGGCTAATTTAGCCCCTTGTTTGCCGCTTGTAACGATTTGGTCGAAAGTATGTTGCAACCCCCACCAAAGGCAAAAGTGAATTTGTATCTCTTTGGCGAATTTGTTTGGCTTTTGGGAGAGAGAGAGAGACCCGACCACACGACATTGACCTAGAACAGCTCCCACATATTATGTGCCACCAAATAAATGCTAATTGACTTTGTAGCCGAGTATGCATATCAAACAAAGTGGCAGCATCGCACACAACAAAGGAATACACAAATAACCCCATTCGACACAATGATCAAATTCATTCTCATCATACCTAACGTCAGTTAGTGAATTAATTAATTAAACAATTAATAATGGCATCTTTTGTATTTAACCCTACTGTTTCTAATTCTGTCCAGACGGGGTTGGATTCTGGGAACATGAATCGAAATATGTATGAATTGATATGTGAAGAGTTTGATCAAGAGATGAGCCCCATTTTCCAAGATTAAAAAAAGTTGGACATTACGCAACCTGCTCAGATTGAAGGTAAGTTATGAAACATGTTACGCGATGACTGATGTGACGACTGATCATGTTTTTGTCTCAGTCACTGGAGTGGAATCAATCACATGGTTTTATGTTGTCTCATTTTATCCGGATATGGATTCGACCTTCCTTAATTCCATCTCTCTCTCTATCTCCAGCGTGTAGTTGCCTAATTGTCATTGGTTTGGTTAATTATGAGCCAAATTAACTTGATGGAGATACGTTTCTTTTAAAATTGATTGATCAAACAAATCAGCTTGTCAGCAATTTTGTACGCACGGGAACCTTGGACTTGTCGCTCAAAACTATTAAGCATAAATCAAATTAATATCCAGTTAAGAGCTAATTGAGTGGCCCACCTTACTCTGACTCAACAAGGCCTTCTTACAGCGAGGAAAAAAACTATAAACAATGTCAACCACTGTAAAATATGGCTATAATTCGGGGTCAGATATCTATGAAATTCCCAACTAGATCAATATGTATCAGAGTCCGACATTGACATTGACCACTGCATGGACAATCAATATTGGTAAAAAATTAATTTTATCCTTCTTCTTCGGAAGGACTTTGTCCTTTGCGTCGTTCGCTCAACCGGGTTTTTTCGGGACCAATTATGCGCCCAGAAATGTACATAAAATTCCTGTTACAAAGTAAACATTCTCTTAAGTGGAATGACTAATATTTGTTGGAACGATGGGTTCCTGAATGATGGCATTTGTTTAAGAATCGCTTGTTTAGACATTAATCATATTACATGCAGGACAAAATTTGCCGTTCTTATTAGTCTCCCGTCCTCTCTGATTCATTCATGTGTATTTATCTTATTTTGTAAACTATAACCGTAATTTTATAACATAGCATTCCACTACTTGATTCTGCTTCAGCGTGTTAAAATAAATAGCTACATACTACCTTTCCTTTCTCAAGAGATGCACGATCCATGTTTGATCATCAACTATTCGGGATTCCTAATGTCTCTCTAAACAATTCCGGGTGTCAAAACATGCGTCAAATTCTAGGATTACGAAACATGAATCCTCTTTATCGTACGGATTACGTCGTAACATTACAGAAATTCCGTGATTATTAATGAAGTGACCAGTCTAAAAATAGAGTCGTATCATTTCCCAATGGTAAAAACCCCCAGAGTTTCGAGAAGGAAGGAGTCGCACAACATTTGAACATGTATTTGCACACATTGGGCCAACAATGGGAGAGACTGCATAATTGGGAATAAGGCAAGGAAAGAAGGCAATGGGCAAAGACAGCGAGTCATAAGCACGGACGGAGGCAGAGATAGTCTCGTAAAAAGCGTTGGGGGCTTCATTCCTTGCTCAGCCGTCGACAACTGCCGGCCCGTTAGCCTCTCTTCTTCGTCTCATTCTTCCAACACCACTGCCTAAATTTGACCCAGTGCTCAAAGAAACGACTTTTTAACTAGTTGCCTCCCTGCTTAAGCACTTCTTAATTGTGAACCTTCTTAAGGCGGAAGTGGGTGCGTACGTTTAAAAAAAACGGTGAGGACAATGTCCCGCAAACGATAGATTAATATTTACTGTGTGAAACTAAGAGTTGCAATTAAAAATTAATTCCAACAAATGCAAATTCGGGGATCGTAAAAGTTTGGATAATTGTCTCGAAACGAGTAAAAGTGCAATAACTCGAGTACAATTAGTGCGTAATTTATTAATCTGTGAACAGTGAGTAAATTTACTACTCGACACAAAGGGTAGCCGATTGACAAAGTATTTACGGAAGGATTTTCTAGGATCACATTCAGGTATGTGCACACACGTATGAATCTCGTTTCATTCTTCCCATTCGTGAATCAACAATGAAATTTGCATCATTATTTCTGTAATCGTGCACACTCTGCAACAACGAGATTTCACACATTTTGAACCAGATAAATGGCAGAAAATAGAAATAAGTTCATGCGATGCAATGAAAGTACTTGGAAATATTATTGCAAACCTTTCGAGAATAAATAAATATTTGTGTATTTAAATATTTTATTGGGTTACGAAATGAAAATAGAAATTGATTGAAAGGATGCAATTCGAGTCGGGAGGACAATTCAACAATCAACGAGGAGGTG